GCTTATGCTCCTGAGAACTTTAACTCGCTTGAGTGTTCGTTTTAGCTCCCAAATGTGCTAATGTTGGCTTTGTGAGAAGTAAAGTTAAACTGGGAGGCTGAACCAGTTTATGTATAATGGTAATTTAAACTGCAAGTCTTGGTAAATCTTATCTTTCCCTTTATTATAAATTACATTCTTTAAAAACTATTGTTATATAAACTGTTCTGATTTTAGGATAATTAGCATTTTGGAGGCACAGATTAAGTACTATTTACTAGGGTCCCTCCCATTATGTTTCTCATACCTTTTTCAAACCAAAGCAAGTATTAATTTGGCTTTCACACATAATTATAAACATTATAAACACTGAAGCATGAGGTCTATAGACCTCTTATTTCCTACTCTGATTTCTGGCAAGGTAGTCTCTCTGCTATTTTAACCTTGGGAGGAATCTTTAGCACGTTTATGTGCGGATTTAAGTATTGTTCTTTCTACCTGAATTTGTCTCAAGTGAGTTTAAAGAACATCACAGTAAGGGATTTGCCTGAAAGGCAGATGGTAGGTCTAGTCCCTGTTCAATTGACTGTGGTATCCTACGCAAATCACCCAAAGCCTCAGTGTTCTCATCTATGAATTAATGGGGCTATTTCTGGCATTGTTTTCTGCCACACAGTAGGTGCTCAGCAGTCTATGAATGCACAAGAATTACAGTTTCGCAGAGGTCTTCCAACTTTTTCTTATATTTAGCTCAATTCACTTCTGTGAAAAGTAGTCTACCAGCAAAATAAAATGCAAATTAATCAGGTCTACTTCGGTTCCACTGCTATTCTTGGGGCAGCCTGGGATTCAAAGAAGTCAGTGCTGGAAGGTACTACTAGAAGCAAAGGGGCAATGAAAATAGTGATATAATAAGCACATTTATTTGTAAATAACTGATTGAAGAATCAGAAGGACTTCCAGCTCCCAAATGAACAAATGAACCAAAGAAGAAAAAGATAGTTTGTGACCTCTTTCTGTCCAGAACTCTTTGACTTTTTGAAAAATGTCAATAAAATCAGTTCCTCAAAAGAGCTTCATATATTACATTCTCTTCCCCAGGAGAAGCAGCTACGATTAAGATTCTCGGACTCGGATTTACTCTAAGAAGAGCCATGTTGGGTGAGTGTGCAGCGTAAGTCAATGATGGGGAAGGGGTCGTGGAGACAGTCATCTCTGGAGAGCAACCAAGAGAGAATGCAACATGTCTGTTGCGTGGCACCTTTGGGGTCCTCTATGTTAAACATTCTTATGAAGGAAAAATGTCCTCATTTTTTATACTTGCCTTAATTTTCTTCTATTATTTCTGGCCCATGGCTATTGGCCATACTTTTCCCTTTCTGAAATGTAAAATTTATAAAGGAAACAAGCATTTAAACTTTTTAAAGAAACAGTTAAAGAACTGAGAACATAAAATACACTGGAAATATAAACTGTTTTTCCACTGCATGGTAGGAAAAGAGAAAGGCCTAATGTGAAATGCTGAAGTCTGAAAATAAGTAAAACAGAGAAGCTCAATGACCTTTTTGTTGGAAGCTCACGTGAAGAAATGTCACAGTACATTGATCAAACTTTTATTCATTTGCATTTTCAGGATGTTGCTATTAATACCACATGACACTAAACAAATTACACTACAACATGACGTTTTGTACAGATAACTTCACCTCTAGTTTCTTCCTCAGCTGTGTAACTGCAGCCTCTGGTTACTTATAGAAAAAAATGTACTATTTTTTTGTTTGTTTGTTTGTAGGGGAAGAAAAACTTTCTCTCTACCTTAAGTCCTGTGACTGGGGTCCGTGAATAAAACTGACAAAAGACTGATTAACAGGAGAAAAAGCATACATACTTGTAACTAACTGAACTAAAAACCGGAAGAAAAAAATCCAAAATGGTCAAGTTTATAAAAACAAATTGAATTGGTATTTTAGCCTTTCCTTCCACAGGGGCTACACAGAAATAAAACTCAAATGAAGCAGTCAGACTTGGAAATTTACATAACATTTTCACAATGGGTGATAAATTGTAAAGTAAACAGGCAAAGAAAAGGGGAGTTAGGCTTTTAGGGGTGGTATATTGTGAAAAAGTAAATATATGGGGAAACTCTTAGAAAATAAGGGCTATTTCAGTTAAGGTCTGTTTATGTAGACTCATCTGAGTATCACCTCTGTTTCCAGTGGTAAGGACCAAAAGAGAGGAGACCCCTTTACAGAGGGAAATGTATGCCCTGCTGAGGCAGTAGTGGGACAGAGTTCTTCCTTCATCTACTGCTTCTCAGTTGCCTTCAACTCAAAATAATCTTTATGCTAAAATGGCCTATTTCAGGGTGACATGATCCCTTAATTTTCTAAGAAGCAATTGAAGTTGAATTGCTCCTGTAAAAAATGTTGGTGTCCAACCTGTGTTCTGTGGAGCTAGTTCCCTAAGGTGTCTTTTTCCTTTTTCTTAAGTTCTATGGTTAAGTAAATTTGAGAAATGCTAAGTTAAACAAGGATAAACATGATTTTTTTCTAGCAAGAATTCTTGGAACTTTTCATTAGCTAACAATACATTGTGATTCAACAAAAGGGGAATAATCGTTTGCTTCCCAAACCTACTTGACCACGAAGAAGGTTTTTAATGGTATGTTTCAAGCCTAGTGTTTCCTATAAAATATATTGAGGAATGATGGGATCAGCACGTTTGTATGTAAGTGCAAAAGTTTAAGCAGCCACCGAAGTAAGTATAAGCCAAAAGGGAGAGAGCTAACTTAATACGGCTGGCAAGTGTCAGTCAGCAGTAACATGCTGCATTCTGAATCATGCTGCCGGGGACTGAGCTCCGGTTTGTTCTTAGGAAGGCAAACTAGAGCGTTCAAAGCTTCCGGATCCCACTGATTAAAACCCCTTCTTGGGCCCTGAAGAGTACCAATGGCTGAGGAAAAAATGGTCTCATGTTCATTTCCATCCTTGGCTCAGGACAGCTCCAGTTGTATTATTCTTAAACATCTATTAACATGATTGCTTCATAATTATACAAGGGCTAGCTGCCAAGGATTTTTCTCAGGAAGCAAGGCACTGCTTGTCTTTAACTGCTCTTCTGGCTTGTGTAAAGGGGTCAGTGTTTCTTTGTTTTTTGTTTTTTTTAAATCTTTTTTTATCTTATTTTAATTGAAAAATATCTCTAAAAATACCATTTGAGTGGCTTTGAGATAAAAAGGAAAAAGCATATTCAAGGCCCAACACTAAATAACCACAACAATATAGATGATTTGGGGGTAGGAGAGTACAGGATTCAGAACTGACGGAAGTTATCGGTACATCAGAAGCACGGCCGTGCTCAGCGCCTTCCCTCCGGGTGTACGGCGCTACCGGGTTTTAATTTCAGCACAGACCACCCTCAGTGTCATGACGGGCTGATCCAGAGGTCCCCAACCAGTAGACTTGATTCCTGTTCCTCAAAGGTCAACTGCCACCACATGTCCCCTTCTTCATCATCCTCCGTGCTCCCTGGAGAGGGGCACAGTTAACACCCAAGTCAGAGGACTGGTTGGCAAAATCCTGTGTTGTCGCAAGATTTGGGGAAAAGTGGAGAGAGAGCAACTAATATTTACTGAGCACTTAGATGGCCAGATATTTTCATACAAATTATCTCATTAACAAACACACACATCTTTTCCTTATTTTGTACATAAAGAAAACTGGGGCTTAGGTTATAAAACCAGTCCAAGGTCAATCCAAATGCTGATGAGTAAATTAGGTTAAAATTTGAGCCAGGTCTGAGTGAGTCCAAGGTCTGTTTTACAATATGCTGTCTCCTGATTATAAAAAAACTGCCTTTTATACGGTAGTATAAATGGCCCATTTCTCCTAAGATCTAGCAAAGCATTTCAACTTCTATCATCACACCAACTTCTAGAGACCGGATGTTTAGATCTTCTCATTCATTTGCCCAAATCAATGGAGCTATTTATTTTCAACTGCTGGTAATAAACTTTCTTAACTCAGCATTTTGGTGAAAAAAAGTCTAAATACTTGAATTGCTTCATTTCACACGCATTCATTTTGCATGCATCCTTTTGGCTTGTTTTTAAAAATAGATTCCAAATCACTGCATATTCAGATATGAAAAATAGGAGGGCGAGCAATGGGAACACTAATGTGAAATGGTCACATGGCTAGAGGATCTGTGTCTATTCTAATCCTAAATTAAATAGAAAACTCTTGAATGCATGACATAATCACTCCTGTGTGCTTGGGACTAAAAAAGAGTAAATAAAGTAGTGCCCTCCGGCTGCAGACTTGGAGAATTCTGTTCCCCCCGCCCCCCCCCCCCCCCCCCCCGCCGCCACTTGCCACCCTGGCTAGGACTCTCTCATTCGGTTTCCTCATTATTTAAAATGAGTTGTTCCTTAAAAAAGAATCTATAGTTTATTGCAATTCATTGGCCTTTCCAGTGTTTAAACACTTTAAAATAATTCAGATCCTATCACCTAATCCTTTAAAAAATTTCTTTGACAAAGGCAAAGGACTAACACATCTTCTAATTAAATTTTCTTTTGAGTCTGATAGGAAATCAAGCAGTAAAGAAAAAGGTACGGTAATCCAGAAAACAGTTTACTTAATGAGACAGTAGCATCAAAGTTTGCTTATTTTGGTTGCAGGTATCATGATTTATACCCTCAGAAGGATAGAGAGAAAAAATCAGCCTTTTCCAGGAAAGACTAATACAGTCAAGCTTCTTTCCCCTTTGCTTAGGCTGATACTGTATATTCACAAATGAAAATAATTTCTGTGAGTGCCTTCAAATTCTTATAATCAGAGAAATTATGTAACAGACTATCTGGCTCAATGCTCACTGTGATAACAAAAAAGCCCGAGGTTTCCTAGGTAGTTTCCTTGACACTTCACCCCCCCCCCCGCCACCATTATCCCATCGCTTTGATTTCCCATTCCTCACCCAACACTTACACTTGGGTTCTGATGCCCGAAGACACATTCTAAGTTGAGTGAACCATATCCACCACAGCCTGGAAGAGGCGGGCAGACACTAGTCACTCAAAAACACTGTATCCTTGACTTGACTTTCTGGGTTTAATTTCCTAATAAATCGATCATTCCTTCAAAATGTCAGGATCAGAAGTGTTTCAGTGGCAGTGTGCAGTTCTTATTTATTTCATCAAAGGTGCCCTGGACATGGTCAAGTTGATAGGTACGTGTACTAGAGGAGGTATTTTGGGGAAATGCTTGTCTTAGCTGCTCTAGCACATGTCAAGGTGAGGAAGAGGGAACTAGAGGGCAATTTCTCCCTCTCCTTACATGCATATTCACCTCTTTTTCTGACCACCATGTGCAGGGGCCTTATACGCAGAGGTCTTTGTCAGGAAACATTAGTGACACTCAATTCTACCATCAGAAGGTCATCGCTCTACCACCATTCATGTGAGGAGAGCACAGTAATCTCAGTACAGTGCTTCTCAAACTACAGAGTGCTTATGAATCACTTGGGGACTTTGCGGAAATGCGGATTTAAATTTAATAGGTCTGGGGTAGAGCCCAAGTGCCTGCATTTCTAACAAGCTTCAATGGACAATGATGCTGCTGATCTGCAAACCACACTTGAGTATCAAGGTCCTAGCATCTCCTGTGGCTAGTTATCTCCCAAGAGAACTCAACAGGGCAGAAAACTCAGAACCTCTGCAATGCCCTGGAGAATCCTATCCTGCACACTAGAGCAAAGGTCACTGGCTCTCACTTCCTCGACTCTGGATATTTCTTCCTGCCCAGATGGATTTGCCAGCTGCTGCTTGCTTAGCTGAATGACAAATCCTGGCTCGGCCTCACCAGGCTTATCTGAGGCCACTCTGCCTGCAACTGAAACATTTGAAACCCTTGCTGAAGTACAGATTCCTGAGCCCTGACCCTGAGACTCCGATTCATTAGATCTGGAGCGGCCCCAAGAAGAAGTAAGACATCCTAGGCGATTCGGGCCCATTAGGGCATTTTGGGGAAGGAAATACATGTAATCTCTTTGATGGATTTGAAAAACCTATATTCTATGGCTGTTAATGCCTTTACATTAAGAAACAAAGTTTAAAAGAAAATTAAGACGACTTGAGCATCTGATACTATGAGAGAAGAAACTCTTTTCTCCCCAATTTCAACACTTGCTTAGGGGCACTTATTATTTCCAGTGAATTCTATCTTTTCCCTTATTGAAGTTCACTAGAAATGTAACGTATGTCTTACATATGTTTTAAAAAATTATTTTAATGCAGGTATGATTAAAGATACACTCAGTTAATCGGGAAAATGTCAAAGGAATGATTATTTTACTTCCTGATGGAACAAATAAAATTGGCGTTGTTCATACACATACACTTTCTACAAACATATCCAAGAAGAGCACTGATCGGATAACAAAAATAAGGAATGAACATTAATTATTAGCTTTAAAACGGCAAAAGCAAATATAAAATACAAAAAGTTACTTTGACTTTGTGAATGAAAAGTCTCCCTCAAAAAGGCTAGCCTTTGGCTATTTGGTCTCCTCTGGGGCAGGAGTGGCATCCCGATGGCTGTTAGCCTCTGCCGGTGGGGCCTCAGGTTCCTCCAGGGCAGCAGCTGCCTCGGAGACCGCAGGGATGGCTTCTGGACGCAGACCAGCCCCCGTCTGATCGGGGGCGGTCTCAGTCGGGCTGGGGGCGGCCTCAGGCTGAGAGGTGAACGTGTCTTGACTGGAGCTGCTGTCTGTGAGACTGGCTATGTCGGCTTGAGCAGGCGTGCCCTCTTCTTCCGTTTCCAATTCTGTTTCCTGACTTTGAACTTCCTCACTTTCTTCTACCATAGCAGGTGGTAGCTGTAATAAGGTCTAATTTAAAAAAAAGAAAGAGAAAATATCAATATGAACTAATTCAAGTGAAAAAACATTGGCTTATAAAGTTAAGCTCTCACATGAACATTATCTTCCAATAAATAAATATCCCAATACATATTGTTCACTCTAGTCTTCTCGAAAACACTGCCGGCCATTTTGTATTACAGATGAAACAACTCTGATGGCAAGGGCCTAGGTTTTGCTGATTCCAAGAATATGCCAACAGATATCACAAATAATGACCAAAATACATATTTTATCTTTAGAGAGAAAAATGGCCTAAAACACTCTTAGATTTTTTTTTAGCAAAGGAATGTGCTGTCACACCTGGAAAAACAGTGGCTGATTAGGACTGACTGGCACATCAACTCAAGAAGGGCCACGTTCAATCAAGGGGCCCTGGGAGGGCGGGGAGGAACCCAGCTGTGGGACAAAGCCCTGGCAGGGAGGGAGCTGGAGGTACAGGCCTCTGTCCCCTCAAACACCACAGCAGCTCTAAATTTCTAGATGCTGAGTCTGGTGCCTGGAAAAGGTGAGAGAGGGACTAGGGAAAAATGAGAGGGATTACAAGAAGCATGAGAAAACTTTTGGGGATAATAAGTTCATTATCTTGATTGTGAAGATGGATGAATTCACAGGTCTGTCTATCTATCTATCTGTTTATCGATCTATCTATCTATCTCAAGACATTTCCAATTGTATACTTTAAATATGTAGAACTTATTGTATGCCAAATCATACCTCTATAAAAATGTTTTGAAAGTATGGATGTTGCATGAATAATAACAGCCCACTTTGATTTAGTTGGTTTTCTACAAGGACTCAAGTATTTAAAGATTTATTCTAGAGTGAAGGGGAATACAGTCAATTACACTGTGGTAATATAGAACAGTGACAAATAATTCCTAGAATTGGTGGGGTGATCACACTGTAAAGTATAAAAATGTCAAATCACTATATTGTACACCTGAAATTAATATAACTAATATAATATTGTATACCAACTATACTTACAAAAAAAAATTCTGAAACAAAAAAGATTCTTTCTTCAGTAAGAAAAATAAGAGTTTGAGAAAACTCACCTGATGATAATGATGTGTAGTCTGTATCAAATGCATGTACATGTTGTATACAAAGTTTGCCATTTGGGGCATATTCTTTATTATCTGTACTTCATGAGATGGTCTCTCTCCATTCTAGAAGAAAGCAAATGAAAGTTAAATATAAAAGTGAAAAACACTAAAAACTAACATTCCAATATAAGTCCACGTCTCCATTTTATGTATAAACACTATTAGGGTTTAGAGGAAATAAAGATGTAAGAGTGAGATTCCAATAAAGTATGAAGAAGAGTGATTCAATTTAAATTTAGAAAATGTAGAGATTAGGAGGGACCTCAGAGTCATTAGTTTTTAATGCAATTTCAGGCTGGTAAGTAAAATGTGAGTTTTGTCTGCTAACTAATGTTAGGAAAAAAGCAATCAATTCAATAGAGAGAAAAATCAATATGGTCTAAAATAATGGTCTCTAATACTATATATGCTCCAAAGGCAATTCTTAAGATTATTCAGAAAGAAAATATTAAAACTATTTTTCCTATTTGTTTTTCTAAAAAATAGGAAGCTAACATTTACAGTAAAAAGCTAACAATATCTAGATTGTCAATCAGGAAGGTGAATACTCAAAAGGAATTTTTACTAATAAATTACATAATCAAAAATGATGACAAACAGTGGTCTGAAGTGTAAACTTGGTGATTTTTATCAGAACCATCTGGGGGAGAAAGGTCAGTCACAGAGGCCTGGGCTCCGGCCCCAGAGGTTTAGATTCAGTAAGTCTGAGACAGAAGGAGGCGATTCTCATGGAGCAGTTTCTGACAACACTCTGAGAACAGTGCTCTATCATTACAGGTAAAGTAAATGAAGAAAGTACAAAATTTGCACTTCTTCCAAAACCGTACTAGAGTAAAGATGAACAACTTTCCTATTTACAGTCAGTTATAAAATGTTTATAAAGTCTCACCCATTCTTATTTTCTCTAATCCTCCATTTTCTCATGTGTAAATTGGGCTAATAAGAAAACCTATTGAACAGGGCTGTTACTGAGATGAAATGAGATAATGTCTGTAAAGAACTAATTGCTTGATAGATCATGAGTACTCAACAAATGTTGGCATATACGTTGGCAAATGTTTTTATATAGAAAATCTAATTTAGTTCCTTAATGCAAGCAGCACTCTAAACCAGTGATTAGATGAACTTTTTGATGATGTTCCTAGCGAATGTGGTCATCTATAAGAGAAAGAAGCTCTACACGATGCATAAAGAAGTCCTACCTTTCTAGTGGTTGGGAAGGGTTCTGTTGGAATTATATGCAAATGAAGTGGGCGGGCTGTGAGCTGGCTGAAGGCTGGAGTGAGTTCAAAACAGTTCTGGAAAAGGGATACTCTGGCGAAGATATAAAGTCCAAGTCTGGCTCTAGACATGGCCACCACTAAGCGACGGACATCCCTTTGGAAAACAAACAAAATTAATTAACATATATCAAGAGTAACGACATTATTTATGCAGCTTTTTCTTACATATTTCATGAAATATTCCTGTTAAGCTGTGGCAATAAAAAGTTTAGTGTTTTCAAAACTTAACAGAGTAAACATTAAGTTAATCAATGTTATGTGACTAGTAAACCGAGCATTAAGTTAATGCTTTATTACTAATCTCTATGTTGGTTATTTTTGGTGGGGGTGGGGAGAGGGTGGGGCGGGGAATCACGAAATAACAAATGTAGGATTAAAAAGATCCAAGTAGCCACATGGGTATTATCGCTCAGTTGTCAGTCACCACTATTAAATCAATCTGAACCAAACATTCCTCTGCCTCTTTACCTACCAAATTCTTAGGCTCTTCAAAGTCAAATTTTACTTCCCAGATAATTCTTATCACACTGTTTTATACTTGCTTGTAATAATAATTACAAATACAAACACACAGTATGATGATATGATACAAGGTAATAATGCCATGCCTTATTCATGTATATACTCTAGTACGTAGCCTCAATACCTGGTCTATAAGTATTCAATGTTCACATAACCAGTAATAAAAATGGCTAAATTGAATGACACAACTATATATGTGATTAATAAATTATGCCAGTTTTTCTTTATCTCTTAAAGAGAATATATGTTTTTAAAACTTTATTTGAATCAAATAAATTTATAAAAGTAGGGCTATATATTATGTCTATATATTATTAGGTCTGTATATTATTAGTGGGTGTTTTAGTAAGAAAAACATTTTAGTTTCAAGTACAAAGCACAGTTTGTTTTCTTGAGATGCTCTTAGATGGCTATTTAAATTTGTAAGTATGCTACAAAAATGAAGACTTTCATGAATGAAAATATTAGAGTTTCAGAGATCAAATGTTACAAAGATCATATAATAACCAGGGATACCTACACCTCCCCTCATATACAAAACTATGAGATGTTCATTTAGGTAGAAGAAAACATATCCCTTTGCAGTGGCATTTTCAGGAACTTCTACATTTGTGACACACTGGAGTCATGAAGAAATATTATCCTCTAGGTTACTGCAAACCAAATTGTTTTTTATTTTCTCCACATTTCCTTAGATGACCCAAGGGGGTCGTGATACAGGTGGGTGATTCCAACACTGGTAACTAGGTGTACAATACTAGAAATGCTTATTAGCATTTTGGGTTCTCACACAAACACTATAAAGGAAAGTATAGTTAAAACAATGTTGTCAGGGGAAGAAAGGACGGTAGTGGCAGAAGCAGGACATAAACTGTTGTTTTCATGGTAATCACTCTGTGGCAACATTCAGTTTCCCCTTCACATCCACAAGGCTCTACATCGCTGCGCAGAGCACGCACGCAGTGCTCTTGCAGTGATACTAAACTGACCCTATTGCACGTGAAGAGAGTTAAGCTAAAATTTTCTGCAGATTCAAATGTAGGTATCTTTTAAGGATATATTTAATGTCTCCCCACCTGGACTCTAATAAATATTAGAGTTACTTCTATATATTGAGAACGCAGCACACTACCAAATAATAGATTGACTTGAAAGTATTTGTTAAATGAATGATCAAACACCATGAACACGACAGACTACCAGGCAAAAACATAAATGAGTGGACAGGGTTCCTTGGAAGTGTATCTTGAACTCAGGGCAATGAGAGTTACCATCTTCTTTCACAGTCCCTAGAACACGGCTGGACAGAAACAAGCCAGCAATCTGACAGAACCCATTATGAGGAAACAACACAAAAAAGTCAGTGTCACTGCTTTGCACGGAACAAGTCCCAGGCATTTCTACTGGTACTTGGGCTATTCAAATCAGGTGGGGACAAGAACAATGCATGTTAGAAAAGGAAATAGAAATGTCTCACTACTCTGGCTTCTAAACAGCTCCACAGTGTCCTACGTCAGGCCTCTGGAAGTAGCTGAATACCCTGGCTCCTACACAATCACCTCAGTTTACCCTGGATGAAAAAGACGTGGGCTAAAGAAATGTGACAGGCACTGGAAAACTTAAAGAGTTATCAATGACCTAGGTAACTAGACCAACAGAATAAAACACATGTCCACACAAAAACTTGTACATGAATGTTCATAGCAGCATTATTTATAAAAGCCACAAAGTAAAACAAACAAGACCCCCAAATATCCAACAACTGATAAATGCTAAATAAAATGTGATATAACCACATAATGGAATATTATTTGGCAATATAAAGGAATCAAGTATTCATACATGGTACAACATGATTGAACCCTGATATTATTATGCCAAGTGATTCCATTTATATGAAGTGCCTAGAACAGGCAAATCTACAAAGATGGGAAGGAGAGTAGTGGTTGCCAAGGACCTGAGGAACAGACAGGAGTACTGCTGGCAAGCGCAGGGTTTCTTGTTGGGGTATGGAAATGTTTCTAAAACTGACTGTGAAGATAGCCGCGTAACTCACAACCACTTACACACTTAAAACAGGGGAATTGTATAGTGTACGAACTATATCTCAATAAAGCTATTATTTAAGAGAAATATGAAAGAAAGTAGGTTTTCTTGGTCTCTTGAAACTTAAGAAACAAAATATTAGAAAAGGAAAGATATGAAAGATTATCTCTGTAAAGCAAAATATTCTACGAAAAGTTTGATAAAATTCTAGCTAAGGTACCTAAGGAATTTGGGTAACTGGAAGTATAAATAATCGTTAAACTGACAGATCCCCTATATACTTTTAACAGCACCTGAACCACCCCTTCCGCCCCTCCACCCTGATGAAGAAGCTGGATATTCAAGAGCAAATTTTGGTGAATACAAAGGAGATTTGATTACATGGATAACGGTATTTTTGCTTAGAAAATCTTGATATATACGACAATATGAAATCAGGTTGTTTTTTAACTCTTCATTTATAATAAGCATTTTATCATCACTTTTTTTTTTTTAAGTTTCCAGTAAATTCAGGCCAAGAATAACACAGAACTAAACTCATGGGAATCTGGCAAAGACAAAGCTCTACAGGGTAAGGAAAAAGGTGCGCAGGAGAGGAAAGCAGTATTCATGTACTCATACTGTGAGTTTCTGAGAGATTTTAATTACATAAATCCCCATTCAGAAAGCAGCTAGCTATAAATCTCACTATGGGAAAGGATCTGCTTTTAGAAATGTTAGTATCCAAATACATGCTTCACAGTTAAGTAAATAAGCAAAAATAAACTCTTGGAGAATGCTATCATCTTAAAATAATTTCTTGAAACATTCTATCTTTGCTTACTTTTACATAAAAGTTATCAGTCTAATGGAACCGGATCACTGGGCTAAGCTCCAAACAGATCTCAACTTAATGATAATACTATGAGAGGTTGGAGAATTTTCTTTTTATACCCATCAAATAAAATAATAAAATGAACTCTCCATATAGTTTTGCTATTAAGTCATGAGAGATGAAGGTTTGTATAAAACTAAAGGGCTGCTTTGTAATAAGACGATATTATTCCTATAAATCTCTAGCACATAAATAGATCACAATAAATGACAAAAATAGATTGTTGTTTGTTCTGACAATTCTTAATCTTGGGAGAACAAATGGTTCCTTTATCCTATAACACCAAAGCTGAGAGACTGTGGAGAAACAGAAATCCTGTGCAATGAAAAATCCATTCTGAAAAGACTTTTGAACCACTTTACTTCCTTCAATTTCTGAAGTGAGTTTCCAACCGATATAGAATATATATTAAGATTTTATGATAAAGTGCTATTTCTGAATGTTACTGAAGACTAAAGAAGATCAGACTACTAAAACATTTAAGATTCAAAAAATTCAGAAGCAATACAGAGAATCTGATATTGTTACATTCCAACATACAGTATCAAAAGCTGCCATAACAATTAATTATACTTTAAACTTAAAAACAGTAAAACTACTTAGCCACAGAAGTTTCAAATTGAAACAAATAGTAAAGTTCAGTAATATTACATCAGTTTTTCTGTACATACCTCAGATGGCCCACTGCCCTGGTTCGTACTAGAGAAAGAAGAATATAATCATTCTGTTGACCTTGAAATCTGTCAACAGTTGTCACCTAGGAAAAAAACAAACAAACAAAAAGGTAAATATGGTATGTTTTCAACAATAAGACTCTAAAGAGATCATTTAAATAATGTGCTAGAAATAAAAATCTTATCCTCAAAACAATCAATCCCTAAATAAACATGACCATGTACTTGGAATTCAAAGGACAATGAACACTAACTGAAAGCCACTGTAACCAGATTAGGCTATGTCTCTATGTTATTCACCTTTACCTATGCTGATAGCTGAGGAAGTGCGTGTGGCCATTAATAGTCCTCCTCTACAAGACTGCTCTCCGCCATGAAACAGGACTGCATTTAGCTTATTACCTGGTCTCCCAATTGGATGTCCAGCTGTATAACTTACTTTGCTCAAGTTATTTAACATATTTCTAGTTCTCATCTATTGCATTCCTCTGTCAAAAACCAAACAAGTCATCTTGTTCAGTGTGAAAATACATGCAAAATAAGAAAATTCAAAGAGGTTTCAGCCTAATATTGGCGCTCAGGTGCTTATCTCTTTTTCATTAATTCAATAAACCGTTAAAATGCTTATCCTGTGCAAACTACAATCATGGTCCTACCTTTTGGAAGTGAACACTTATTTTTAACTCAGGTTTGCAGAGGTATAATTTACATACAATAAAATACACTCACATGAAGTGTACAACTGGATAAGTTCTGACAATACATACTCTCATATAACCACCACCACCATAAAAATTTCCAGGACCTCGGGCCCCTTTGTCGCCAAATCTGCATCCCTTTCACTCCAGGCAACGGCTGATCTGCTTTTTGTCACTACAGAATTTTTTCCCCAATTCTAGAATTCCATAAAAATGGAATAAATTATGTACTCTTTGCTAACTTCTTTCAGCATATTTATGAGATTCATCCATGTGCTGTATATATTAAAAGTTTATCCTTCTCTTTTTTTGACTGCTGATTAATATTCCACTGAATGCATGTGCCACAATTTGTTTACCCATTCACTTGTTCATGACATTTGGGTTGTCTCTAGTTTGGGGCTATTTTGAATATAACTGCAATGACCAATTTTGTATAAATATTTTTGTGTCATGTTTTCACTGCTGTTGGATAAAAGCTAAAACAAATTGTTGAGCTGTATGGGAAGTGTGTAACTTTGTAATAAACTGTCAAACTGTTTTCCAAAGCTGCTGTATCACTTTACACTTTCACCAGCTGCGTTCCAGTTCCAAAATTCCAGTTGTTCCACATCTTTGGCAACACTTACGAGTCAATCTTTGTAATTTTAGTCTTTCTCTTGGGCGTGTAGTAGTACATCACTATAGTTTTGATTTGCATTTCCCTGACAACAAATGATGTTAAGCACTGTTTCACATGCTTATTGGCCATTCGTATGTTTTCTTGTGTGAAATGTCTGTTCAATACATTTGCTAATTTAGTATTGGGTTGTTGTCATTTAATGACTTTTATATTGATAGAAGTCCTTATATTCTGGATACAAGTCCTTTGCTCCTGTATGTGGAAGTTACACTAGGAAATTCTGCTACCATCCTGACGTTGTGAAGAGCTTGTCTGAGACATGGGCTCACAAACTGAGAATGGCAGGGCTGAAGGATGAAATGAACCTTGGTCTTTGGTGACAGCACTGAGTCACTGTAACCCCACCCTGGAGCCACACTACTTTGCTCTTGTTATGGGAGAGAGTAACTTTATTATTTAAGTTTTTCCGTTACTTTAAAAGAAATCAGATATTGAAGTCCTTCTATTTCTAAGCCTTCCAAGTTACTAGCTTCTCACTTTCACTCTCTATATCCCTTATGGAGAGGTTCATGGTGTCTAGTCTCACTGCAGTCCTTTAGATTTTGTCTTGATTTCTATGATTCTGTTTTATTTTCTTTTAGCTCACATTTTGTCTCCTCCCAAGCTCTTCAATTTCCCTACTTTGTAGCTCCCTCACAGCTATGGTTACTTCATTAAGTACTTTAAAATTTGAATCCAAATGTGCATTCAAAATTTTCATGTTCCAGGGCAACATGTTTTCTGGAACATGCATTTTGTCAATTAGGATATTCTGAGGCTCTTTACCTGTTTTTTTTTTTTTCCCTATATAAATCAAGCATGTGCTAGTTTCCTTCCCCCCCCCATTTCATTATTGATTAAGAGATTAGGCTGCGGTGAGTGGGACTGTTTTCTAAAGGCTGGATGGTTTTCACAACAGAAGGTTCTGATATTCTGCTACTACAGAGACAGTCTACTTGCAAATATAACTATTTGAAAATAAAGCTATTGCAAATATAACTCACCTATAGGCTTCCTTGAACCAGACTGGGATCAAGAAGGCTTGTGCTCACCCTAATCTGTATCCATTGTTGAATAACAGCTATGTGGCTCCTACGCTTCAGAATATGCCACTCACCTTCAGGAAGTGCATTTTTTCTGGCCTTTAAAAATTCATCCACTAAATTCTCTTCTTCCCACATTTCCTTCATGATTTTAGTCTCCATACCTGTGTCATCTGACTAAAAATGGAATTTGTCTTCTCCTCCTCTCACTTTCCTCTTACTTTTGGCTTATTTCCAAGAAAAGGTAAAAGAGCTTTTATACAGCCATATTCACAACCAAAGTACTAATTTCATCATTATTAATATATGTTTTGTTATTCTTTCAAATTTTCAACCTTTTATTGATGAAATCAAGCATATTCACTTCTATTTGATATTATTACATCATACCACATACACAATAAAAAAATAAAAAAATAAATCCTAGGTCGAGCAGTTTCTCATTCGCCATGGACAGGATCACAAAGCACCTTTCCCGTTTAGTTTTCTGTGCTGCATTGCTAGCATCCAGTCTACCAGGAACATTTTAGTAACCTTACTTATACTCATTGCCTCCATCAGCACTGTCCAATATAAATATGACACAAGTTACATGTGATTTTGTGGAATCACAACATGTGATATTCCTTAAATATAAATTTATTAACTTTAAATAACTGTGCCTATATTATACATAATTTAAAAAAAAAATCCTTTACAAAAAATAAAAAATCCTTGATCTGGATTCACTTAACAATTTTCCTTTATCTTCAAGAAAAAAAAAAACTCCCTATACACATACAATAAGAGGCAGTACAAACTATAGCTTTGCAAACAAAACAAAAAATGATGCAATTCCTATTTCTACTCTAACAGTACCTAACTAATGTAATATTGTTATCCATCATTTTGCAAACAAAAGATTTTAGAAACATTTATTTCTGATTGCTGTCAATAAAAACCTTCAGTGTGGCAGCTGAGGCAGAAGGTCAAAACAAACCAATAACACTGTCAGAGAGGACTGCCAAAGAATTATTTATAGTTCCTATTACTGCATTTTCTCACCTTTTAAAAGGAGATGGCATAAAGATAAAGTGAAACAATATAAATAACTCATAATGAAATCTTTCTTTCTTACCAAAATCATGAATAAGAAGACACATGTAATATATTCATAAAATTACCTTATTTGGTCTTCCAATCAATGGGTTGCTCCCACATCGTCTATTGATAATGTCGCGGATAAGATGCTTTTGCCCATTATAAGTTGTTAGGATACTAATCTTGTCAGCAGGGTAACCAAGTAAACACATATACATGAAGAGTGCCACTACATACTCTGCTTCTCCAAGATTCTGTAATGCAAACATAATCAGATTGTGCATTTATTTCCTTTTGTTTCAATTTTATAGAGAAAATGGTTCACTAGCACAATCTGTTCATTTATCTCTCTTCAAGGGGTGAAGCGTTAATAATTTGGACAAGTGAACATCTTACATAAAACCAATGAATAACCTTATCCTAGATGAACATTGATAATAAACACAGAATAATGTAATTACTACTACTTGACATTTGCAATGTTTGTAATATATGGAATATCATAAAATAAGAGTTACCAACCTGAAGACTTAACATTTCTGGGACCACAACAGTCACAACACAGATCAATAATACTCTGCTACAGTGTACTGGAACTACAGTTTTCGAAAGAAACTAACATAAATGGGGGAATAACTGTCTTACAAGGCAATGTAAAATCCAGTCTAATAGCATATATATCTAGCAATGCTGTTGTCAGTTCTCAACTGTTATACAATGTTTTTCCTTCTTCTTTCTATTTCACAGTAGTTTTTGTGTTTTGTATTTGTTCTCTTATGATGGCTGCCACCTCTACCAGACCATTTCAGGTGGGAAGAGGACGTGGGCCCAAATTGGTCAGTCTGGCTGACTGGGACGTAACAGACTGGTTAAAGATTTGTGACACGGAGTTTAAAACCGGGGCTTCACTGAACTTGAAAGCCAGGAAGCATACACAAGCCTATTTAGTCCAGTTCAGTAGAGACTAAATTGAAAGTAATAGATCAGGGAAAAAAGTAAAAAGAGAATATAAACATGACATCACAATCAAAGAGAAAGACAAAAAGCTGGATTTCATGTCAAGGAAACAGGAACATTACAGAAGACCTTCAGAAAAATCATTTATATTCTGGTGACACTCACACAGTCTAGGTTATCTTTTAAATTTTCTAGTTCTAAGACAGGAGCGAGAAGTCACATGACTGTAAGACTTACTGATTTTCTTATCAGTAGCAAACTACGTTTATCTAAGCATCAACTCTAACACAGGTAAAAGAAATCTTTTGGTGCATATGCTGCCAGGTATTTTTGTACAGATTATCAGCATATATTTTCTATATGTGTTTTTCTGTTCCTTTTTAAAAATAAAATGAGACACTATAGATACAACTTACAATTTGATATTTTCATTTAATATAGCATAAACATTTCTACTGTCAGTAAATCAAGTTCTAATGTCATCATTTTTAGTGGCAATTGAGTATTTCATTAAATGGAATAGGTAATAATGTAATCAATTCCCACTGACAAGACATTCAGGTTGTTTCTCATTTCCAAAATAATTTGCAGTAAAAGAAAAAGACAAAATAAACATTTTAGAATGTAAGTCTTTGAAAAATTCATCTAATTTTTTAAAGAATGAATTCCTAGAAGCGAGAATACTGTGCTGTTAATACATAATGACAATCTGTCTACACAATTACTTTCCTACTAGTTTTGCATGAGTACAGAATTTCCTCAAATCTACCCCAACAGAGGTGAAAATATGTTCCAGTGATTTGTACTTGCTATTAATCTATATTTTTCCACGTGTGTGAATTGCATATTCTTGTCCTTACTGCCTTTTACTTTTGGGGCATTGATGAGTTTTTAAAGAGATTTATAAGAGTTTTATAAACATTCAGACTTCAACCCACTGTTTGTTAAATATTGAAAATAAACTTTTCTTAAAGCAGTATTTTTCTTTATAATTTTCGCTTTTGGTAACAAGTTTAGTAAGATCTTTCTCACTCCAACATTAAATATTCATCAATATTTTTTTTTATTTTCAGAAAGTGTGCTTATAGTTTCTTTTGTGTATGTATCTTTAATCCAGCTGAAATTAACTTTTTGTATTGTGTGTGTGGAGGGGATCTAATATCCTTTATTCAAAGACTAGCCAAATGGTTCTGTATAACTGATTAAGGTAGTAATTCAGCCCAGTAATTGCAAAATAAACTTAAAAGCTTCATGGTTTTTTCTTACCTGATAAAAGTAAGGATTAGGTTCAGACTCTCCTACTCCCTGAAAGTCTTCAACGTTGATGAGCTGGAAGTCATACAGCAAGCCAGCATTCGCTGTGCTAAACTCGGGCAAGAGCTGCACATGGGGTAAGTTGCCTAGTTTTTTGTATCGCCAGTTGTAGAGGTTGCACAAGCTTTCCAAAGACAAATCCCCCCAAACAGGAAATATTAGTAAGGTAAAATCCCTTTTAACATATATAAGAGCATTTCTAAGGAACTGTGTTCTTCCTCTTAATTTTCATGGTACCCATTTTGTGCATGTCTTCCTAGCAGTAATGTTTTTTCAACCTTTGCCTCCCTATTTCAACTAACCAAATCAGCAGGTATATGATATTACAGAAATGGCAGCTCCATTGTGTTCTCAAGGTAAATGTTATCTTCACTGAAATTTAAAAAGCAGGAAAATTTCTATAAACTGAGGGAAATTTTGAGGTAACTATGAGATAGGGCCTGTACACTTTATGAAACAAGAATTGGGTGTTCTCCTCTTGTTCACTTTTTGCTTTATATTTCAAAATGATATTATCTCTAGATCTTCTGAGGGCATAAAAAGAAGTGACAGTGGAAAAAATAATTTGGTTAAGTCACACCCCAAGTCAAAGGCAGTTAGGGGGCTTTCAGATATTCAGATGGCCAGTTCCTGGGCAGCGGGGAATACTAAGAGTTTATACAGAAGACGTTATCAAATACTTTGATTATGGAATTGACGGCCATAGGCTGGAGTAATCCCCTCCGTCCCCCTTGCCCCTCTTACCTTGCTCTGGCTCTCCCCTGGGCATCGAGGTCCACAGTGGGAACTCCAATCCGGACAAAGCGAGTGAAGAGAGACTGCTCCATGTTTGAGTACTTTTGAAAGGCCATGTTCTTAATGACTGGAGGTAACTGGTGATGATCCCCAATCATTATCCATCGTTTCAGTCGGCTAAAACCATCCTGAGGGTTCTAGAAATGAAAAGTGAGGAACTGGCAAAATGTTCTAATTGATATACGACCCTACCAGTCTTCAATTTATTGCACAAGATTCCTGCTAGTCACGAAATGGCTTCATTAGCTAATTTTTCATATTCACCAGCTCCAGAGAGGATCCCGGCAAATTATAGAATGACTAGCAGACTAAGTGTGGATACCATTGCTCTTGGTCGTCAGTGTGTGAGGAAGAGGGACTGAGGTGACAAGCATGGCATTACCCTATTTTAATCTGTGGGATAATCCAAAGAGGCCTGGGAGGCTTAGGTCAGAATTAGGCAAAGAGTGCATTGAAGGAAACATAGGCACATGCAGGGAAATAAAAAGATGCCAAAGTAAACACCTTGTATCACAATTATGCAGAGAGCCAGTTCTGAACCCCCTGACAGCAGTAAAAATTATACCTTTTAAATTTCTTATGCTATTTCAATTTCCTACTCTGTGTCTCCTTATTCCTTTGAAACAAGTCCTGACAAAATACATTTCAAATAACCTGGCTTTTAAAACGACTTTTGGAACCCAATGTATCTATAAGTTAGAGCAGTCTTTATTTTTAAATTGGGGATTCCACATTTTGTGTTTAATTCTTCCACAGTAAAGACTATTGTACAATAAGTAACATACTTAAACGTCATCATGTAGCTCAAAAAAAATTTAGGCATAACCTAAAAAAAAACAATGTGACAGTAAGCACCAAAAATAATTCAAGAAACAACTCTAACAAAAGAGATTAAAAAATAGCTTATCTTTCAACCACACTGCATAAAAATGCAATATTCTTGATTCAAATTACTAAGTCTTTTCAAAACTTAAGAGATAAATTATGAAATTTTACATAGTACTCCTGGAAACAATACAAACTACTAAATAGCCAGTGAATAGATTAAAGGAAAGTTTACGGGCTTAAAATAGAATATCAAACATAATGATGCTAGGGAAATACATACTTATGGCAATTAGCACCTCCCAAATTATCTAGCTTTCTGATGCTGCTCCTGGGAATTCTTAAAACTTTACTTTCTTTGTCTCAGATCTCAATACCTTACCTGCAGAAGAAGAGGTATAAAAGTTTCTATCTCCAGAATCTGAGCAGCCTCCTCCATTAAAATGTTGTCGTACTGAGAAAAGGAAACACAGGAAAGCTTGTCAAAAAGACAGCTTGAAAACTAAACAACTACTATCATAACCACAATCATCATGTAAAACAAACCAACCAACCAACCAAAAAAAACCCCTAAAGCCAAATAATTTCTGATAAAAATATTAACAAATTATTCAAACAGAATTCACAATCTTATTTATCACTACGCCCCTGCTTCTCCAATTCAAGTCTCTAACCTAAAGGAAAGCCCCCTAAATATATCACTCTGCATTGAAGAGACCTTGAACATCATTTCTTAGACTGCAATATCAATATAGTTCTTTAAGTTCTATATAAGCAAGAATCAATTTATGATTATATAGGTCATTTTCAATTGGTACTTCTTTTTCTATTTTTCTTTAAATAGTTTTTAAAATTACAATTTATATCCAATATTATTTTGTAATAGTTTCCAGTGTGCAGCATGGTGGTTAACCAAATATATATGTGTTCCCCCTGATATTCCCAGTACCCACTTGGAACCCACACATAGTCATTACAGTATTACTGGCTGTATTTCCTATGCTGCACTTTTCTTTCCCTATGACTATTTTGTAACTACCAATCTGCACTTCTCATCCATTGGTATTTGGGGATAATTATTTTTCCCTTACGAATCCTTCCCAGTACTTAATCTCCTTTTGTTTCTGCCCCTGGCATCTAATATATCACCCAAGTAACTTTTACCTTCGAAAACTCCCTCTTGAATCTATTCATTTTTCTCCATCTCTGGCACCACTATCACTCTAGTTTAAGCCACTCCCTGACTACTGCAGGCCATCTTTTTACCAGTCCCTCCCCTTCCTGTCTTGCACCAACGACATCACTGACACAGCAGCCACCATCTCATCGCTTCACCTCCCTGGTGTCAAACCTGTCATTGGCTTCTGCTTGTCTAAGAAAAAAAAGCCCCTTAAGTGGCCTGGGACAGATGTATTAACTTAGGGCCTATCTGTAGTCAGTCTGGCACCGGCCTTTCTCTGTTTTAGACGTCATTCTTACTTATTAAGCTTCAACCATGTTGACTTACTTCATTTCCTCAGAAATGGCAAAACCATTCCTGCCTCTGGCCCTCTACACATGCTATTCTCTATTTTGTGTTTGCTTGGTTCTTTCTCATTCTAAAAATATCAGGTTAAATCCCAGTGTATCTAAGCCTTCTCTGACCTCCCAATCTAAAATGGGTTTTAGAATGTTCTTTTTCTTTGTCTCACAGCACATCTAAATTTGCAATCCTGTGTATTTACTTGTTTGATACCTGTATCTTCTCACTTAGCCCAGTTTATAGTAATGTTAGGCACTCCACATTTGTAAAATAACAACAAAAAATTCTTTCTCCAACATGAGGAAATTTCATTATTTCTTTAATGATTACTTCTCTTTTATCTGACTAATTCTCTTCTATATCACTTCTCAACATGTTTTATCTTTCCCCTCTACTTCTAATTCTGATGGCTATCTAGTGTATCTTACTCCTTGTTTTACTGGTAAAATACCTTCTTTGAGAATCTCGTAAATGCATATTAGAATTCCTTTGTTTTCTGTTTTTAAGGTTTTCTCCTCTTATTTTGTTTTCTGGGGAAGTAAGAGGTAGGGGGATAATATTTATTCTTAATGCTTAATTAAATCTCCCTTTTTGAACTCATAGTTGATATAGCCTGTAATTTCTGTGCTACTCATTTTTATCAAAATTGGCTTGCGTCTATATTTGTCCAAGACTGGTAGGTGAGCTGGATTTCTATTCAACAGGATGAAAGTTAAAGTTCAATTCTGCACTGTTTCTTATTGGAAAAGGTTTAGGCATGTGGCTGGATATCTTCTCTAACCCTATCTGATACTGATTTCCCTATTACGATGATTAATTATGTCATCTGGTATGAGCTTAGAAGAAGGTGTTCAGAAAGCCACATTTTTACAGAAGTCCCTGTGTGGGCCCTCAGGGTAACCGATACACCATGCAAAGGGAACGGGAAAAGCTCAACGAAGACAGCTTAAAGAGCCTGCTTTCCGAAAACTTCTGAAAATGTAATGCAATTTAACTTACATATATATGTACTTTGCGTTTCAAAGAGGAGATCTGAGTCATGAAGCAAAATCATGACATACTATATTGGGAATATTAGGAAGGAGAAAGCCCACGAAAGTGCACACATGTCTCATTGGGGACAGCACAGAGTCAAAAGACAATGCCTAAAATGGCAATATAACATTCTTTACTAATACAGATAAAAATAACAAAGGAAATACTGAGAGTTGAAAGATTAAATAATTGGGGAGGATAAGGAAGTGGAAGGCTGTCTTTTAAAAATTTTAGGAAAATCTAGGAGGTTTTTAAGCTCTTAAACCAGATATATGAGTAAGTTGTATAAAATAAAACTTTAAAATTAAAAACATAAATCTAAGAGATGTTATCAGCACTCATGCTACCTTTAGATGTATACAGCAATGTAAGTGAAGAAAATAATTAATGAAAACGTGATTAGCTACAAATAATATTTTTTAGAAAATGGACATGAAAGGCTGCATGATGGCCTAACATGCATCATTTCCCCTTGTTATTGAACTGGTAAGATTTAATATCAATTTCAAAGTATATTTGGTGTCAGCTCCAAGAATAAAATATTTAGGTGAAAAATTCTCATTAATAACTCGCAAGAGAGTACTGCACACTACCCTTTAATAAATTACCATATTTGTCCTGCCTTGCAGCTTTGGAGCCTTTTATCCAAGAATAATTCTGTTATCTTGGATTTATTGAGCACCCATCTTTCAGTGAGTGCATAACATTAAAAAAATTGACAGTTACTTTTGTCAACAACAAGTCCTTTTCAAACTCTGAATTCAAACCAGTACTCTAACCCTACTTTAAGTAAGCATAGATAAACCAGTTGCAGGAAAGTTAACTGATTTGTATTAAAATCAGAGTTTAGGTAGTGTCATTAGCAAAATCAAAGAGTCTGCAAATTCATATTTACTGCTCAATTATTACCTTCCATTTCAATTGTGTCACAAGCTAACAGGCTATAGCTCTCTGGTCTTTGTAATTAAGTCATTTAATATCTCATCTTTCCAGTCTAAATAAGGGTATTACATATCCTCACATGGAAGGCTTTTTATTTATTGAATGAACAAATAACTGGGACTGAATGTGTGCTTAAAATGTGAACAATGCGAGCATTTGGATGTTTAACAGGTAAAAAACATTGCCATGATATTTATTTATTTTAATCCTCGCCTCAGGATATATTTATTGGTTTTAGAGAGAAAGGAGGGGAGGGCGGGAGAGAGAGAAACACCCATCACTTGCCTCCTGTCTGGGCCCTAACTGGGGGGCAAACAGCAACCTTTTGGTGTATAGGGGGGATGCTCCAACCAACTGAGCCACCTGCGAGGGCACCAAAGGTTATTTTTATAGCTTTTAGTTTTGTTCAGAGATTTTTTTCATGTAGGGAAAACATGTTAATCTACCTTAACAAGTATTAGAATTTGCTTAGACAATCATATGGTTATAATGTTACTTAGTGGACATATTACTGACTTAGAAAAATTACATGTAGAGTTCACCAATCATATAGAAGTTATCACTTTTAAGAGACATTTTTAAGTAATTATAAATGCAAACTACAGTAAGAGGTGAGCCAATCCCCAAGGGAAATGGCCTACATTTAAGAAAAAAAAAAAAAACAAAACAACCAAAACCAACAGTTGAACAAATGATGAATTAAGGAACTAAAATATAACTCTTTACCTTGAAACCTAACTTGACTAAATCATGTCGTTTTAAGGCAGCATGAGTACAGGTCATGGCAATGATTTTGGCTTCTTTCACCAAAAGGTATTTGGATCTGTCCAGGCCACTTCGCAGCAGTTCAGAGGCCCTGAATTCCTAAAAGAGTGGGGGTGGGGAGGGAGCAGTGAGAAAGTACTTTAAGAAAACGTAGTTTATGCATACATCCATGCAATCCAATTAATCATGCTTACTTCCCGAGGAGTTAATATAAATATATCATAAACTAGGCCTAAAGAATCACAATTCTTTTCATTATTAATTAGGTAATATTGAATTCAAGTAACAACTGATACTCAAGCTATAACTTGACTGTTTTTTTGCATAAGGTAGACATTTGCGAGATCAACAAGAATGCTGAATAAAATATTAATCACCGCTGTACCTATATTACTCAGGGTCCCTCCTGAAAAACTGAAACCATTTCAAGTACTCATAACAAAGGGAATTTATCGCAGGGGACTTGTTACACACGCGACAGAGGAGCAGAAAAGCCAACACGGAACGGTAAAGTAACCCAGAGAGCAGCAACAGCAGGGAGTTATGACATTCCTCGGCTAAGAAGAATAAAGGGAGGAGGCAGTGCTATCAGAGCCCTGGGACTATGGAACCACAGGTGACCAGGCCAGCAAAAACTGGGGCTACAGGAGAGATGGGGCCCAAGGCATAGAGAAGTGGTGCAGAAATATCCTGACTTTTCCTTTTCTTTTATTTCTTCTACAGTTCTCACTGGCAAAACCCAGTTGAAGTCAGCTGACATGGGAAGCTGGGGAATTAAACCTACAAGGATCAGCCCTTGACCATGTAAGAGGATCCCCCAGAGAGCAGAGTAGGGGGATGGACAACAGATGGATGTGAGGAGCAAACAGGCCCAAACAGTACCTAATAACAAGCTTTATCAAATCTAAACATGGACCTGGAATAATCCTAAACCTTCTTACTGAGGAATCTGGGTCTGAATGTGGTTACTTTACAGAACTGCTAGTCTTCCAATGATGTTTTCTAAAAGGAATGAGAAAACCAGGAAGCATTCCAGGAAGTCTCTTGGGTTCGAACATATTCTTCTCTGTCCCCTTTGGACAGAGGTAATTCTTACTTCACCTCAGTAATCAGGATCAATCATCCTAGCTAACCGGCAATCTCACTTCTTGTCTACTGAAAAGTGGCACGAAGACCTTAGAATGGCCATGTGGCAGTCTCAAATTCCAATTCAAAGAACTGTTGTTGAATCAGCCAGAATAATGTGCATTCAATTCATATCTTAATTTTTACTTATTTTTTGAACTATAACTAGAAATATCTGCAATAAGCTCACTTAAAAGTAACAATCTGGTTGGTTAGACCTGAATATGTCATTTACTTCATTTAAAATAAAAACAACTAAATTTAAAACCTTTAGAGTAAAGTTAAAAGACCTTGAGAAACCTTACCTCAAGCTGAGTAAAGATTTTCTTAATATGCCTGAAACATCCTTCAGCAATTTCCATGTCTTCTTCGTAAGATCGACCTTTAAAAATGGGTTGAGGGGCATTTGCAAAGTATTCATGAAAAGGGAAGAAAGTGGAGACTTCTGTAACATCTGGCGATGCGTTGCTTTTATTTTTCACTTTGCTGATATATTCCTCCCAACGAGACATTACCTATAAAATGAACCTGAGGTTAAAATTGCCAGCCAATTGTTTTAAATGATAAAATAAAAAAGAAATTTAGTCAAAGTAAGATCTGCTAGGTAAAGGAAAAGAAAAGCAATCTTTGACCCAGAAGAACTATTTCTTATCAAAAATCACTGATGGGACTGCCCTTCTTTTATAGAAGTAACCTTTAACATTCTAGAAAAAGCCTTTTTAATCAAAAATGCTGGAAGGGGAAAAAAACCTCAGTCAGGGTCACCTCGTGGACTTTATCTCAGATATTTCAGATTCTCTATTTATGCAAGGCAGGTTATTACTGAGGCTTTAAACAAATGGAGACATTCCTCATATTTTCATTATCTCAGTTTTTCTCCAATTATGGTAAGTTCAGCTTTGGCAGTTTTTTAATCAATTTGGCACTTAACTCTTCTCCCAGACCTTTATAATATTTCCAGTTTCTCTTCAGTACATTTATAAAGAACTTAAAGAACTGGTTAAGCCAAGTACACATCTGAAAGCTCATTTTATGACCTTTGTGACAGAGTTCAATTACATCCTGGTGTAACATTAACTATGTCTCTACCATGAAGCTCCTACTTAATTAATCTCAACTTCTGTAATTCTCCCAAGTCTTTCTGTTAAAGCTTCAGTGTTTTTCAAAGTGTGGTCCTTAGGCAGAATCTACTGAAAGAGACTCTGGGGACAGGCCACCTTTTCCCAATGAGGTTCTTATGCGTTGAAAATTGTTGACCTATATCGTGAAGCCTCAAGTTCATAGTCACCAAATATTATTACCTAGGTCTCCATAATTTATAGATTACTTCTCTTACTTTTAAAAGTACCCATATTTTGCTGTGTTATAGTGTGTATTTTTTTGCTCAGATTTTTGAGGGAAAAATAATGATGCATATTATACATGGGTAATGCCTGAAATAACTTGTATCTGTTCTTGTGTTTAAATTATTTGTTACATAAAATTTCTTGTACCATAATATGTTCAAAAATAAATGCTAAAATTCCTTCATTATACAAAAAACCAAGTATCTAAATATAAATATGTAATTAAATTTAAAAATTAAAACAAAAGACTTTTTTCCCCTGAAAGTTTGGGCCAAAAACGTAGGTGCACATTATACATGGCAATGAGTTATATGGCAAAGTATGGTAGTTTTTACTGATAGCCTAGTGATTTTTATTTTGTCCAAATATACATTTAGGCATGATCTTTACTCTATTATTCAAAGTTCTAAACAGATGCAGTTTAATGCAAAATACATTGTAGGATGATGCACATCTTCCCTGTTCTGAAAGAAACCATGGAATATGCTCATTTTGAATGGACTCAACTGGTTTGGGTACGCACTTAAAAAGAGCACAAACTCATTCTTTCATATACATTTTAAAATTTCAATGTTATGATTTATAGCTAAAATTAGTACAAAGAGAACAAAGTTATACAAAAATCTTCATTATTTGATTAAGCTTTGGTCTATTAAAAGTTATGAGTAAACCAACTGACTATTAAAGTTTATTTGTATTCATTTTATTTGCCTATATTTCTCATTGGTTTCATATTCAAGAAACTAACTTTACAAAAGCAAACGATGATATCTCTAAAGAGAAGTCAAAAGAATTTTAACTTAAACTCCTACACTGAATTTAATTCTAAAAGAATTTATTTCTGGAAATTTTAAAGGAGATTTTGTTTTTCTTTTAAACTGATTAATATGCATAGTAAAATTAAGTTACAAAACTATACTTTGTTACCACTAGGAGCTACAATATTTAGTTCCTTACTGTGATTAAAAAAAAGACTAGAAACTTTTTCAATAGCAAAAAGGAAAAAAGAAAAATTTAAAAGGTACCAACATTGGTCTTTATTGATTGAGCCATCAAGCAAAGTTAGCATAGAAAACTGAAGATTACAGGAAACACAAAGATTTAACACTCACAAATGTTGCTTTGGTAATAGTATGTATTTTAACCTACTTGCTGGAAAAAATTAAGCTTTCAAGAAAAATCTCAAAAAACCCACCTCAGTTTCCAACTGAAGACCATATAAGTGCAGTATGATTTAAAACCCCTTGACTTCTTACCTGATATAAGAAGAAATAGCCTGCAGTTTCGCAAGTATATGAAGCATCTCCTGGAACCCCTAGACTCTTTTGCAATCGTTTGACTTCTTCTAGAAGTTCTATTCTTCGAGCCAGGACATAATTAACTCTTCCATACCTAGAAATTACAATTAAGCAAAAGGGCAAAATTATGTAATGAAGAGGCTTCCAAGGAAACTGTCAGTAAGATATTCAAGAAAAGTCATTAGAAACAATAAATGGCCAAATTATAGAAAAGATAGTTTAAATTAAACTATAAGTAGTAGTTCTTGGATCATTTTATACCAAAGTAACCAAAAGTGCACCCTATAAATCAGTGCAAATCTGCAAATGTGTTAGTGATCAGTGAGGGGAAAAAAATCAATTACATCACTAAGTACACCATTTAGTTCAGCTAGCAATTTTTCCATAACAATATCTTCACACAGAAGACAGTACAGTGCATTCTGGTGCTAGTACATCTCATCACAGACCAAGAACATATACTTTATAGACAAACTGCTTTGACTAGCACTGTTTTGTACTATCACAAAAGTAGATTAGTTCTAAAGGCTTTAAAAAGTCATGTATTTTTCATTCTATCATCCTCCCATGTGGCTTGGCAGCTGAACCGAGCAGGTTAACAAACATTTGCTGAATGAGTAAGAAAACCAAAATTTGGACAGTACCTGGCCCAGAGATATATAGTTAAGAAAGAAAAAGTGGAACCAGAATTGGATTCCAAAGCCTACACATACTCTTTCCACTGTTAACAAACTGCTCACTATAACCCATTAACAATAAGAAAGATTACATACAATAGTGTAAACAAAGGAAAAAGTCATGTTCATGGCTGCTCTAGACACGAGCCTTTGAGACAGTAAGCAATGAGGAAGAAGAAAAAAAGAGATAAGACATGGTCTATGTTTTTAAGAATTTTCCAACTTAGAAAAATATAAACATAGCAGATAAATTTTTTTCTGTACGCTTATTTACAGTTTAAAACTTTTCCTATAATGAATACTTTGGTAATGAGAAAAAAATTGGGAATGCTTATAAAGAGGTTGTAATAAAAATGCCAGAATCTTGTGATACCATGTTAAATTTTAAAGCAATATACAATGGAACTCTATGTGATAGTTTTTCACTTAGTCTGTAAATCTAACGATACATTTAAAAATGTCTATTAATTTAAAAAAGCAATGTACAAAATTATAAATAATAGCTAGATTACAACTGATTATTAAAAAAAAGACTATCAATACTTGTTTTGGATAAGTGAAATTACGGATGATCATTGTCTCCCTCCTGTCTCATTAGATTTAAAATTTTTTCTTTATGAAAAATGATACTACTTTCATTGTGACACGATATTCACATTTTTCTTTTTAATTATGACAAAGGGAGAGAAAGGAAAGGATATGCCCAATGATCAAGTGCACACATAACAAGACCTGGGCCTTGGTTTGTGTATCAGAAAGCAAAAGATTTTTTTCCCCCTCGAAGTTTAGTAGAACCAGGAATCATTTTTAAAATTCCATCTCTGCTCTACTGTAATATTCTTTAAAACCTATAAATTCTACAGCAATATATATGTAGATTCATCAGCACATGTATGTTCACTGAATTCTGGATTTTTAGATTTTAGACTCTGGCCCTCTAGTCAGTTAGGTTTACATATGAGGAAACACCCATGGGAAGAAATTCAGAACTACCAGTGGCTGATACAAAATTAAAAATCTAGAGTCCCAAATTACTTAATGTGTGCTGTTCTTTGCCCTTTGACTTTTCAGAAGCTAACAAATGTTTAGTGATCTCGGTAATACAAGAACTCAAAGTAGATGCAATGTAATAATTTAACACTCTTTTAGCTCTTTTGATGTCTATGATCAATTTAGTTAAAGGTCATATTCATAGCCAAGGCTATAGTAAATATGTGCAGCTGTTAATTATGCCTTCTGTCTGAAACTGTGCTTTAAGAATGAATTTAAATATAAATGAAATGAGTTACTATGAAGCAACTTTGAAAAAATACTAACAGCAGAAGAAATCTGGGTAGTGAAATGTTAATCATTTTATAATATGCAATATTAAACATAAAAGTCCAGCTAAACTGACAATAAGTACCTAAAATAATACTTACAACCCCAAAGCTTACATTGACATTAATCTTCAATTGCATTTCATTAAATGAATCAACTTCCTAATTAGAGCCTAAAATATATGCAAATTAATGTCTGGATGAAACATGAAAAGGAATCATTTGTATAATTTGGATATGGTAACACTAAAAATTGCCTCAATAAATAGAAAGCAAATGGAAACCTGCAATTTTAAAATGATGAACAAAGGAACTCTCTTCATGGAAATACCTGTATATTTGAGGAGAAAAATGGCATAAACTTAAAGTATCAAAGCTGAGGGCAATCGTGTCTAGACTTTTAGGGCAATGCATAGTTTAAGTAGGTTACCCTAGAATCTTTTAGTATTAAGTTTGTTTATTCATTATTCTCTTCTCCTGGCAGCTCTTTAGCCAAGAAAAAAGAAGAAGGTTAAAAATTCCTTTGTCCACAATTTCAAAACTTATCATCCCATTTGCTCACCTGCTGAAATCTTTCTCTGTCTCCAGCTCTTCCTCTCCATGACCGAGACGCAGCAGGTGGCGCTCGTCAATGTCTAAAGCCATGATTTTCTCAAACAACTGGTTCAAGGCCTGAAGAATAAAATAAGAAGGACCAATCAGCATTCCTTTAAAAGTAACAAGTACTAACATTTAGAAGGATACAAGAGAATAAGAATTGCTCAGTCAGATAAGGATCAAATAAAAACACAAAGGAAACATCTTATATCAGTCTATTTGCAATTTGAACAAAGTAGTGTTTTTACTGAATTCTGATAGTTCTGCCTATGTATGCTTGGCCAAATGAGTAATTGGAAACCATAAAAAACATCTAATAACTAAATTTCTACTTCTAATTTATGAAAAGAGAAAGGACTGGGCTCAGTTTCTATTTCCCCCAAGTAATAACAATTACTAAAATAATTAATAACCACACCAAGTTCCATTTCACTTAATGAAATTTCACAGGTCGCAGAGAACTGAAAAGCATTTGTGGTTGGAGGACCCCCAGGTGGCGATGTGTAGGTGGAACCCATCAAGAGGACCAAGAGCGAAAACTTTAGGCTGAAAGTCTGAACACCTCTGTGCAGAAATGAGCATAGCACTCATCCATTGCAAACTCTCCTGATGAAAGCTATTCACAAGTCAATCCTTTCTACCATGAAAGTTCTTATTTAGGGTTCCCTCAAATCCTAGTATTTATTATCTAAACATCTGTAATTACAAGGTTTTTCAGAAAGGGAGAAGTTTCATAGTATGGGAGGATACACTAATAAAGACATCGTTTGAAAATTAGCCCCCACTCAAACATCTCTCCAAATTTACCATCAGTTTAACATTGCCCATCTAGTGAGCATACAATCACCTCAATAGCAAGGTTATATAACATAAATATAGATACCCTTTGCTATTAGAGCTCAGAAACTGAAGGCATAAACATAAATTTTCAGAAAAATTCCCCACTATCCAAAATCTTAATATTTTCAGCCAAAACTGGAGGCCCAAGAGATCAGACTACATCATATTACTATTTAAACTCAGGAACTACATAGATTGAGAGGGTAAAAATACTGCCACACTACAATCTCAGAAAAAACTTCATGATTTCATTATGAATTAGAGTGATACTGGAGAACTGCTTGAGTTATATATGTAAATTGAGATCTGGCAAACAAAATAGTTATGAAAAATCAACAACTTGATCGATATCAAGAAAGATGGTTTGATGATCAAAGGATCAAAAAAGGCCCTTAGGAAACCATAGGTCTTTGGCTATTTTTACAAAGTGACCTTCTCTATAATTGTGCTATGCAAGTCAATCATTAATAGAGGGTACCATAGAAAGTCATTGTCAAGATATAATAAGACTTACTAAAAAGTACATAAACTATTCTTTATTCATTCTAAGAATTTACAAATAGAAAAATTATTAGACTAAATTTTATTAAATAGAAAAAGGTGAGTCTTTAGAGGTTTCTTTTATCAAGATAAAATCTCAATCAACCCTCTTCAATGCAGTTGCAGTACAATATGCCACCATTATGATAAACTTAGAAGATACAAAAACATGATAAGTGAATGAACACAATAGTATTGATTTTTAAAACCTATAAATTGAAAGTTGAAAAAAACCCAAAATAAATGAAATTTAGCATTCTAAAAACTCAGTGCTTCTTTGCAGACCAACTCTTTATAGAACTGGTCAACTAAAGCCACCATTATTAATATACATTCAGGGAAAATAAGTACCTTCAGAGGTTCAGACTACCATGCAAGTTTCATAAGATGTTTCAGGATGTTCTGAGAGTTGTTTGTTACATTCTACATGAGAACTAATAAATGTTACTTGTTTTTCTCCCTTTCTATGATAGCAACAGCTTCAGAACAACTATCACGTCACACAAGTAGTTATAATGATAATTTTTCAGATATTACTTACAAGAAAGGAGTTTGTTTTTATTGTTTTAGCTGTTTATAAAGCTTTGTGTATTAAATCTGCAACCTAAAATAGTCCTTCCATGTAATATTGATATTCATCTGTATACTTAATGAAGATTTAAAATTCAATCCAGTATTAATACAGCTTAGACTTAGTCACTTAGGAATATTTGTTCTACTTGCAGGACAAATGCTACTAATGCTTTTGATCTTAAAGTAAAAGCTCTAGCTTAGCACATAAGATGGAAGGGAAAGGTAATTTAATTTAATCTAATCCAAATATTTAACTACATATCTAAATATTCTTCTTAGCTTTTCTGTAATTGCCCCCCTCAATTAGAAAGAGAAAATTGTTTTTTGTATTTTCCTCAATACAGTCTGGTCATGACTAGTAATAATCTAAGAGTAACTCAATAATACACACTATACTCTTCAGCCGTTCCTACATACCTATGATCAGGTTATCATACAAGCAGAAATCTCCACTGTGATTTTACTCCTTCTTTAGCTCCCCCCAGGCCCACTCTGTATGTTTATGGTTACATGTATGCACACATTCACTCTCTCACTCTTACCTGATTGGAATGAGTAACAATCAGAGTCCTCTGCTCTGGAAAGTTGTGATATATATTGGATATGATTTGAACTGCTACATCTGTTTTTCCTGTACCTGGTGGGCCCACAACCTACAAAGGAGATGGACACATAGCAAACTACTAAGTTATCACATTGTTAGGCAACGGAAATTCTAAAACTGAAAGATAAAATGTTTAAAAATTCACTGGAGGAGTTCAATAGTATAATGGACAAGATTGAGTCTGTGAACTTCAAGACAGATCAACAGAAATTACCCAACCTAAATAACAAGCAGGAAAAGGGAATTAAAGAAAATCATAAACAGAGCCCCATGCATCTATAACACTAAAAGGTCTAACATGCATGTCACTGAAGTCCTAGAAAAAGAGGAAAAACAATACAGTATAGAAAAAGTATTTGAAGAAATGATGGCAGAAAATTTTCCAAATCTGGCAAAAGACATAAAACTATAGAATCAAGCTGAGCAAACCCCAAACAGAATAATCCCAAAGAAATCTATGCCTAGATGCATTTTAATTTAATGTCTGAAAACAAAAGACAAATTATTGACAACAACCAGAGAAAAAATGATGCATTACACAGTAAAAGGATAGTTCAAATAACTGAGTATTTCTCATTAGAAACCATGAAAGCCAGAAGCATGTGGAATAACATTTTTAAAGTGCTGAAAGGAAAAAACTGTCAAAGCAAAATTATATATCCAGTGAAAGTATCTTTAAAGAATGAAGGTGAATTAGAGACAGTCTCACATGAAGAAACCAAAGATAATTCCTTGCTAGTAGGCCTGTTCTTAAGAGTGGTACAATAAATTCTTCAGCCAGAGAGGAAATGATACTAGAGGAGGCTTGTGATAAAGGATTAGTGGTAAGTATGATAATAGATGACTCTTCTTCTCTAGAGTTCTTTAAAATGTTTGATGCTTGTAAACAAAAACTGTAACACTGCTAATGTCATTTTCAACGTATTTGTATGTAACACATCTAACATTTATAACATAAAAGAGGAAGGTAAAGGGATTTACATGGAGGTCAGCAACCCTCCATTGAACTTAAGAAACAAAATACTGATTCTAAGTAGACTGTGAAAAATTAAGTACATATACTCTAATTCTCTAGAGCAGCCATTCAGAAAAATTATATGACATATAATAAAAGAACAGAATAGATCAATAAAAAAATGGAAGTAAAACTATCCAAATAACTAACAAGAAGGCAGAAAAGGAAAAACAGGACCGCAATACAAAGGGAACGAACAAATAATAAAGTGGTTGATCTAAATCCAAACTCATCCAGTAAGTACATTACATGGGGTCTAAACAATTAAAAGACAGGGATAGCCAGAATGGATAAAACAACATGCCTCAATTCCATACTGTCTACAAGAAACTCATTTCAAATATACTAGGTGGGTTAGAAGTAAAATGATGGAAAAAGATATATCATGTAAACATGATTCAAAAGAAAACTACAATGGCTATATTACTGTAGTTTGCTGTGTATAATGTGCACTCTTTTGTCCAAATTTTTGAGGGAAAATAAAGATGTGCATTATACATAGGCACATTATATGTGTATACGTGTATCATACAAATTATACATTATATGTGTATAATACAAATTATACATGCGAATTAGTATTAAAATGGGGGAGCACATTATACATGGCAAAACATGGTAATAACAAAGTGAACTTTTAGTGATGCCCAGCCTTTTGGTGTCTCTGGGCCTCAATGGAAGAAAAAGAGTTGTCTTGGGCCACACATTAAATACACAAACACTAACAAAAACAAAAATCTCTCGTAATTATGATTTTGTATTGGGCCACATTCGTAGCCATCCTGGGCAGAGGTAGGACACCCCTGCTTACAGCAAAGATAATTGCCAGTGATAAAGAAAGACATTACATAATGATAAAAGCATTAATTCACCCAGAGGACATAACAACCCTGAATGTGTATATACATATCATAAAGCAAAAGCTGACAGAACTTAAAGGAGAAATGACAAAACCATAATTATAGTTGGAGATTTTAATACTCTTCTCTCAGTAATCAATGGAAATATTAGGTAGAATATCAGCAAGGACAAAGAAGTGCTGAACAACATTATCAACCAAATGAATCCAATTGACATATAGAAGCTATTTTTCCAACCCGAAACAACAGAATACACATTCTTTTCAAGTGCACATGGAATATCCACCAAGAGAGATAACCTGGGTCATGAAACAAACCTTAACAAATTAAAAAGCAAAAAATTGAAGTCACATAAAGTATGTTTCCTGACCAGAATGAACTTAGACCAGAAATCAGTAACTGAAAGGTAACAGGAAAATCTCCAAAAACTTGGAAATTAAACAGACGTCTAAATCCGTTGTCAGGAGACATTTCTGTAAAGGGCTAGCAAGTAATCATTTCAGGCTTCGTGGTATTTAAACTCTGCTGATGCAGCATAAAAATGGCCACAGGCAATGTATAAACAAATGGGCATAGCCATGTTCCAATAAAACTTTATTTGTGAATACTGAAGTGAATAGCAAGATCTCCATATGCAAAGGATGCCACAAGTACTTAGAAACACTTAAGCTGGGCTTTTGTGCTCCAAATAGAACACACTATAAAAATCTGGTGCTTATTAACTTCTGATCTGAATCTGTGTAAAAACACGTAGAACAATAATGCTCTTACCATAGTCAGTCCAGGCTGCATTCCAGCACGGATGGCCTCTATCTGTGTGTGAGTGAACTGAATTGTATTACTGCAAATAAGAATAGATTGAAAGTTGGTTGAATATACAGATGAATGACATTTAGTAAAAATTTAGATAACAATGGCCAGAGTTCTAAACATGTGCTCTGCATTTGTCCCTGTTCTTCCAGTCTCTTCTCCCCCTCACGCTGGCTGTGTGTGTGTAAAATACATAGCATGAAACCTACCCTCTTAACACAATTTAAATGTACAGTACAGTATTTTTAACTGTAAGTACAATGCTATACAGCAGATCTCTAGAACTTTTACATCTCATTTGACTGAACCAATCTCTTTTAAATGACTCTCTTCATACCTGCCCTTCCACAGATCAATTACAACTGAGTGAAACTTGTGGGAAGAAAAGACTACAGCTATTTTTCAATACACTTAGCCCACCCCAAGCCTCATTTGGAGTGTCAGAGTTCTAGTTCACAATCTAATACCGAATGTAATGCCCCTTTACTAGTTATGGCAGTCTTCTAATATTTCTTCCTTATAGGACCTGAAGACGACCACAGGATGGCCAAAAATGTCTGAGCTATTCTGCCAACTGATAGACAAGAAGGAAAGAGGGTACAGCAAAGAAGTTTCCTGAGATTTTTAAAGAATCAGAAAATTAAAAAAATATTATAAATCCAGTTGAAATAGGAAACTACTATTCATTATTACAGTTAGAATAGATAGTAAAATTACCGTTTGGGTTGGTTGTAAGGATAAGGACCTCTATTAGGAATAACATGAGGTTCAACTATTAAGGTCTTTGCCTCTTCAGTGTCTTCATCTTCCCCATCTACCTCTTTCCTTTTCTTCCCTTTTCCACTTCTTACTGGAAAAGTTATCCTACAAGACAAAACCTTTGTTTAGTTTTACAACTAACAGTGGTTTATCAAGCAGCTATCTTGTGCATGACATTGTATAAAGAGTAATAAGATCAGTATTGAACATTTATGACTTACGGAACTCACTATCTATACATATATTTTGAACAAAGCAGATTTAAAAGCATTAAAATGTGTGCAAAGGTGCTCAGATTAGAAAGTCATCTAATTAAGGGAAAATAAAAAACATTTATATGACCAGTATACTTATGTCACAAGTGCTATGAAATACTTTGCACACTGTCCTTCATTTAATTAGAAAAGGCTTCATGGGTGAAGTGGAATCTAAGGTGAGTTTTGAAGAATTCAGACATATAAACAGGGGAGGGAAGACATTCCAGGAAGGAAAAAATAACGCAGATCAAGTAGCCAGTTTTGCTGGAGTGTAAGACCCGGTAGAGAAAATAAGGCTGGAGAGAAAGCCTTATTGGTAGAAGTTCTTAGCCTGGAGTCAAGGATACCTCAGGAGGCAACTCCCCATAGGTACCTGGGGAACTGAATGTGTTCCTTAAAATTAAACTACAACATTCTCTTATGTGCACTTTTTCCAGTCTCTCTTCCCATTCTGAAAGGACAGATAATACCCCCCAAAATGTTATGAAACAAAGAGGCTAAGAGATCAGCCCTGATTTTGATAAGCAACCGGAAAAATCAGGTGTTTTTAGCTCAGGAGTGGAATGACTTCAGCAATAAAGCATGTCGTAGTTCGAATACGGAGACGGAGGCAGGAAAGACAGTGCCACCGTAAAGACCGAGGTATTGAGGGCCCTGAGAGGTTGCAGTGAGGCATGACATACAAAAAAAGCATCCTTAAGGCTGAATCTACAAGGCATAGCAGGCCAATAGATGTAAAAGGATCCAAAAATAATGTCATTAATAGGACTTGGAAAGAATGGAGGAAGACTAGGTTTAGGTGTTAAAGGGATGCATGATTTTAATATGTAGAATTATTACTTTATTTATACTTAACAGTCAATTAAAATTCTACATTCTAATTTCCAACTAAAAATGTAAGGACTTTCCTACCACCCACAGATGCACTGAGTGCTTTGCCACTAATCAGGGAAGAGTCATTAGTGCTTCGAGCACTATGTTCTATTTCCACTCAGATTTTAAAACCAAGGCTCCTTTAACATTAAATATAACTCCACTGTAAATATTTAAAATTTCTGAAAGCAAGCAAGGTTAAAAAAAGAATTTTTTTTTCTTAAAAAACAAAATAAAGTTCAAAATCACATGGCCACGTGTATTAATTAGGAAATATACCAGACACATAATATGCACACATATTTCTTCAGTCAAATGCTATATTTATATAGTGCTCTTCAGACAAGCATTTCTTGATTCCTTGTAAGATTTAAGCTACTTTTATTGTGGTCTCAAAATAACTACTGCACAAATAATTAGAAACAGAGTCAAGTAAAAATAAATTTATCCCAGTGAGTATACAGCTAAAGTAAAGACTGCCCAAAGGAAATCCAGATACCGTGCTCAACGTTTACTTTAGCTACTGTTCTAATGGCCTGACTACAGAAAGCACGAAAGGAGCATATCCAGTTCTGACTTTACCTGAAAGGGGGTATCTGTAGAGCTGGGTCATCCACAGTTACTTTAACATTATGACCAGGAAAGCTGTTTTTCAAATGTTCAATGGAGAGGAATGTATCATTGAAATCCAGGGTGGCAATCTGATTGGGCATTTTTGAATAGTGTGCACTACTTGGATCCCCATAACCTAAAATGATGTCATGCAGCCAGGCAGGTACCACACAGTCAGTATTCATCAGGTTCCGAATAGTCTCCAGCACAGCCTGTCAGTAAAAGAACAGAAAAGGATAGTGTTGAGAAGACATCTCAAACATTTGCACTTCAGTGGAATGCAGAGCTGGCTGCACTAATCCAGAATTCCCGAGTGTTTCAGGGCAAGAATCTATTTTTTGCTGACAGGTGCTTGGCTAGACTGAATCAACAGCTATATTTTCAGCTGATACCATACACTGAGTTAAACAAAAGACCAAACTTAGCAAGAACAGTTTATCCGTTAAGAGTTCATTTAGATAGAATGTTATAAATGAGTTGACCACTTGACTTCTGTTGGGTAGGATAAAACTCCAGTCAGGTCTACACAATAGGAAAACAGGAAAAAAACAAAACAAAACAAAAACCCCTATAGAACAAACTCTTAAAGAAAATGCTTTCTCTCAGAAACTACAGGAGTCTCCTCCCCTTTGTAATCCACAGTGCCTCAATGAGGAGAACACACAATCAAAAGAACATTAATGTATGCCTCAGTTGTGAAATATATCACAATTTAGAAATATTAAAGTTAGCACTGCTAGATATAAGAAATAAAAAATGAAGTGAAAATCATAAAAATAAAATGTCAAATAAAATTTCAGGATGAAAGAATTAAGACTACAATAAAAGGACATCACAGTAGTTAATATATACAGTCAAAAATAATTACTAAAAGCCAAGGCAAATTCTTAGACTTTCCAATAATTCAACAAAATGTTCTATCCTATATATGTAAATCAGAAGGCTAGACTGTTAATTTCAAAGGCTAAAATAAACAAACCAGCCATTTTTATATTGTAAATGCTACACATTCCAACAGGATGACAAAATAACAGGAATGTAAATTACACTCTTACATTACCTTGTTTTATTTTCTTGCACTTATTGCTACTTGAAATTCTCTTATTCATGTACTTGGTTACTTGTTTATCGTTTGTCTAATCACCACTAGAATATAATTTCCATGAGAGCAGGGATATAGGACAGTTTAAATATGGGCCGAGTAAATGGATGGACGGAAATGTGAGTATGTTTACATGATGAATAAGATGAGAGATCCCCTCTCTAAGGCAATTATGATTATAGTAGGAAGATAAAATATATCTTTAATAGTGATGCAAAGCAGTAGAATGTGACAAAGAGTAAAAAATACTACAAAATACAACAGGAACACAATTCGAGGTAAGTGAGAGATGGATATAATGGGTATAGGGGAGACTTTTGACATTAGCAAAGGTTTCTTGGAGGAAAAGTGGTATTTCAATTTAGCTCAAGTAAAGGATCTGTGAAAAAGCTTTATGTCATCATTAATGTAAAGCCACAGAAATGTTTTGAGAAGCAAAGTGAAATGATCAGTGGAAGCACATGAAGAACAGGTGACTGGTGACAGAGAATGAGGAGAACAGGGGTAGAAACAGAGGACACCACTTCTGAAACTATTCAGGCAGGAAGTAACCCATCCAGATTAGGACATGCTGCACATCCAGGAAAAGAGAGAAGGAAATAAACAAGGGATGCTGCCCAAGTATCTAATGAAACACCAAAGATACCAAAAAAGCATTCTCCCTTTCCCAGACACAGGCAATTTAATCATTCCTCCTTTTTCTTGGATCAGAACCTGAATGCCTCCTTGAACTTCCAAGGCACCGTTACCCGCATTCTTCTGATGGCTTCTGCCCCTTTCTAATCTTTTATGGTAATTGTCTATATTTCTAACTTCCCTTATTAGCAAGCTAAGCTCCCTAAAGGTAAAAACTGTTATCTTACTCATCCTTGTGAACTCCATAAAACTTAGCACAATACTAGTCAAAAAAAATAGAAGCAGGGATGTCAGAGATGAAGGTGCCCAGGGCAAGGCATCAGTGGAGGTGGCAGGCTAATCAGGCTGCCTGAGGAACTGGGTGTGGAGCTTGAGGCCAGAAACATCAAGGGTCCTTCCACTGTTTTGTCTCGACAACAGAGTGAGACGGGGAATAAACTCCTTTGTATATGAGGTTTTCTCTTTTAATTACGAATGAAAAAGATAATCAAGTGACAATGTTTTAAGCAGCACTGTGTTGGGGAAAGGGAAGAAAGGTACTTGAGCAAAAGCTAGTGTTACCAAATGCTAGAAGTGCTCAATGTTTAAGTTTTATAATATAGTTTCAAACAACAATTTATATTTATTTTCAATTGTACTTTTTCCATTATCATTTACCCGCCTTATGCCCTCCCCACCCCCCAGCAATCACTACCTTGCTGTCCATGAGTCCTTTTTCCTCGATCCCTCTACTCCCTAACCCTCCTCTAAAGCTGTCATCCTGCTGAGTCAAATAATAATTATTTAAATCTTCCTTTACTAAAACTCCTCTCCACACAGTTATTATGAAAGTAAAACTCTGTAATCCCCAAACCTCCCTTTCCCCACTAATGAGTAAAGTATAAATACATTTTTTCATAGTGTAAATCGAAGCCCTAAGGTTCCACAACAGTATTCTTAGTGAGTGGGAAGTATACTTACTTTTGATCCATAAAAGAAGTCCCAGTAAAACAAATAAGCAGTTTTCTTCACCTCTTACTGGGGCACAAACTGAGTATCTAACATGCAAAAAGCAAGGAAGGAGGCTGACCTTTAAATTAACATATGAATTATACCTTGGCTGGGTAGCTCAACTGGTTAGAGTGCAGGCCCAATATACCAAGGTTGCGGGCTTGATCCCCAATCAGAGCACATACGAGAAACAACCAATGAATGCATAAATAGGTGGAACAACAAATCAATGTTTCTCTTTTTCTTTCCCTCTCTTTCTCTAAAAATTAATGAATAAAAAAATTTAAAATTAAAAAAATAATGTAACACATGAATTAGTTTACATTTTAAATTTCTAAATTTATCAAAAAACAAAAGTTTAGCAAAGAAATTTCCTTAAGTTCTATATTTAATCTAAGAGAACTTTTTAGAATCAAAATGCAATGATCATTATTTTATTAACACATCATTTAAACCTAGTATATACATATTTGTCTCAGAAGTTTTTTAAATTATGCAGTATTTTTAGTTATATAACCCAAATATTACCTTAAAGTTATTTTCCTTTGGCTTCCTCCTCATTATTATATTGAAAGTGTCATACACATCTTCTGCTCCATTTTGTATAGTATTGGTCATATCTTGCTGATACTGGTTTGGATCCAAAAACACTCTAAATGTCCTTGACTCTCCTCTAAGATTGGGTCTGGGTTCAGGTCCTGAACATTTTTAAAAAGTTTGTTAAAAAAATATGTACTTTTCAAATATCAAAATAAGTTAGTATTCCATTTCTAGAAATAATCAGTAAACTGTCCAGACTTAACTCCAGCCGTTCCCCTGACTAGAATGCTTCCACTCATTACAAATTCTAAAAAGTAGAAAACATTTTCTTTCTCTAAATTGTTACTATTTCTTCTGTCATGTAACATTTACAATGCAATGCCAGGAATTCCAATTATTTCTATATGACCTCAACTAAAAATGGAGCCTTAGAAGTCAAAGAACTTTACCTTTGTCAAGTCACTCATAGCTACTGTACTTGACTGATCACTCTTCCCTCCTTCCACATTCTATACCTAATATCACTAGCATGAAAGAATGTCATTTACTAATGGCTGAAAGCTCAGAGGCTTTTTCTTTTTGTCTAAGACCTCCAACTCTGGTCCCATTATGTGGCCTTATGTTTATTCCAATTATCTTCTATTCCCTTCTCTTATTTTTCTTTTATTCTAGTGATAAAAGTGGGCTAATTGTCAGCACTTTAGCAACGGTGCAATCTTGAAATCACAAGTAACAGAAACTACTTTAAGTTCTACGAGAGGTTTAGTAAACAAATTACAAAATAAGCACTGGACATGGATGCAGCTATCATTTAACAGTATTATCAAAAAAGTGAGGACAACATAAAATTTCAAAGAACAATCGGTGATAAGCTTAAGAACTCAAAGAGCTAACTAAGTATGGCAGGGGTGTCCAACCAGCGGCCCTCCTGCCGCACGCAGCCCAGGATGGCTACGAAGGCCATCCTGCAATGAATGCCCCGCACAAAACTGTAAATTTATTTAAAACATAAGGAGATTTTTTTGTGTGGCCCAAGACAACTCTTCTTCTTCCAGTGTGGCGCAGAGACACCAAAAGACTGGACACCCCTGGAAGGCAAGGTTTCTAAATGGGGTAATACTGGCATCCCAGACAGGACAATTCCTTGTACAAGAGAGTTTTGTTTACATGCTTAGCAGCCCTGGTCCCCAACCAGCAAATGCCAACAGTTAACCATCCCCTATCCCCGCACCAGTTATTTGACAATATAAATATCACCACACATTTCAAGCTGCAGGGTGGTGCTATTCCCAGTTGAGAACCATTCCTATAATGAATCAAATCAATAAAACTTAAGAAGAAAAAATTAGACAAATGTATTGCTGAACAACTATAAGAGGTTTTCAGAGGTTTTGTAAAAGTAATATTGTAAAGTATTATAAAAGGAAGTTTTAAATAAAGATAATTTCAAAAGATCCTGTCTTTTCTAGTATTTAACATAGAAGTTTAGAAATCATATTATTTATTCCTAAAACCGATACTCTACACATATTTTATATATAATCCTTTATGTCAGCTTAGTACATAAAACAACTAAAAATAGCACCTAAGATGCCAAGAGAAAAAAAGGCAAAAAATTCATCATTATGTACACACACTCTTTCAAGAACATAGATCACCATACCGTCTTCAATGACACGTCCTTTGTCATCCAGCATGCCCTGGATTTCACAGCCTCTGACGTAAACCAGGCCAACCTGCTCAATGAAAGGTCTCCTCCGGTCAAACTTGGTACCATATGGTTTTGTGGGACGCACAGTAATTAAAAAACATACATCATGCTTACGAAGGCCTGGTAGAACATAAAGACATTTTCACTTATCAGAATGTCATTATTTTTAGTCTTTTGTTGGCAAATTTTCATCCTCTTATCTTAGAAATAGAGATATTAAAAAAATTTAAAATATCAGAGATGGTCAATGATTATATTTGCATTGTAATATAATCATGCGTGGGCTTTCCTGTAACTTCTAAAACTCAACGTTAGATAGTAATAGTTTAAATGCAAGTTTCTTTATATTAAAATTTGAAACTTTTATGCCATGAATACATTACTAAATAAGTCCTCCAAGTCAGGCTAGAGCTCCAAAATTGGATGCTCGTCTTCATTCTTATTTTTAACATTCTTAATAAGTAACCAAAAATATGGTTGGCATATAATCCATCTATATCATATTTAGCAGGTTTCTAACATCAGTTTAAACTATTCATCAGTCATTCCAACAACACAATCTAAGTGTATTTCACTAAAAAAGGTCAACTCGAAAATAATGCATCAAAGCACAACATCACTATCTTGATATATATCAAGATAAACTATCTTGATAGGTATATCTTGAGAAGGCAGAATATATATAGTTTCAGTTGGAAAATACTGAAAATTTTTATAAGTGAATGTCAAGAAATAGGATACTTGTGCCAAAGTCCATGGCTTCTCAGCTATCTGACCAAATAATAAATTTAATTGGATCCTCTGTTCTATTAAAAGTAGACAGTGGAAGACAAGGAACATAAAATTAGATCACAAAGCATATAATGTCAAGCCACTTAATCTTTATTTATTTTCTGATTTGATTTTGTTAGCCAGTGTATGACATAAATGTAAATTTAAACAAGTCTGTGTGCTCGTAACCATGGTAACAAGATACACAACTAAATCAAATCAGTAATGTGAGTGTGCGGCTAACGGTATTGGGACCATTCTGGTTTGTTTCAATATGGAGTAGAGTGTGAGTGTGCTAGAAATAATAATTCTTGATACATAATAATACTTTATTTCTCAACAAATTCTATGCAGAGGAGAAGCAGCAGTAAGAACTAAGGGGAACTGTTCTACTATGACTTGTACTGCCTGCGTGACTTCTGGTCCACACGATTCAATAAAACTTCCAAGTCTTAGAGTCAAAGTAGTGGCCCTGAGAAGTAACTTAGTCTCTACCAGTGTCAATTTTTAGCATCACGGAGGGATGAGTGCTTGTTCCCACCTAAAGCAGATTATTTTACTGTAGAACATTAAACATATATTACAATGAACTCAACTACCTCTCTTCTTTCAACCATATATATTCATTCTTTTTGGGATATGCCTTTTGGAGCAAAAGCTGGTGTTTTGATTTCCTTAATTCTGTTTCCTTAAATTTAAATGAGGTATGGGGAAGGTAAGAACCTGAACATCACATCTTCTTGCAGGAATAAGAAGAATGTTTTATAGTATCTAGCTTAAACTCTTCAGAGCTATTCTTATGTATGTCTATATGTATTATCCTTACCCAAGGACATTTTTCATTTCTTTGAGAGAGGAAGAGAGAAACATTGATGCGAGAGAGAAGCATTGATTGGTTGCCTCCCGTATGTGCCCAGGCCAGGTATCGGGCGAGTCCAGACCGGGACCGGGGATAGGGGATCGGGATCAAACATGCAACCTAGGTATGTGCCCTGCCTAAGAATCAACGACGCTCCACCTGAGCCATGTCAGCCAAAGCAAAAGCTATTCTGTTTTCACAAGATAATATTCATTACTGTTTACACAACCTCCCTCTCATTTTTTTGCCTTGATTTTCCACTTGGTTATTCTATTTGTCATCAATACTGGGTCTGAATTTTGGCTCTGGCTTCCCATAAAACACTTTCTCCCCACCATTCCTCAAAATACGAATTGCTTCTCCCACAATGCCCTATTGTTCTCGATCTTGCCCATCAAAATTCACCCATTCTGCTTCTCATTCTACCAGAGGTCTATGTTTAAAAGAATAAAGAGCTCTCCCTCATCGCTCCCAAAAGACTGATATCCGTCTGATAGAAGTCTGAAAAGTAATGGAGGAAAGAGGTTGAGATGAACATCCTTTTTTCCCTTAACACAATACAGACTTGTCATCTGTCATCTATAAATTTCTGTGAAGAATCTTTTATATTTTTTTAAGTTTATTTCCAGTATTACATCTATGGGTAGCCAGTAAGTTATTTCAGTTTATTACCTACCATGTAAAACAGTGTTTATTTTAATACCTCCTTAAGCATTAACGGTTAACAAATATAAGACCTTCTCCAGCAACATAATGCCTTTCTCAAGATTCAGAAATACTAAAGGTACACGTTATTCTAGATGTGTAATGCATCAGACTGGGGCTCTTTTGAAGGAATGTGGAGTCATAAAATCTGCCACAAACTATACCCGCTACAGGGGCCATTTGCTAAAACATTTGGCTAGCTTCGCCGCAGCATTCCTTCAGAATTATGTGATAAATATATCATATAGTCCCTGTCGTTATAAACAGCTATGTCGAGAGCAATAATTTCTGAAAACTGAACCGCTAAGGGACTATCCCTTTCCTTCTGGCATGCCAAGAAGGAGAAAGGAGATAAAACCTGCCAGCTACTATTTCTCACAATGAGGCAGCAAGAACTCTGACAGACAGCTGGGAGAAAAATTTTAAAGTGCCAATTAAAACTCAGTTCATGTGCCACTTCTGACATAGGTGTCAGCAATGTTTTAACTCTGACTTAAGTAACTCCAAACATATCTGCCCCTAAGTAACAGTAATTGTAGAACTCCTATCCCCCAACTCTTGCCTGGTAAAAAATAGAAAGAAGAACTCATTTAATTTTCTGCAATTATTATTTATCCTTGAGTATGTAGTATTTCACTGATTCTCTGACTTCCTCCCTTTGGTGCAAACAAACTATTATTATTTCTTTTTGAGTTGTTTTGTTAGGTCCCCCTATAATTTCTTTTGAGTTTGTCTAATTTTGATGCTGTATCTTTATTTCCATAAATGGTATATATCCCTATTTTTTCCACTTGGGTTGCTTTTAACTTTTAAAAATAACAATTTTCCTTACTTGTTCTGCTGTGTGTTCCTCCTTTGTTTAGTGAACATTAATATTTCTACTTTTTACATTGATCCTACAGATTCATAAACATTACCTTACTAAGATTTAAAACACTTTCAGCTCTGCTGACTGCAATTTTCCAAAGCACTTTGATATGAATGCTATTTTATGCTTTTATTATGGTTAAAGTATTATGGTATTTAATCACCCTTACATGATCCCAGGTATTTTTTACTAATACTAATTAAAAAGGCAATTGCCATTCTTTAAATCAAATTTTAAGGATGAAATTTAAAGAGTTTAAAAGGGTAACATTTAGTAAGCTAATTCTCTAAGTGAAAGTCTACATAATTAAAAGGTAAAATGTAACCACTTCTCGAAATGCAAAATTACCTTCCCATTCATCTTTGATGTGATCTCTGACATTTAGATTGATGGTAACATCGGCACGAACGCGGGTGGGCCAGTTTTCACCTATGTTGGGCTTAGCAACCTCAACCACAGTGAAAGCCACAATGGGCTGAGCCATTCGTGCCCAACCGCCAAATACTACGCCACCGTACTCAGACTGCCTGAAAACCAAAGAAGTGCATGATTACTCAAACAAAATACAACTTTTGGACAAGTAAAACCAGTAAGAATACATATTTAGTTAGTATTTAAGCCCTGACACTAGTAACTCTTACTTCAACACTTGAAAAAAAATCTAAGTCTTAATCTATAGGGAGTATATATGGTAGAATGAAACAGGCAAATATGGTCCAGAAAAGAAAGGGAAATAGGGTAACATTCCCTGCACCCCCAGGGGAAAAGGTAACTCTATGTACATAAGAGCTGAGCCATTTTATCGAAGAGTGAAACAATCTAGTACATTTAGTTCTATTTTATATTCTTATCCTTTGCCCTTCAAGAGAACAGTCTCAGCTGTTTAATTTTATCTTATGTACTATAAGTATTTGGATAAACTGTTTCAACACATTTTAGAACAAGCTAGAATTTAAAAAATTAAAAACAGGCAAACAAATGATAATATCTATGCAAATACCTTCCTTAGGGTATAATACTTAAATCGTTTAAAAGAAGCTACCATGGGCTGGGGGGACAAATAATTAAGCAAGTTGTAATAACTAGACCCACTGACATCTGAACACTAATTCTTTCCTCTTACATTAGTCCAAGTAGTACTTTAATTTTTACATTAAATAGTATATTTGGGAAATCTATGATATAAAATTGCAGCAATACTCCAAAATTTGAAAGTATTGCCAAAAATGACATGCTTACAAAGATAACTACATCCCAAGGAAGGGCTTTGTGCCATAAAAAAACTGTAGAACTTTGTACCATTGAAGAGTAAAACTAATTAAAATAAAAATTGTGCTCATACCGGGACAATTTTTAAAAGACATTAGTTTGTATCTAAACCCTTTGTCATAACTTTCTATCACTGCCCTCAAATTTTACAACTTTACTACAGTATAGTTTACATATCATAAAATTCATTCATTGTAAATGTACAATTCAGGAATTTTTATTAATTTATAGAACTGTACATCTATCACCATAATCTAATTTTAGGACATTTCCATGATACTTAAAAAAGATTCCTCTTGTCCAGTTGCAGTCAACCCCTGCTCCCACCTCCAGGCAGGCACTAATCAGCACTAAAAAGTACAGATTTCGGCTTCTCATAAACACATCCTCTTACCCTGCTCAGCAGTTTCATCAGCCTGAAACCATGATCATTCAAAAAGTGCCTCTGCTACTTTCCTACCTTCAGAACACATGGAACAGAAAGAAGTCCTGCCCTTTTTCAGATCTCACTGTTTTTAAGCTTTCAATCATGGCAATTAGGAATAAAAATTTAGAAAAATTTAGTATCACAACTTAACTACAAAAAGTGGCATTTTCTTCCTCCAGGCAGAAAATGTAAGTTAAAAAAATTGTTTTTAATAGACCATGAAAACTGCGTTATTGCTTTACTTGGCATTTAAGTAAAGTATAAGTAAATTCTATTTGATAAACTGCTAGTTAATAAATCCCTACTTTGCAAAATGGCCAAAATTAGGCCTAGAATCTGAGCATATTCATGCAAGGTAAACATACAGTTTAAGGAAGCTTTCTGATCAAGCACTCCCCTGGGGCCCAAACAATGGGCGACAGTTTCAGCAAAGCTGTGGGCAGAGATGATCAGCCAATGGGTATATAAATTTCACAGTGCCTGCCAGCCTAGTGACTCAACTGATTATTAAGTCAAAAATACTTTATTTTGTGTCTTATAGTCTCACCCAAAATAACTATTCACATAATAATTAATTAAAAAATAGAACTGTGTATGAAATAAAATGTGAAAGGGAAAAAATAGATCATAATCACAGTGTCCATGTAGCTCTCTATAATTAGTAACAGCAGAAGCCTGGAAGGTACCTGAATCAGTTCACATTCAAAATATGTCAAGCTTTTTCTATAGAATACAGTATAATTGTATATATGTGCATAGTATAACTATAATGTAACAAAATTTCATTTTATACAATCACTTTACTCATTTATAGTCACTTGTGATATACATTGTATCTCCATCAACTTTGTACTTAGAACGAAATAGTGACCAAGAGCATTTACCCCAAATCAGTCATGTCTAAAAAGTAAAACTAACCTTCACAAATATATTACAGAGCTGTATACAATAACTAGAATGAAAGTTGTTTTTTTTTTCTTAGCTAAAGGAATTATCTCAAGTAATGGGCTGGCAGGTGGGGAGTTGAGTTCAAGCAGATGAGTTCCTCAAATAACAAGACCTACTCAACCAGCCCTAAAAGTAAATGATGATTTAGTCTCTTCAAGGCAACTGATGGGTGGAGGACCAGGGAAGGCCTTCCAGTGTTCCACGCAGTGCAATGTTCAGAAATGCCCCTCACCTCCTGCCAGCTTCCTTGGACAGGCCGAGACGCGGGACAGTCACGGAGCACTTAGGGTAGCAGAATACTCCTTTGTGCTAAGCTTTTCCAGGCACTGACACTGTCCTGCCCTTGCACAGGCCTGCAGGCCAGCCCACGCCCTTTCCTCTTTACTCCTTTACTAGTGCCCGACCTAGTCCTCTCTATACTCTCCCCCCGCCCCAAGAACAATGACCTATCATCCCTCATGCCCAGTCCCAACCCCAAATGCCCTGATTTTACATTTTAGCATTTTGGTACATTCTAATTTACATTAAAGAATTTCTCACAAAGTAAATATGTCATATTTTAGAGGGCATCTTCATTCCAGGTATATTATTTCTAAATACACTTATGAGCTTCCTGACAGAATTGTGTCTGTCACTGTCTGCATCTCTTCACTGCAAGTGGGACCAATTTACTAACCATGGCTTCATTCTGCTGACACTATCCTCGATGTCCTGCCTAATTTCGTAAGTTGATTCCAAGCGGAAGAGATTAAAGTTCCTTAGGAGGTAATCATGAAGAGTCAAAAACTGCAAATTCAACTTGGGAAGAGCAAGACAACCTGAAAAGGAACATAACATCCACATGTGAATTATTATTTTAATCAGATATCTGTCCTCTATATAAAAAGGGCATCACAAATTTGGTAACAATCTAATTTAATTATGTCTAAAATACAGTGTATTTAATAAGATCTTATTTCTATTTCTACACATAAGTGAAACCAAGTTAACAAATGCTATATAGTAAGAGTTTAAAATAAAAGATGAATTCCATTAATACAAGTAATCTGCATATCAATGATTCATATTCAAACTGTGCTTCTAAAAAGTATCTGAAGATGGTTTAATAGTCTCAAGTAGTTCAAAAATGCTTCCTTTACCACCTAACTTACACTTGGCAAATTTCAAAATAAATAACGGTACCATAAAATCAGTCTAAGACAAAATTTCCAAGAAAACTGCATTAGCATATTACACTGTATGAATCTATCTCTAGTAAGACCACTGCTGCGCTCTTCTGAACCTTTGCCTTCCTGCTAGACTTTAAGGGTAAGGCTTTGATTGTACTGTATTTTGTTCCTTAAGTTACTTCCCTTCTCTGACGGTATTAATAAATAATATTCTTTCCATTATCCTCACTTGATAGGACTTCCCTCGGATAATAGGTGACCAAGCACTCAGCAGCGATAGCAAAAAGAAACAAAAGCCAAAGTATATTTTACCAGCAAATCATATTCTTTTCATTATCCTTATCTAGACTTACCAAAGCAATAGCACATCTAAAAGCAAAAAAGATTAATGTATAAAAATTTCAGTTTATGTTAGAAAACTCTGAGTTAAATCTAATTCAATTGCTTACAGGTCAGAGGCTGATAAAAACCATCTCTTTCAATAGCATATTTTAACAAACCTAGCTGTCAAGCAGCAATGGCTACTAATATAACACAAAGAGAGACCACTGGACATTATGTGCCTCCTGATGAAAAAAAACTGTACCACTACCAAGAATCTAGCCAAAAAAGAGAGAGAACCTCAGCCTGATTGAGCCTCTACAACCAGCTGCCAATTTGCAAAACAAACAAACAAACAAACAAATAAACAAAAAAGGACAGAGGGACATGGTCATAGTCACTCAGAAAAACCTAGACTATGAGAAACTATACAGACCAAACAATGAAGGTTATTCAATGGAAAGAAAAGGAAGAGTCTAGGGATACACAATTGGGTGATAAAACTGTTTTAAAACTACAAGATAGTGATGGCTATAAAAGCCAAGAAAGAAACGGTCACATTTAAGTAGAGGGAGCAAGTGACTAGAAAGGTGCCCAGGGGAGGGTTCTGGGAGAGCAGACAAGGTGGTTACTACGGTTCAATGGTATTTCCCTTATGATAATTAGTAAACTTCTATATTTATATTGTGTAGCTTTCTATATTTATTTTATAATAAAGAGGTTTTAAAAAGGCAAAGTTTCACCAAGGTTTTCTTTGTAATTCATACACTGTACTTTTTACAGCTCTCCCGATCTTATGCTTAGTTTCTCTCCGTGGGAGCTACAGGCAGCTTGCATAACCGCACAGCAGCAGCTTGGTCTTTGCCTATTTCACAGCATCGCATACCGGGCCTCACAGCACAGTCCCATCCGCAGTCGAAGAAGAACAATGAAGGCGCAGCCACGTCTCTGAAAACAGCTGTGTTACAGTCCAACCATTTGGTAACTAATATTGTTCTGAAATGCTTTCATTCTACGAAAAGTGTAAAGACTGAAATTCTGAGTATTCCTTTTCATTTAAGTTCATTAACCATGGGAATGAAAGAAAAGTAATACTTGATACTAAGCAAAATATGCTTTAAACTGAGGCCAGCATCACTGAAGAGTACCAAAAGCTAGGTACAAGACTGTTTACATTTTTAGGGATATATAAGCTTTGTATTAAAAGGACAAAATAGTCCTATGTGTTATGTACCTTTTAGGGGCTGATCAGTTAAAGAATGAGATGTCCTACATACATGACCATAAATGCTTTTAGTGTGAACAATTAGCAAAGTGAGGAAATAATGCATTAACCGTTGTCAGAACATTAAAAAATATGAAGATTGCCTATTCTGAAGTCCAGTACAATTTTAGCATAGTGGGTTTATTGGAGTTATGGCTCAGGATATGACTCTGAAGTTAACAGTTTTTCTTTTAAATAAATGTACCAATAATTTACACTGTTGATGTCTTTAAAATGGCCCCATTTCTTTTAACACTGTTGTTCAAAAGATTTACTCAACCTTTTTGAAATATGCCTTCAAAGCATGTCAGATACACTTTGGCACACACTCAAGTGTACTGAATTCTTATCCTTAGAGGACGAGCAAAAGCTTTTAGAAAAAATCTGTTAAAATAGGTAGGTGAACAAACTAGGCAATATCATTTTGGATCAAAACTAACCGTTTATTATTAATAAATAACAATGTCTTTTTTTGGTGGTCATTATCTGGCTCTATATGCAGAAATAGCCTCTAAAAAAGTCTTTAAAAAGTAAAGTAAACCACTACCAAACAAGGCCTAGTATGTTGACATAACGAAAAGCTATACTTCCTGTATTATTAGGTCTCCTTACAACACAATTCCATTGCTCTGTGGTCATGTTTCACAGGATGATACACACACACACACACACACACACACACACACAGAAGCATGATTAAATTTAATAAAAATCCTTCATGCTAAGGATTCAAACTACTAAATAGTTTCTAGCTTCTTATGTTGAACTTGAGGGTATCATAATATTATCCTAATGTATATAACACATAGGAGTATTTTCAGTTATATATGAATTCTAAACTAAGTTTCATGATACACCTGGACTCTGTAATTCTTTATCATACCTTCTCCTGAATAGTACTCAGTTGGGACAATATTTTCATCCCATATGATTTTCTCAGTTGGATATAAAGGCATCTGGTTCAACTGCTGAATCTGAGAAATTCGACGTTCATGACGGGATACCTAAAAGTACAGGTTCAGGCAGAAAGTTAGAAGCATCTTTTTAAAAAAATTTTTTTTAAAAACGATTTTATTTATTTTTAGAGAGGGAAAGGGAGGGAGAGAAACATCAATGTGTGGTTACATTTTGTGTGCCTTCTGCTAGGGACCTAGCCTGCAACCCAAGCACATGCCCTACACTGGGAATCAAACTGGTGACCCTTTGGTTCACAGGCCAGCACTCAATTCACTAGGCAACACCAGCTAGGGCAGAAGCACGTTTTTTTAATCAAAATAATTTATGGAGAAATTCACCAAAAGTATGGAATGAGATGTTTCATGTCCTGCAGTTACTGTAGCACTTAACAAGAAATTTTATTCCCTTTTTCCATTTTTTTTTTTTGCCGTATATCAAAGATGAAGGAAGTACCAGTCATGACGGTCTTTGGAATCAGAGGGATGTGAGTTCAACTCTCAGTACCTCCACTTAAGAACTATGTAAAAGCCAGGCAAATTACTTCAATCTCCCAGATCTTAGCTACCTTTTTCAGTGAAAGAGACAAAATGTAAATCATGCCTCAGGTTTTTTATGAAAATAAAATGGAATACTGTAAAATAGTACCTGGCACATGCCAAGATCTTAAAAACCATAGCACTTAGTACTGGTTTATGTAAGATAAAAAAGGGCGCCCTAAGTCTTAGGTTATAGTTTTCACTCTGTACTAACTTGCTAAACAATCTGGGATAGTTTATTAATAAGCTGGCCTCAGTCTAATTGATAATATGAGAGCGCTGGACTTTATGATCTCTAGCTAACCTTCCATTGATAATATTAGAGTGATTTATCTCAAATACTGAAATAAGTTTGTTGTCTAATTAACACATGCTAAAATAATGACATATTTAAAAAATGTGTCACATTCTTTTTAGTAGATAGTGTTATTTTAGGAAAAAGGGTAGTGGATATCATCTAAATAATATGCATATTTCAACTTATTTTAAAGGTTAGTTATTATTATTCTCACCCCTACCCAAGGACGTGCTTTTAGAGTGGGGAAAAAGAGGGAGAACGGGAGGGAGAAAATCACGAATGTGAGAGAGCTACCTTGGCTGGCCGCCTCCCATATGCGTGCCAGCTGGGGATCCAACCCACAACCCAGGCATGTGCCCTGACTGGGAATAAAAACTGCAACTTCTCAGTTTGCAGGATGACACTCCAACCAACTGAGCCACACTGGCCAGGGCCATATTTCAACTTCTTAATCATAATTTAGAATTTCAGAAGAATCCAAAGCCTGAGAAAATTCTTTAATAGAAGGATATATGTAAGGTTATGCTGGAACACTACAAATTTCAAAAATGTTGTTCTTTTGGCATAATAATTTAAATTTTAAGGATTTATTACTAATCTCCAAAACCTGACTTACTAGAGAAGATTCTACATTGTCAGAAAATAGGACAAGAGACTTTTAGATAGTACTTGTAGTGAGAGACCATAAAAAATGATTTGTAAGAAAGAAGGTAAAGATGGTGACCCAGGATACACATTTCATGCAAGTAAATATATTGATAAAGTATTTTTTATATGTGAATTAATTTAAAACCATTCCCAAGGAATTCTCTCCAAATGGCACTTACACACCTGTCACCAGGCTTAAAACACCTGCTACAAAGAGTTTCCTATTACTACCCCAAAAACTAGTATATCATCTTTCTTTCTACAGTAGGAGATTACACTTTATATCCTAGTATTAGCTTGGATATAAGTCACAAAACGGTGTGCCCATAATTGTTCCCACGTGTATAAAAAATGTACACATACATCCACAGTGCATGTTTATATAGGTGTAAAAAAAGTCTGAAATATTAAAAACAACTCAGCCTTTTGGCAGTCAGGAGACAAAAAATTAAAACAAGCTATTATTTTTTTTGCCCATGAGAGTGGCAAAAATTAGGATGGCTCATAACATCCAAGGTTGGTTAAGAGCTTAAGGAGATATACTATATTGTTGGTGGGAACATACACTTTTTGGGGGATGATATGACTGCATCTTTTATCTTTTAAGTAAGCACAAAAAAGCATGTACAAAAATTGAAGCATTATTTCTAACAGTAGACAACTTAAATTTTTATAGTAGGAGTATGGTTAAATACTCATCCATTTTATGAAATATTTTACTGAAATTAAAAATGACGTATATACCATCCCTTCAGTTTTGCTATGAACCTAAAAATGCATTAAAAAAATAAACGTTACCAAAAGAAGTATTAGTTTGAGAGTTAAAGCCATCATTTTCCCAAATGACTGCGAAATCCCTTAGAATTGTTCAACCACTAAGTTCGTGATAACTTTATTTCTAAACATGCCTGAATTTCCTGGTGATAAAGGTATGGCTTCATATTCAAGGTACTACACTTAAATAACAGTGTGTAGCTGTGACCTCTTAAAGGCAGTAATGGTGTCAGCTATCTATGGGCCCCCGATGCCTGACGCCATTGCCTGACGCAGAAGTTGCTCACACAGATTTGCTTGAAATAAATTCATGCTATAAAGCAGTTTTAAGAGGTAAAAGACTTGAGAAAAGAAATCCAAGAGATGAGAAAAGAAACTGGATAAAACCAAATGATAATATAATTTCCAAAGGGGAAATTATCTATCCAGTATTTAGTCCAGAAAAAAAATCTGTACCAATCTATATCTTTAAGAATGGTTCAGATAGGTAGGAAAAACCATATGCAAAACTCAAAGAGCATTAATATGTATTTACCAGCAATTCTAGAAGAAATTCTTTATCAAAAGTTGTGTCTTCAGTTTTAGGAAGAGTTGGTAACAAGCAGAGGTATGATGCCACCTGGTGGAGTGTATTTGAACTGCAGAATAGAGAATATTGAAATCAGAATATTTTATTCTTATTTTATTTCACTTATGAAACATCTAATTTTATAGAATGCTTAAAACGTTTTACCTAGCAAATAGAATCCTATAACATGAGTAGAAAATATAAAATATCAGCAATGAAAGTTAAACCCCTCAAAGTGTCTTCTGAAAAGCTGCTCATGGTCCCTGAGATCCTTTCAGGGAGTCTGCAAGGACAAGCCCTTTTTATGTTAATACTAAGACATTATTTTTTTCCACTGTCTTTGCATATGCAGTCAAGTGCAAAAGCAATGGCGGGTAAAAATACTGGCAGAGACCGAGGCAGTGGCACCAAGTACTGTAAGTAGTCCTTGCATTCTTCAGGCCACACGCAGTTTTAAACCTCTCCACAAAAACCCAGTTTTAAGAATGTCCTTGGAGGAGCAGTTTTTAAAATGGGACACTTAAGTCTCTGTTTTAAAAATATCCTGTGTGATGGAATGGGAAGTGCACATTTTCTACACAATGTTTCCTTGACAGAACAACGGACAAATGATGGTTATTCAGACTTGAATTAATGGCAAAATTTTAAAAAATTTAAACACAATAAACCTGTGTCTTCAAGAAAAACAACTGACAGTATCTGCTGCCAAAGATAAAATGTAAACGTCCAAGTAAAAAACTGGAATTTTTGAAAACTTGCATTTGCCACTATAAGCTTGATAGCTTTCTACTACTTAAGCACAGTTTAATACCCCCCTGTCCCCAGCCAATATCCCTCACTCTATCCCAGTCCCTGGTAACCACTGATCTGTTTTCAATCTCTGTAACTGCTTTTTCCAGAAGGTCAAGTGAATGGAATCATCCATTACGCAGCCTTTTGACACTGGTTAGTTTCACTAGCACAATGCACTTGAGATTCACCCACACTGTTTTATCTTCCCATTGCTGAATAATTCCTTGCTGATTCCTTTTTCATTGCTGAATAATATTCCATTATAGGGATATACCATGGTAGGTTCATTCATTTTCCAGTTAAAGGATATTTGTGTATTCCATTTTTTGACAATTGTAAATAAAGCCCCTATGTACATTTCTGCACAGATTTTTGTGTGAATGTCAGTTTTCATGTCCTTTGGGAATGTCTGTGAGAATACAGGATCACACAGTAAAGTGCATGCTTAACTTTACAAGAAACAGGAAACTCAAATTTTTCCAAAGTGTCACTACCATTCCAAATTCCCATCAGGAATGTATGATTTCATTTATATGTGGGATCTTTAAAAAAAAAAAAAAAAAAACAAAAGCTCATAGATACAAAGGAAAGACTGATGGTCCCCAGGGTGTGACAAGGAGTGAAAGGGTAAAAACTTCTAGTTAAATAGATTATGGGGATGTACTGTACAGCATGGTGATACAGGTGGCAATACTGTATTACACATTTACACATTAGAATGCTGCTAAGAGAAGAGATGGTAAAAGTTCTATCACGAGAGAAAAATTCTGTAACTATATATGGTGACAGATTAACAACTTATTTTGATGATCAGTTTGAAATACACACAAGTATCACATCATTATGTTGTATCTTGAATCTAATATAATGTTGATTGTCAATTATACTTGAATAAAAAATGTTTTTTTAAATGTTAGGATTCAGAAAGCAGAGTCCTTATTTGTCACTTGCTTGATATGTGAACCAGACAAATTACTTAACTGTTCTGTGCCTCAGCTACTTTATATGTAAGATGATACCTGCATACTTCTCTCACAGGAATGTTTTCAGGATTAAGTTACTTACACACTTAACAGAGTGCCTACCATATAATAAATAAAAGTATGCTATTATTACTATTTTTAAAAAATATATTAGCAGATAGCTAAGTGACAAGAGAATATTACTAATTTCATAAATTTTAAACACGCAAAACTTTTCCAAGACACGGCTCTAAAATCGACAGCAATCCCCACGCCTTATCCTTATCCCCCTCGCCATGGGGGATGTGCTCCACGATCCCCAATGGGTACCTGAAACCCTGAAAGTACCGAATCCTGTATATACTATGTTTTTTCCTGTACATACTGTTTTTTCCCTGTACATACATACCTTATGTCCTTAATCAACTTCAACTGTATCAGAAATACGGCAGGAGCTTCTTCATCAGCAAATGCAGCCTCTCCAGTAATTTTTATATTTTAGTCCAAACCTGTTCCTGCCCTTGCTTGCGGTAAATGTCTTGGTGTCATTCGTTTCAGGGGATCACTTGCTGAAGTCTTTGTATAGGCTCAATGCTTTCTGGCACAACAACTGGAACACGTTTCTGTTTGTGTCTTCCACTGACAAATTTAGGGTATGTGCTGCTGAAGTGAGCACTCTTCCACCCATACATTTAGTGCTTTTTCCATCCTAACTAAGCATTTATCACGCACTGTGGTCATAACTTTTGCAGTTTGTGATGTGACAGCAATACTAGCTTATGAATTTCTTTTTCCTTCTTCAGTTTCAAGATTCACAATTTCAAGGTTGAATATTCATTCTTACCATAGACCTTAGCAACCTTAGTAAACGCTTGCTTTCTTATTAAACAAGGAAGTACTTCATGGCTCCTCTTTGGTACCTAAATTGCCAGCATCACTAATCTTGTATTTGGGGGCCATTATTAAATAAAATCAGGACTGCTTAAACACAGGCACTGCACGACTGTAACAGTTAATCTGGTTACCAAGGTGGCAACTAAGTGACTAATGGCGGGTAGGACATACAGCACAGATACGCTGGACAAAGAGATGATTTGCACCCCGGGAGGGAGAGAGCGGGACAGGGTGGAATTTAAAACTGATGAATTGTTTATATCTAAAATTTTCCATTTAATATTTTTGGACCACAGACAACTACAAATGATGCTGCAAAAAGTGAAGCCATGGCTAAGGGAAGAACTAGTGTATGATGAACATTTTTTGGCTTGTTATATGTTTTTTATGACTAATGGGTTACCAGCTTTATGTTCAATTCTAAGAAAAAATTAAGATCTAGGAAAACTGTATGTTATGAAAAGTACCAATTTTACCAAAAAAAGAGAAGATGGATAATTATATATTGACTCAAAGGTACTAAATGCTACAGAGAAGCACTAGTTCTAGTTGTCAATAAACAGGGTAACACGTAACATTACCTAAAGTAGCACAAAAATGATTAAAAGAAAGCTAGAATTCAGTTTTTTTTTCCTGTTGCCTTACCTAAGATGTCCAAAATACTTGACCAAGGACTCCCGAGTGTCTACTTCTGCCACGTTTGAGAGGGCAAAATCATAGAGTTCAGGAAAATGTGCAAAAGCAGCTCTCTAGAAAAGAACAGCAAAAAAAAACCAAAAAAAACAAAAAAAAAGTCAATAATTAATGTATATATATTAATACAATCAACTACAATTCATATACCCTATTATTAAAATTTTTTAAAAATACTAATGCCCTCCTCTTTTTGATATGCTTCTTACATGTGACCGCTGTCTTATTGAGCCAGAAGCATTTAACACAACAGGGAGAAACCCAGAATTGCTCTAGCAGAAATGTAAAAACAAAGAGTCAATGTTCGTTATTTTATTTCTAAACTTGTAGTCTGAATGTACAGGAAAGCCAGCTTAGTTAACATGAGGGAAGAAAGCAAAACACTTTATTATCAAGAACTGACCTAACAAAACTAAAAGTTTTAGTTTTCAAGGAAAATTCCCACTAAACAGAGAGAGTTTGAGGGAGAAGCCAAAAGCATAGTGTGCTATGTCCTGCTTTATGTTGGAACTCAGGAAAGAGAGGGCCTTGCAGGGCACCACCCCCAACCAACATGGAGTAAGTGCCAAGAAAACCGAAACAGCAGCAATTATGCTGATCTGATGGGAGAATACAAGACAGCATTCCTAGTCTTCCTTAATGCCCATGTGGCACAAAGAAGATCTAGAGGTTTTCATGTACCCACAGTGTATCATGCAGGAGGCTGTCAAGGTTATGGATGAGCCTGCCGCAGGATTACTACAGGCAGTGGCAAAATGACTGCGTAACCCAAAGCTGAAGAGCGAGCTAAGCTAGGGAATGAACGAGAGTTAGCTCACAGGAGAGTTCTAGCTCTGTCCAGAACAAAGTTGGGGCCTCCTCGCCAGGGAGACAGCCAAGCTCCTTGTGAGCAATCATCATGCCTTGCCTGGCCTAGAACAGACCACATGCCAATCGAACCACGGTCACTTCAAGGGCAGAGACAGGATAAAAACAATAATGCTCTGAGAAAAGCAAGAAAAGATGTTTGAGCTAGGACAGTGTGAAGATCATTCCTCTTGCAAACCATAAATCTTAGTGTCTCCATGTACCCAGATGCCATTTTGGAAAAAGGAGGAACAGCAGAGACTCCTTGCGAGATAGTAGAACTGACTATGCAAGAAAGTTGAACTTAAGTTTGACTGAGTCTTTACTCAGAAAAATGACTTTTAGAACAGAAAGAAATGAATTACTTTACATTGATAAATAAAAGCTACTTTCTGCCAACAGAGGAAATGGGGCTCAAGAGGAAGATGAGATTAGTAAAGAACATAACTAGAATACTTTTGCTCATCTGCGCTATATTGGTGAATTTCATTACCTGTGTTTCTCTCAAAAATGTACAAAATGTTTACACTACTTTGTCATATGTTGACATATCTTCTTTCATAAAATGAAACAGAGGTTTAAATGCACTAAACTGGCCCAGTAACTAATATTTCTGAGTATCAAATATCAGCATATTTATTCTCAGGATGATGCCTATTAAAGAAAGCCGTTTTTTTTTTTCATGAATTCAAAATTCATGATGAAAACAGTGTTAAATTAATACCTCTTCTATTTGTACTATACAAATCCTAAATTATTCACGACCTGACTTTATGGAGCAGAAGCAAAGGCTATAGTGCATTTCAATTACCTGCAGGGAAGTAATTCTATCATAGTGAATTGTAGTCATCTCATTCTCTGTGAGAGCATTTCCAGTCTGGTCATTAATCTCAAAACCAGTATAAAACTTAAGCATGTCCAAAAGCTGAAAGGATATATTTAAATTAATAAACTGTGTGAACACAAAAGCATGAAAGCATGAAAAACATTATTTACTTCAAATAATAAACAAGTACGTTTACCTTCTCAGAGATTCTGAAAAGCTCTGTAAACAGTGCAACAAACATTTCAGAACATACCCAAATGTAGTTTTATTTATGTGGAAAAAGGTACGCATGTGCCTTGTGAATAAATTAAGTCTACACCATATATATGGTCTACTTATACAGAGAAGAATTTAAACGCCAATCCCAATAACAAAGAGATATTAAGGATCTAATCAAAGGAAGCCAGTCACTTTAAAGAAAAAAAAAAAATCTATCTACATCACTGCAAATCTATAGAACTATACCACTAGAGGGAACTCCCGAGGTCTTTTAGAGAGTTTTGGGATTGCTGATTGGAGAGATACTCTGTGTGTGCTGCTTCCATGGCGGAAAATCTGCCAGGTGGGGAAAGATAACAATCCATTCCTCTCCTCAGTCTCCGCAGCCGTCGGGCCCCTTCTCTAGGGCACCGTAGTTCCGCTGCTAACGGGCTGCTTTCCCCCTGGGGTGGCAGCATCAACAGGGTTCACTGGCTGCCTTCACCCCGACTCTGTATTATTCTTAATGCTAATCCATGGCATATCAGATATTAGAATTTTAATATGTGAGGAAAATCACTGGGATTTAATAAGAGAATGAGGGAAAAAAAAGGAGTGCTCACAGAAACAAGGTAAAAGAAGTCTTATTGGGTTGGCCAAAAAGTTCATTCAGTATTTTTTCATATGATGGCTCTAGGAGTGCTTAGCTGTCTTTAACTTTATTTGAAACAATTTTGTTAGATGGTACTGTGACAGCTGTATATTAGCATGCACTTAAAAAAAAATCAAAATTGGTGAATTTTTGTGCAGTCATTTTAATATTGAAGATGGAAGAAAGTATGCAATATTTTCTGCATGTTATGCTTTATTATTTCAAAAAAGGTAAAAATGCAATCGGAATGCAAAAAAAGATTTGTGCAATACAAAAGTGGTTTGTGATGTTTCTTGGTACCACTGACAATTTGGCCAAATAATTCTTTGCTGCGGGACTATCTTATGCATTGGAAGATGTTTAGCAACACCCTTGGCCTCTACCCAGTAGAGGCCAATAGTGGGAGAGAGCCAACAAACTCAACATACCGAGATCAATAAAGTCACTGGTGAAAAGAAAAAATGTATCTTTTACTTCACAGAAAAAAAAATAAACAGATTTTTTGGTCAACCCAATATATAATATCTAAACACATAAAAACCATATCTCTAACTATGACCTTATTGAAACACAAGTGTTGGAAGTTTGTTAAAAGGATTTTCTTCCAGATGACATTACAGGAAATGCAAAACTCTTTAATACTTCATCTTCGTATCCAAGTTAGCACACAAAGCATACATGCTTCCACACTATCAAGCACCATCTCATGGATGGAGAGCCATGTTATTAGGGCATAGTTCACTTGAAATTAAAGCTCATCATCTTTTATCTTCCACAGTGGTTATGTGGGCTACATCACTAAATTTTACATAATTTAGTAATATCATAACAAACTCACATAATACAGTATAAGCTTTTGTTAGAGGCCACCTATATAAGAATGCATTCATTTTGTTGTAGTTCTTAAAGATTTTATTTCTTTATTTTTACAGAGGGGAAGAGAAGGAGAAGGAGAAAAAGAGGAAGAGAAACATTAATGTGAAAGAGACACATTGACTGGTTGCCTTACGCTGACAGGGGCAGGGGTGCCTGACCCAAAATGCGGGAGTGTCGCCTTCACCAAGAATCAATCTGGCGACCTTTCGCTTTGTGGGATGAAGCCCAACTGAACCACACAAGTCAGGACAAAAAATGCATTTATTTTGTACATTAAGACTTGATTTTACTTAAAAATGAACAATTAAGAATTTTCATTATTCAATTCAATACAAAGCAAAATTACTTTGTATCATGCCCTGGTACTCTCAGTTGCAAGGCAAAGAAAAGATCAATTTAGAAATAAGAACAGTAAGTATGTTCAGATACATAAATGCTCACCTGGGAAAAAAGATGGCCATCCTCTTCCCTATGAACAAGATTGGAAAGGGAACAGTGAACCAAAAGGTGGCTGTCATCCAGGATGGTATTAAACCAGCGCCTTGTGGGGAGTAGGGCCTAGAAAAAAATAAACACCATGGCAATAAGTGTGCAGGTTTTCTGTAGCTAAATGTGAAAATTACTGATATGTAACTTATAAGCGTTAATCACATCCAAAGTACCCTCCAGTCTCCTGGAGACATCGTGCACAAAGCAAGGTCCATGTTGTAAATAAACTCAGTGTTATTATTTCTCAAAAATTATAGCACTGAAAAAAATCTCAGATGTCTCAGCCAGAAGTTTTCAAACAAAACCTTGTATGAAATCCCAGAATGTACTGAGTGTAGGTTTAAAAATGGAGTTGCTTTGAGAAAAAGGGAGGAGGAACCCCGAGGGGAGACTCCTTTTTCGGTTTCCACTTCCCACATCCCTCTCTGGCAGCCCAAGATGATAGGCAAGATGGTGACAGTCAGTTTGGAAACCACTAATATAATCAGACATCCTCCTTTTATAGGTGAGGTTATTGAGATGCTCCATGGTTATAAATCAGTTACTGGCAGAATTAGAATTTGAATGAAGATCTCATAAATGATTGCTAGTCCAATACTCTAATCCTCATGTCAAGAAACCACGCCACCTTTCCAGATAAGAGACAAACTGAAAGGATTTTCTTTCAATTTCCTTCATTAAAGAGGGAAAGGAAAGGAAATAAATTCAGTATGACCTACACCAACTCTGCATGTGAACTTTCCATCAAAATCTTTTACCTAGTAGTATGGAATCTTTTTTTAAGAATCTTAATTTTAAAAATTGACAATAGCAGCTACATGTTTCTTCATCAATATAGGCAAGTTTTAAAAAAGATTATTAAAGATATGGCCGTAAACCCATGACTTCAGCCACTATTTAAAACTCTATGAAGGGATATTAAAATGTGACAGATAATAAACTGCCATTGTTCATGTTTAATAACTATACTAAGTACCGTTTTTCCTACAAACAGCAGCCATCTGAGAACATCAAGAGTCAAGTGCTTTGGACTTTCTTCTCTGACACACCTTGAAATAAATGCAAAGGCCAGTTTGAGGTGATAAAAAAATATTTCACATATAGTCATATGCTTAATCATAGCCTCCTTAAAATGACTGTATTACAGAAAAGCACCTGCACATTTCTTACCTCTAGATCAATCATAAGTTCAATGAATCTTTCACAGTAATGAACTTTGTCCATAGTAACAGGTTCTAGACATGACACAGAAAACATGTTAGAATTTTCTTACTTAGGTTATTCTGTGGCACTATATTCTAAAATGGCAGTTATTTAAACAAGGTCACTTGTCCCCTATTCATCAGGATTGAACTATGATCAGAGTAAGGACCTTCCATAGATTTCACAAAAAGGTGGGCCTTCCCCGACATCTACTCTACAAATATGAAAAAATGAAAACTTGCATCAGAAAACATTATAAAAATAAGATTTGCAAAATATTTTAGTGTTAATTTTTTAAAATCTATACTAAATGATTACATTTTTTAAAAAACCTGAGATAGAAAAACTAGAAAGGCAGTTTTGTATCAGTTTTTGCCCTACTTTTCATATTGTCTTCACATAGTTTCTAGAACTTCTTTATATGCATAAACAGATACATATATGTGTACATGTACATATACAAAGATACCTTAGAATGCATAAAAAAATGGGTGGGAAAGATATATACCAAACTAATTAAAGGGATACTTTTTATGACTTTTTTCCCACTGTGCACATATTCCTTTTTGACATTAAAATGTCAATGACATATAAAGCAATAAAATATTTATTTCTATTTGATATATATATATATTTTTTATTGTTCAAATACCTTTGTCTCCATTTTCCAGCCACCACTTTCCCCTGTCCCACCCACCCCCACCTCCCACCCTCAATCCTTCCCCACTTTGGCTTTGTCCATGGATTCTTTATACAATAAAATAATTTTTAAATCACTATCTTATTTTATATTATTCATGAGCATTAATGTACTGTGTTTTAAAATTTTACATTTTTGTTTTTAAATAATTACAATCTTGTGACATTACATACTTTCAGAGTACAAGTCCCCATCCCCTGCCCCCCATGCCAAGAAATGATCTTCAGTTTTACCAGCTAGAGCATTTCTGCCAAGGCACAGAGCAAACTTGGCAACCCCCTACTATCGCTTAATCTAAGGACTCCCAGCTACAAGTAAAGCAGCACTTGCTAGACCTGACGAAGGCACCCTACAAATGCTTAAATAAACCTACTCATTGCATTTATTTCTGGTATACAGGAAAATGGAAGGCTTTATGTGACAAAAAAATGTGAATAGTTTTGTGACTAATATATGGAAATGTTAACTGGAACTTTTCCATGTCCATAATCCAGACCCTAAAATTACATATGCATGGAATTCGATAGCTCGAAAATACCTTAGAGAACTAGATCTATTTTAGCTCTCCATTTTCTAGGTGAGAGGCAAACGGAGGGCTAGAGAAAATGACTTGATAAAAGTGTAGAACAAAGTAATGGCTGGACAGGACCAGAATCCATACAAACCAGTCCTCTGTTGCTATGTTTTGTTCTTGTTACTGACAAAGGAAAATATTTTTGCCTAATACTTAAAATGTGACCACATTGTGTATTTGGTATTTTTATTTATAGGTTGAGAAAGTTACTGGCAGTCGCTTATTTAAAGTTTGAATATGATGCTTGGTACTCAACTTCTGAGCTCTGGTGAATAAAGCTCCATGTTTTAAATTAGTTGGTCCTACTGTGCACATTCTTTAGAGCTGAGAGCTTGTTATTCCAATTTCAGACATCAATATATCCTATCATTGGCTTCCTACATGTATTGCAGTTTTCTTTTTCCTTCTGAGAGCCGCCCTGACATCTCAGGTTATCCTATAGAGATTTCCTTTATGACAACTGTAAGGACATGTTGTTTTTAATGACCCTGTAAAGTGAAACTACAATTCTTATTCTTTTAACAATTAGTTTTCTGTTTCCTAACTATATAATCGATCCATCTTTAAACCCTTTCTGAACCCACAGTTTTCAACACCTTGTTTCTTCCTTTGCAATGTTAATAAATTTTGATTGAAACTCAAGATCTAAAAAATTTTTTTTCTGTTTTCTGACAATATATAAATAACAATGGCAATAGTTAGTGGTTTAATGGCTGTTAAAATTACTGCAGGCCCTATGTTATTGCTACTTGATTATCAAACTTTTCTAAATGACCACAGACAAACATTCCAAAGTTCAAGACATGAATTTTTAATGACCTCATTATTACACATATTAGTAGTTCTAAGCACTCATTATTACTAATTGCTGCAAGAAAACCAAATCTAAGTCCTCTTAACTGAATGATTTAAATATACTAATAATTAAGTGACTTAGATTATAAGCAAATGATAATTTTTTTTCTTTATACCGGTAGTAATATTGTGCCCATAGTCAGGTACAACTGATTTATAACATTAGTACTCTTCCTCACAGAATTATAGGCATGATTTTCAGTAAAATATTATTTGGAGGGTCAGCATTTATAAGTAATTCTATTGTATTTTTAGGTTAAACAAAGCTAAAATTTTTGATGCAAAAATAGAACTATGTTACATCTATAGAGCTGTTCTTAGATTATATTCAGGTTAGGAAATAAAATATTATTAACCAATGACATATCTTACATAGCATATATACACCTTTATTAAGTAAACAATATTTTGTTTGCATTCACAAATGTTTATAAAGATCTTGTAAAACTGGCATAAAATAATTGGCCCTGCCTGACATAAAAGCATATAACACACACATACACACACATAAAGGTATCTCTACATATAGTATAATCATGATATATTTCAAAGTGTATACATAGTATAAACTTTATTTTTTTCATCAATAAATGGGGGCCACAAAGGAAAGAAATCCTTTCCATTTTACCTCAAAAATACATTCCTTATACCTCAAAAATACTCTTCTCTTCCTCTGCGAACAGCATTTGATGTCGCCTGAACACACTGCTCAGCAGCGTTCTGTAAGGGCCATGTGGACAGGACTGGCGACTATCTTGTTTGCCACTCTGTCCAAGCTCCTTTGTTCAGGACCTGGGTCTTACTAGAAGCTCAAAAAATATTTACTAAATAAATGAACATTTTAATAACCATGCTGATACCTTTAATGTATGTGAATTTTTCATGGCAGTCACAATATTCAGACTGGTAATATATTTGAAAAGGGGAGGACATAACATTTTGTCATTACAATTAAAAGTCATCCTAAGAGCAGTTTCTGGAGTAAAAATTAGTAAATCCTACGGGGGTATCTAAATAACTCAAGTAAGCTGAGTAAAAGAAGATAGTTACCAGAAAGTGGGACTGATTTTAGCACAGAGATAAACTTCTGGATGAGCTGTGAAAGAAATCTTCTTTCTTGATAGGCTCTAAAATCAAAGATATAACGTTGATCAGTTATTATGAAAAATAATTATTTCAAAAGTAAAAAAGGTTGAACAAGCCTTTCTTATATTGTTGAAATGTTCCATTTCTCTTTTCTTCTTATGTAAATACAGCACTACATGCAGAAAAGAAGAGCCTAATTATTGGCCTAAAAAGCTAGCTAAAAAAAAAAATCTATTTCTTTTTCATGTAAAAGTTGTCAGTTGTGATTTAAAGATGAGGACAAGAAAGGAATTTTCAAAATTTCATTTCTAGTCTTCCCTTAACATTAAAAATTTAGTATTAAGTATGTCATTAAGACAAAGATGAGCAATTTTATACTTTAATATGTTTAAAGTATTAAATATAACAGAGTATTACAAATCTAAAAATTAACCTAGTTTAAAAAACAATTTTCTACTCCCTACTAATTTAAGATGCACTATATACCAATGAATGAACAAATAATCATCAGGTGTCAATACAAGTGATTATATCAGTACTGCTGGAAATACAAAGGAGGGAGAATGACTAAAACTTGAAATGATAAGTCATATAATAAAAAGATAATTAGTAACACAAACCAGCATGCATTTAATAAAACTGGCTGAAATTAATTGAGCATTTCTGTACCAGGATCTGAGTTGTGTTAAGTACTTCATATGAACAATCTCATTTAATGCTGAAAACCATTCAATAAAATAGGTACTAATGCTTCAATTTCACAGTGAGGCTCAAAGAAGTGAAGTAACTTGTCTAAAAGTACATGGCAACTGAGTGTGGAACGTAATTATGTCTAATTACAGAATGACATTTTAAATCAGTGATTTTCAACCTTTTTCGCCTCATAGCACACATAAACTAATCAACAGAATTCTGCAGCACACCAAAAAATATATTTTTGCCAATCTGGCAAAAAAAATAGGTGTAATTTTGATTCATTCACACTGGATGGCTATTGTTGTGTAGGCTGCTGTCATTTTTTAAATTTGACAATCTAAGGGAAAAGAGGCCCGTGTCCTTGACTAAATAGGCAGGTACTGCATGTTATAAAAATTCTTGCAGCACACCAATTGTAAATTGCTGCTCTAAACAACTACCCTTTACACAAACAACTGGATTTTCAATGAAAAAACCACAATGTGTTTCAGGAATTCAGAAGAAAGCACTGTGGCCTAAAACGGTCTGGAAGAGTGTTTAGGAGGTTAACCTTTATTCAAATGGAGTGGAGGGAAAGGGCACTTAAGGAAGGAGTATTTTTAAGAAACAACGAATAGACTAGTCTAGTGATTTGGGAGAGTCACAAGAAGGTCTGTAAGGAGTTTAGAGTTTATCCTATGGGAACTAGGACACCACCGAAAGCTTGTGAGTAGGAATATGACGAAATAAACATAGTTTTCTATGAGGATGGCTAGTTAGGCCCATTATTGTAGGAAAGCTAGAAGAAACATTAAATAGGAATTTATTGTGGCGGCTTAGTCAGGAGGCTATACAAGAGAGGGCCCAAAAAATCCCAGAATTTATTTATAAAACATTGGTTATTTATTCTTACATGTGTAAACTTCAGTCATCTTCAAAGTACTCACAATACACCTACTGAGACATTTTTTTCCCACTGTTCAAAACAGTTTTTGAATTTGTTGATTTTGATGTCTTTTAATGCTTATGCCGTTTATTTGTTTCACCGCTTCCACATCTGCAACCTGTTTCCCTTCGAGGGCATTTTTCATCAGGGTAAACAAAAAAAAAAAGCCGCTCAGGGTAAGATCCAGTAAATAGGGAGGGTGGGGCACTGGGTTCATGTCATTCTTGGTCAAAAACTGCTGAACACTCAGCGCAGTGGGGGCAGGAGCACTCCCAAATCACCCATCATGAAATGGACACCTGAAAGTTTTTAAAAACAATCCACTGAAGGAGAAGGCAGCCTCTCACAACACCACCAGCTGGTACACTGATACAGACGGGTTCCTAGAATACTCACCTAGCGGGGGGAGCCAGTGCTACAGGAGGCCTGGCCTCCAGGAGATAATTCTGGGTTTTTCTGGTCCCTCTCCCCTATAAAAGCCTTCCAGTTAGACAACAGTAGTGTGAATAGACAAGAAGGAAGATGAAGGTCAAAAGATGAATCCAGCCCTGGCTGGTGTGGCTCAGTGCACTGAGTGCCAGCTTGTGAACCAAAAGGTCACCAGTTCAATTCCCAGTCAGGGCACATGCCTGGGTTACAGGCCAGGTCCCCAGTGGGGGGACGCTCAAGCAGCAACCACACATTGATGTTTCTCTCCCTTTCTATCTCCTTCCCTTCCCTTCTCTCTAAAAATAAATAAATATAATCTAAAAAAAAAAAAAAAAAAAAAAAAAAAAAAGACGAATCCAGTTAAGACTGGCTGGATGGATAAAAACAGCTAGTCAGAGAATTTCAAGCCCAAATGGCTGAAAGAATTCACAGTAACTGGGCAAAAAGGTGAGTTTGGAAGGAAAAAACAATGAGCATTATTTTGTTAAGCCAAATTGGAGTTCATGGCAATGCATCCAAACAGAAGTAGAGAGCAAAGAGTTATACAAAGACAGGAAAGCACAGAATGTTAGAACCAGAGAGATGTAAGGGTAAATCATATTGAGGTAATAGAAACAGAGGGTTTTTTTTAAAAAAAGTAAGTTATCATGTTATTACTCTAAAAAGTGTGGAAAAAGAGCAATTAAAGGTGGAGAAAGAAATAGGATTATTGCTAGACCAGTCATGTAGTAAATAATGTAAATGCACAATTAGACCACTGAGCCTCAAAGAGATGCAGATCTCTTTTATATACACTTGCTACCAGACTTTTATCCAATTAATAATAATTACTATTAAAATAACCCCTAACCCTCACCTGCTTTTTTACTCTTTACACTTGATTTGTTTTTCTCCTTAGCATGAATCATAATCTAATATACTATCTTAATCCATCTGTTTCCTGCTGTCTTCCCCAACTAAAATGTAAGTTCCACAAGAGCAGGAGGAATTCTTTTCCAGTATGTCCTCTGCTGTATCTCCTATACCTGCAATAATAGTATAGGGCAAAATAATAAACACTCAATCCTTGTTGAATGAAGGAACGAATGAATTATGGTTGAAATGTATAAAAGTCATTGTTAAGAATGAGGGAGTAAGAAAAAGAAAGAAGTTAGAATGACAGCCTAAAGATTGTGGAGAAAACTGAGAACAATCCACGACAGACAGATGATAAACAATAGGCAGAAAGAATACCACTGATATATTTATCCTCGGGGCAGAGAGAAGAGAAAGAAGAAAAAAGTGGTAACAACACTTCTTAATCATCAATTTGGTTCAGCACTATGTAAAGCAAATAACAAACCAGTCAACTTCACCTAAGACCCACAATCCAGCATAATAAACCAACACAGAACAAGGCTTTGGCAACATACTGTTCTCTTGCTTCTGGATCCATCTTTTCATCATTCTTTTTAATTAAGTTCCAGAATTTTCTTAGCTTAGGTGTCTTTTTTAATTCTAATTCCAATCGTGCCTGAAAGAATAATAAGATATTAAATCACCAGCAACCTCGCAAATGACAAACATAAAAATTAGATCAACTACTGGTTTCCTGATTTATGAATGCAATACAGAACAATGGGATAAAACCTGAAAGCAATAAGAAAAAACCTGAAATAATAACTCTATTTTTAAAAACTGTTCAATTCTAACACTAGTTAACAAACTAAGACAAAAGAGACTGCCTTTTCTAGTCAAAATTTTAAGCTCAATAGTCATGTAAATTCTTATTTCTAAAATTAATTTCATTGTGAAAAATATGAGCATTAACACTGATGAGCAGAAATGATTGGAAAAGTTTGAAAAATGAGTCTAAAACAATGAACATAAAACAGGTATTACAAGTAAACAAGGTAATGTCCACATCACCATATTCTTTCATATGGCACTTACAGTTTTTAACTTTCTATTAATTATTTACGTGTCTGTTTTCATCCCCATCAACTGGTCCCTATGAATGAGCTTGCATATCTGAGTGTCTGGAAAATCACTTGCATGTAGGAAATGGAATCCTGAATAAAGTATGATACTGAAATTTGAGTTTTAACTTTACTCGTTAAGATCTGTTAATCTGACTTTGATACTAGTTAAGCATTTCTAATAAAGATCTAATGAAAAAATAAAGTTGTTAATGTTAAACATGATCCATACCTTCTCCTATAGTTGTATGTATATTCCAATCCAGGAAAATAAAAATTCAATTCTGTATTGATTCTCCTCCAAATTCATAAGAATAAACCATATTTTGCTAAATTAAGGCCCTTCTATATGAGCTCAATAGATACTACCTTATTTCACCTTACAATACTAAAATTAGGTAAAATATATATTACCTTGCAAATAAGAACTTTAAAACTAAAAACTACATCTATGACTGAATTAATGCATAGTAAATTAGATACTTTTTTTAGAGGAGGAAAGAGGATTTTTAGCTACCATTTTATATTAAAGCTACATAGCCTAAATCCACATGTTGCACTTTTATGTCCAAGTAAGTTTCTGAAATTAGATACTTACAGGCTGTAAGCCCATCCACATTGGGAGGGAGATAAGCTGCTGTACTTGACTTCGTATCAAGTCTACTTCCTATTTAAAGCATGAAGAAAACAAGTTTAGAAACAGCATGAGCATTTTAACCTAAGTCTTTACACACGCAGCATACCGCCCTTTGCAGTTCTGGGGGAAGGGAGGTGGGGGAGAACATGCCACCGATGCTTTCACATTAATGATATTGCAATACTAAGAAGTTCAATACTTTGTTTTAAAAAGATATAGTCAATCCTCATTATTTGCAAATTCTGTATTCAGACATTCACCTACTTGGCAAAAATTTATTTGTAACCCCAAATTCAAGAGTCCTCATGCTTTCACAGTCACTCACAGACAGCATACAGAAGTGAAAAATGTGAATTGCGCAACATGCACATTTTGGGCTCTGCCTTCTTGTTTCAGCTCATCTATAAGAAAGTGTCATGGCCTATTTGGTGCTACTTTTTCACATTTCTGTGCTTTCTGTTGGTGGTTTTGTTATTTAAAATGGACCCCACCCACAGGGCTGAAGTGTTGTCTAGTGTGCTCAGGCTCAAGGAGGCTGTGTTGTGCCTTTCAGTGAAAATGTGTTATCTAAGGTTGGTTCAGATGTAAGTTACAGCATGAGTTCAACATTAATGAATCAACAATATATATTACATAAAGTATCTTTAAAACAGAAACACATATAAAACAAGATTATGTATTGATTAGTTGATGAAAATGTTGTAACCAGAGAGGCTTGCTGATCCTAATAATCCTATATTTTTCCTCCGGAGCAATGGTTCAGTTTTAGCTAATTCAGTATTTGCAGCTTTAAATAACTACCTCAAATAAAGAGAACTGACAGTGTACTGAAAAAAATAGAGCATTTCAATAAGCTAGCTTTTAACTTAAAGCTAGCACCAAACTAATTAAATCTTGTTTCTGTTAAATTTTTGATAAGAAATAATATCTACTTAAGTTTATATTTGCATCATTTAGTTTAATCAATGTTACAGGGTAATAGTGGCATTCAATGAGGCATCATAAATCTATTTTTTTTATGTGTTTACAAAATCCGCGTGAGGTAGTACATGGAGACGGGTACCAACCATCCCTCTATCGACACGCAGTCTTCAGGATAAGAAACAAGCCCATGCATTCTCCTGCAGGGGTCTAAGTGCACTATCAATTCAGAAGCACTTATCTTTAAATAAATAGGTATATACCTTCAGAGAACCACAGCAGGGAAGCACAAATAAAATATTAATTATTGTAAATACTTAATTTTTTATAAGATAATCTTATGAAGGATTAGAAATGTATCATATACAACCCAAGAGATTTTCAAAGATGATCCTCAGGTGCCCCTGATCAGTCAACTCAAAGCCACTCTCCTGCTGACCTGCCAGCCTGTGCGTGAAGTATGACCAAAGAGTAATGAAACTGTTTCTGTGTGCAGCTTATGGCAAAGATCTCATTACTCCAAGTTCCTATTAACCAGACTCTTTGCTATTCTACCTTGGAGAATTTCAGTTCTCATTATCATTTTTCTCGGAGTCCAAGAGAAGAAAGGAGAGAGCAAGTCCAAATCTATTAAAAAGCAAACAGGTCTTATAAAATGGTTTATTAAGAAGTGGCTGAAATTAGGCTGTTAGCATTCCTCATTCCCCATTACTATGAATGAAGAGTTGGCTACAGAGGTAATCTCATCTACATTCAACTTAAAAGAACAAGAAAACCTGAAAGTTCTCCCCAAAGGTAAAGTAAAATTACCAAACTATTGAAGCAATGATCAAGAAAAAGCAGTAAGACTGTCTGTTCATGGAGTGAAAATTCCCCGTCAGTTTCAGCCAATGCTGCTTTCAGGATACACTTGAAAAAGAACGGGAAGTGGTCTGGCTTCTTCTTGAAAGTCTGAAAAGAGAAAAAATAAAAATTCATTTTGAAGTGGCATGTTCACCTCTTTTTCTGCCTTAAACAAGCACCGGTGGACTTTTTTAGGAGTCTTGAAAAAAATAAGTAAAGTAAGTAAAACTTACAAAAAGTTTATTTGTTTACTTACAATTAATGGTAGCAAGTCAAATACAGGGTTCTGGACTATTCAGAGTTGCAGAAATCTTTGCATTTCTCTGTCTACTGGACACTTTCATCTAGATACTCCAAAGGGAATTTAAACTCAGTAAATCCAAAACTCAATTCAACAATTCTGTACCCTCTGAAATATTCCTCAATCCTCTTTTACCTATCTTAGTAAGTGGCATTAGCATCATCTATGTTCAGTTGCCCAAGCCTAGAAGCTTATTGAAAATAGTACTCTCCTTCTTTAATGCTACAGCAATTATCAAACCCAATCAATTCTACTTTCTAAATCTTTGTGTAACCTCTTCTCTTAATCTGTATTGCCAGTTCTCTATTTCAAGTCGCCGAAGTAGTCTTTATAATATGCAAGCTGATCAGGCCATTCTCTGGATCAAAAGATTTCGTCTCTCCTTTCCTATAGTACAATAGTTTGAAGCAACTTCAAGATACTCCTAAGATCTCTGAATAAGATGTAAGGCCCATATTTTAGTTTGGGCTCTAACTGCCATAAGATGGTAGCAACTTAATGCATAGTTCACAGAAGTGACCATGGTTTTATCTTAAAGAGTCTAACACCTTTTCACTTTGGAGACCACCGTCTCAAAAGAGATGGCAAGTATCTATGCCTTTTCTTCATTTATTGGTCTCTAGTTTTTTTTTCTGATGATTTTATCTGGTTTTGGTATCAGGATAATGCTCCTCTCACAAAATCAGCTAAGACATGTTTTCTCACTTCTATTATCTGGAAAATTTGTATATAATAAGTATTATTTATTTCTTAAATGTTTGGTGGAATTTACAGATTATGCCACTTAGACCTGCAGTTTTCTTTGTGGAGAGGTTTTTAACTGTATCTTTAACTTTTGAATAGATAAAGTGAAATTTTGGTTGTGTATTTTTTTTTTTCTTGAATAAAATTTGGTATTCTGGAAAAGAAAAAAAGAATGACTGAAAGGGAAGAAACTCTTGATAAGCTGAGCATTTTGTGGTGGCCAAAGGAAACCTAGATTTTGAACCTCTACTGACACACCTCCAATTACACTAAGCACAAAGAGAAAATGTCAGTCTACTAGAAATTTCAAAAAAGGAAAACAGATCCCAAATCAGAGACAGAGGAAACTGAAATTACAATATAAACATCTGTCTTGACTTTGGAAACACCATTTTATACACATAGAACTACGAACACATCTGTACTTCTAGTTGTGAAACAAGGCACTGAAAAATATTAGCTCATTTGAGCATTATCTGTTTGTACTAATTAATATAAACTTCACTTTATCTGATGTAAAGGTCTTTATAATCCATGTCATTCTTTGTTTCAAGCAAAAAGCAGGAAAATGACTCCCCATTCGTAATTTTTTAATTAATAGTAAATTAGTTTGAAGAAAGTACTGAAATTGAATGAAAAGTATTACTTTTCATATATCCATTTTCTCAACATTTACTTTATTATTGGGTAAAGTTCTGTTCTAAAAGCATTATTTATTACTAATAAAAAGTTCTGCTGCTTGGTAATAAATGGCTTAAGTTAGCACAATATGAAGTCACTTAAATCTGTTACCTCCCATGCAGGGACATTTTCTCTGAACTTCTCATTCACCATACAACAAATTGACATTAAATAGGCCTTGCTGGACACTTCCGGAGAATAATTCATCCAGAGATAATTTTCAAGATACTGGCTGTAAAGAGTGAAAAGGCATAGAATATTTCATTAGCTGGTAACACTTGTAATGTTAGTCATCTGAAAAGGCATAATTATTTACAACTCTCTAAAAACATTTTGCATATCTGTAATTTTAATTTGCGAATCCTTCACCAATTTACCTGTCTACTAGACACTTATAATATAGGCCACTGCTACTTACTACAAACTTATGTATAGCAAATGCAGTTTTGGAGAATGAGTGTCTTATATTTTACATAGAAGGACATCAAAAGTTATTGACATGTAATTATCATCATCACAACACTAGATATTCCCTTACCTAAGGCTCTCTGTAGAGTAAAAAGTAAAAATATCTAACAAATATCAACTCTAAAAATAACATGGACAGTTTCACAGATAAATGTATTAGGAAAATTAACACTGACTCCTATCAGGATCAAGTGACTTCCAGAAACTAAAAAAAATAATCAAAAAGAGTCTTTGTAATATTTAATTTACAAGGTATTCAACATAAGTCAGTTTTCAAGAGAACTGCCATATTCCCCCTCAAGATGCCAGAATTCTTATTTTAAGGCCTTGGTGAAAATATTCCTAAACAAATTACATATTTCTGATTTCCAGAATATAACTTAGTCATTTGTTATCATTTAGGATAGTTATAAGCATCAAATGCTGCACTGGGCTGTACTCTAAAGCACTAACAAAATAAAAAGCAGGATTTTTTTGTTCCTGCTTTAAAGCATTCACACACATAATGTTTCAGTCACTTACACGCGTGTGCATGTGCGCAAACCCGGAGGTAAGGGTTTTTGATCCCACTGTGTGCTATAGTTTTTCCACTACTTCTGTGCTTCAAAGGTCTGCTCACATTGGCATTTCCATGAGTCTATCTTTAGCAATCCTTCTTACTTAATTTGCGAAAACCTAAGAAACTGGATAATATTTTACTCAGAATAATGGTCAAAAGCCTCCAAGTTACAGACTAGTGTGCTCTCCCATAAAGTGCATGAAGATTCATTTCACTCCTTTCTCGCAAGTTTAAATTCCTTTTCCCTTAATTATGTCCTTTAGAACTTCTGTTAGCAATAGGCTATTAATGTTAATGTAGCTGAAATATCTTTATTTCATGAATGTTTAGCTAGTTATAGAATTCTTTCTAGGTTGATAGTTATTTTTTTTTATTACTAATCTCACTCTACTATCTTCTCTATTACTACAATTGAGGATTTTACATTCAATCTATTTTCCTTCTTTCCCTTTGAGTAGTCTGTTTTTTTCTTCAGCAAATCTTAAAATCAGCAAAGATCTTCCCTCTTTGTTGCTCTGCAGTTGCTCTGTTCAAAATTTGTATTCTCACATAGATATTACATAAAAGTTCCTGAAAGGTAACAACCCAATTTCTCAGTTATTAAAAAATGTTCACTATCGCTGATGCCTCAATATGTTCTATTGCTTTCTCCTTCAATTCCCACAACGCTCTTGATATCTGCTGTTTGCCAGAACCATAGAATTCTGGTTTTATCCTAATTATATATCAGCATCCTCTTAATTTTTTCTGTCTTCTTGAAAGATGGCATGATTATGGAAAAGGCATGTTAATAAGGGCCAGATGGGTCCAATTTCTAGTCTCAGTGTTCTCCTCTATAAAATAAGGAAGATCCTGGTGGGGTTATTCAGACTTTGAATGAGATCAAGCATTCAATAACAACACAGTTCTTAGGATGTAGTAGGTCAACTTTCTAGCTAATTCACAACAATAAAATTACATTTCTCTCCGTAAAAATGGTAAGAACACCTACTTCATACCAATTTTTTGTGTGAGTGAAGATCAAATCAGTGTGTAATAGTCATTAACAGCTGTTAATATAGAGACTCTGACCTCTGATGCAGACTAAACCTCAAGGTACTGTAGAGAAGCAGAAAAATGAGCTTTGGCATCCCAGGTCTGCCAATTACTTAACTGCACTATCTTCAGCAAATTACTTAATCTCTCTGATCTCAGTTTCCTCCTCAACTAAATAGAAAGCATAGCACTCACTTTGCAGAGTTGCTATGAGATCTCTGTATGTAAAATATTTAATACTGTGCCTACCTAGTAAAGACAAGCATTCAATAAATGGTAAATATTACTATCATTAACAACAACCCTGACTTTTATTTCCATCCTATGGACTATACTTGGTTGAAATATGACCTAATCTACCTACATGATCTAAAAGCTGTACATTCTCTTTAGTCTGAAATATTTATAAGTAGCTAGGTCAGGTACCAAGGCTGCCTTGGTAATACCAACTTAGCTTGGAAAGAAAAAGTGGCTATAGGATGCACTCTAATTCACTCATACTGATCACAGAGGAACTAAGAGTTCACAAATTGCTCTGCACAGTGAGAAACAATTCAAAATACAAGTTACACTGACAAGGGAGCATCACTATGAAAACAACGGTTTCATAAACATATTACAAAATAAGCAAATCACAAAAATATAAACCTTAAAAAACTTAGAATTATTTTTTAACCACTTACAGAAATGTACAGAAAATTTAGCTAAAAGTTAAATCATGGTGTCATCTTTAATTTCATCAAAGTAAAGACTTTTAACTCACCTAAATTCCAAGAGCATTATTTTTCTGATGGCAAACCTAAAAATATCAAATAATAAAAATATTTAAATAGAAAATATAAACATGTAGTTATTAATGCAGATGTATTTTGGAATCTTGCTTTAATATCAACTCACATATCAGAATAATCATATTTAGATAAGCACTGATGAAAGTTCATTTTGCTTTTATATTTCTTAATGTGTATTTTGTTTTAGAGTAGTTTGTTTTATTTTAAAAAATTGCTAGGAACAGTAAAAAGCAAAATCTTACCCTACCCATATAAGAAACACAATCAGAACCATGACATACTGGGATATAACACAGATTCATAGCCAAATGATTTTAATCAAAACACAAATGTTTGCCATGGCCAGGTAGCTCAGTTGGTTAGAGCATCATCTGCATACACCGGGGTTGCAGGTTCATTTCCTGGTCAGGGCACATACAAAAATCAACCAATGAATTAATGGGTTGTTGGAAAACCAAATGGATATGTCTCTCTCTGTCTCTCTCTCTCTTTGTCTCCCCCTTCTCTAAAATCAATAAACTAAAAATATTTTAAAACAACACAAATGTTCATTAATATTCATAATATTGGACTGCAATTTCCAAATGCTAGCCTGTCTCAATTTCTTAAAAATTACCAACATTCTTTCATTTAACATTCACATAGAAACATTCTGAAGTCATGCCTTCCTATAAGCATGAGACACACTGCATATATATCACAGACATGGAAATCAGACTTTTCACAGGCTTTGTAGTCTTAACATTAAGTCTAAAATATTACAAAATTGTGGATGGAATTTCAGATATCTCTTTATTATCTTTTTTTCAATAGAAGTATTTCATTCTATATGAATAAACCATGCTGTAGTTACAGGCTATCTCTTCAAATGCAGGTCCAAACATCCACTTATTTAGTTTTATCGTTTTGTATATGAGAAACAAAGTAGTCAGGTCAGAACACTGCCACTGGGTAATAGCCTCTAGCTTTAAAAATTAAATGCTTTATGAATTTATAATTTCCTAAGAGACCATTATCCTGTCAAAGTCTTATTCCACTGATTTCTGATCTCTTGAATAGTTTCACTACGTAAGTTTTGTTACAGAATATTGGTGAGAAAGAAATGAAGATTTTTATTGTACACAAAAAAGCACATGACAGAACCCTGCCAAGGTCCTGGCTTCCCCAGTCTGCCAGTCCACTGAGAGGATGGGCGCACAGCTTATGTGACACACTCCAGATCTCCAGTTGCAGACATTCCACTTTAATTGCACGCTGGACAACAGAATTCACTTGGTGCCCACTTTGTACGTAACTGCAGCCTCGTATTTGCAGCCACAAATAGGACCTCACTGATGAAAGAAAGAAAATCTTGGCTCATGAGATACAGAAATCCGTACACTAGTCATAATTCAGCGTCACCTTTAAACATTCTAGGGACTGACTCAGTCTTCTCATGTCCAAAAGAGGGTAGAGTGGCCAATTTATCATTTTTTTGGATGACTGGAGAAGTGAAAAATCAGTCTTGACAGGTCAAGATAAAGCAAAAACACTGAAAAATAACTCAACTTCTCTTCTAGCAATTCTGGTGGTATTCATTAAATTTAGAGTATTATGCTTCTGCCAATATAACCTTTCTGAGACAAAGTGAGGTGCTTAACTAAAGGTGTACATATAAGATACGAACATGGGTCTAGGACCAGACAACATGCCAGAAGACATTTAAAGAATGGAAAGTTAAAAGTAACAATGACAAATATAACTAATGTAAAGAATTTTCGGATTTTTTTTTAAAGTTACCAATATTTACTGAGAGCATGCTTTGCACCCAACTCTGTGTAACGGGTTTAATATGGATTTCATTAAATCCTCCTAAAGTTGGGTGATTTATGTACAATAAATTAAGTCTATTAACTGTATTGTTAACTGGCTCATTAAATTTGAAGGGAAAAAAAGTAGAGAGGGGCATATAAAGGGAACTTCTGTTGCTGCTATAACTGTCCCCTGCTTCCTTCCTGGGGATATGGCTGTGTGAAAACATGCGGTCTGGAGCTGTAGCAGCCCCCCTGGCGACCCCACAGGGAAAGCCAAACAAACAAACCCAAACCAAAACAAACAACAAACCAAACCAAAATAAACAAACAAAAAAACTGTTAAAAGGCTGAACAAACAACAAACCAAACCAAAATAAACAAACAAAAAAACTGTTAAAAGGCTGAGAGGGGCCCTGGCATTACAAACTTCTGATCTACTACTGCTGGATTTATTGTTAAATAGATAATTAAAAAAACAGTAATTGTGAGCAAAAGAAGCCAGCCACAAAAAGATTACATACTGTGAGATTCTATTTATTTAAAGTTCAAAAACAAGCAAAACTAAACCACAGTGTTCACGGATGTGCACTTACATATTAAAACAGTAGAGGAAAGGGGCACGCAAGGGCTTCTGCAATACCGACGGGGTGCGTGTGTGTTTTTCACCTTGGCGGTAGTTATGAATTATAATAATTTAGAAAGTTATATATTTCTGTTTTGTGCCCTTTTCTGTTATGTTTCATAGTAAAGAACTTTAAAGAAGTTTTATTTTTAATAAAAATTAATGTAAACAGTAGCAAAAGTAAATTGTTCTATACCCACCTTTTTTTCAGTATAAAAACCACTAGGAAGAACTCGTAACAGGATTAATCATACCAAAGTGTGCTAGTTCAGCATCCTAAAGGGCAATGAACTCTATCCTATTTAAGAACCGTGTATTGAATAAGAGTCAGAAACAACAATTTAGTACCTGGCTCCGCCTCGTACCTACTAGGAAACATCTTGGGCTAGTCACTTGACTGCTCTGTATCTCTACTTATTTCCTCCCTCATACCAACAAAATGAAAGTAACAGTGACTATCACAGGGTTGTTGTAAGGATAAATAAATAAGCTACTATATGCAAGGTGCTCAGAATAGAATCTGGTAGGTAATAAGCACTCAAGAAGTAACAATTATTTTTAATATGGTAAAAAAATTATTAAGACAATCTTGCTAAATTTGATAACAATAAGGATGGCAAACTGAATCAATTATGTAATTTACAGCACATTACAGGGGTGACTAGGCAATGATATTTTAAGATCTAATTCTGAGATCCTAAAAATGATCATTTGTACCAAAAGAATGTTAAGAACTGACTGATTTAATTCTCAGATGCTTCCGAGCGACACCGGGTTGATGCTCCAAAAGTGAATATTACAAGAACCTTAATTTATAATATTGAGTGCCTTATGACTATAAACTGCCTATTTTGATAGGTTAGAAACAAATTAATAAATCTAACATCAAGTCATTCTCCAATAATGAAGACATTATGAGCACATAACATAGCAACAGAGCTTCTATACGGCACTGGTCTAAAAAATAATCATTTAAAATTTTAAATATACACTACAGTTTGTGTTATAAAGGTGCATTTAATGTTCTGAACTTTGATACTTGAGGACAGAATGAAATCATTTCACTTGTATTCAAATATTTTAAAATGGTACAAGATGAGAATGTGCTTGTTAAAGTGCCCTGATAAATCCAAGTGAGACAGCTAATGATGGATACCTTTCAGCAAATAGAAATAATGCAGCCAAATCACATAACTTAAAAATCACTGGCAGCTTTTCATTATACAGAAGTTATCTTTGAGGAACAAAAGTTCAAATAAAACAACAAAAAACACATGTAATTACTAGCCACCGGATTGAAAGCCTGTTCTGAAAAGAGGCAGAGAACTAGTTCAGAAAGTTCAGTTTTCAGATTGATATATCCTTAACATATAAGAAAAAAAGGTTACTAGAATTTATCTACCTGCTCATCTTTAGTTAAGTTTCCTCAAGCACTTTTATCCATAGCTACCCTCAGACCAACAAGTTACATGTTATATACAAGGTCTGTCCAGAAAAAGTCCAGCCATTGCTAATATAATGAGAATGGTCTGCGCAACATGGATGTAAACTGGCAGCCAAGGAGAGTGGACTGGAATGCACATGCATGAACAATGATGACTTCACTGTATTAGTCAGTGGAGACAGTAGACACCATTGAATGAACACGTGTACTGGGTGGCCTTCGCATTCAAAATGGGCAAGTATAGCAACAAATCTGCATCATATTTTGTGTTAAGTTTGAACATTTCTCAGCAGAAACTACTTGGATGATTCAGAAGGCTTTCGGGGATGATGCAATGAGTGATTGGCAGCTTCATCCTGACAACATGCCTGCTCGTGCATCATGTCTCATGCAATTTTTTGGCAAAACATCAAATCATCCAGGTGACCCAGGCCCGCTACAGTCCAGATCTGGCACCCTGTGACTTCTGGCTTTCCCCAAAACTAAAACCACCTTTGAAAGGGAAGAGATTTCAGACCATTGATGAGATTCAGGAAAATATGATGGGGCAGCCGATGGCGATTGGGAGAACTGTGTGAGGTCCCAAATTGCCTACACTGAAGGGAACTGAGATGTCACTGTCCTATGTACAATGCTTCTTCTCTCTTGTATCTTCTTCAATAAATGTCTTTACTCTTCATAGTACATGGCTGGATGCCTTCTGGACAGATTTCGTATATACTCAAATGTTACAGCTTCAGAAGATTTTTGCCTTATCATTCAATCCAAAATTACAGCCTTTGTCACTAAATTCTAACCACACTTTATTTCATAGCATTTACTACCTGTTGATATTATATACGTGTGTTTTTTTTGTTTCTAGACAAGGTTTAGAAGGTAAGCTCCCTAAATGGAGACTGCCATATTCACTGTCGTATCCTTAGTATTGAAAAGGAGGTTGATACAAAGTGGGCTCAACCCAGTTGTCTCTTCTGAGCTCTACACTTAAGATACCCACCTGCTTATTATATATCTTAATCTGCATGGCTTCTTAGCAGCAAAAAATCAACATTTCCAAAAGTGAACTAATGATCTACAACCAACCCCATCCCAGCAAAAATAACAAAAGCTAGTCTTGGCACCAATAATCACCTAGCACCCCAAGCGAAACACTTTGGAGTCATCACTGATTCCTCCCTTTCCTCACTCACCACATCCAACCACCAGCCGTCTTTTCACCTCTCTCTCAAACTGGCAACTCCTCGCCATCCCAACTTTCCACCCTAATCCAAGCTGTCACTGTCTTGAACCTATCTACTACAATTCTCACCTCATTACCTTCCTGCCTCTTGCCCTTTCCAAATTCTTTTTTAAAAATATTACCATTGTGCTTACAACTCTTCATTGGCTTCCCCTTACTCTTCAAATTAAAAAACAAAATTATGTAACATGGTCTTTGGCCCTGCCTACTTCTTCTACAGGCTCACGGAACAATCATTAAAATGAAACAACTAGTCTCTTGTTTTGACACTGCCATGGTTTTGCCTTTACTATATTTAGCAAAATTTACCTCGTAAGACTCAAACACATAATAAATATCAAATCTGAGATTTTATAAGTTATGTGACATAATATAAATGCTTCTATTTCATTTTCAGTCAATTATCCTTTCAAAATAAGTACTAGGCATGTATGTCTACAGGTGCAGATACAGAAATATACCCAAGATACATTGTGTTTTCTTTTGGTCTTTTTTTTTTTTTTTTTGCGTGATGCCAAATGGTATGGAGACTATAAATTCTTGTTTAAAAAAAATGGAGTGGGAGTGGACTGGAACGCACATATATGTACATAAATAAACAAACTAAAGGCTAAGGAAGGGAAAGAAGACTTATTGAAACTTACCTCATTTTGTATATTATTCAAAATAATTTTTATTTTTCATTATATGTATTTTATACATTATAAATACATTTATTATTTTGTATGTAGTTACTATGTTTTGCTTTTTAAAATTTTTTAAAGATTAATCAGTAAATGATTTAAAAATTAGTTGAATTGAAAATTTAAAATTTCCATATTTACTGTCATATTCCTTCAAAAATAAAATAAAGCCTTATAATTCTTCAGCAGCTAGATTAAATATTTTCTAGTTACTGTTTCTCTGATAACCAAACCAAAAAAGAAAAGAAAATTCTAAGTTTTGATCACATTTAGTTAAGAAATTGTGATAAGATCCAAGTTAGTCCAATCTAATTCCTATATATAAAAATTAAACTCATTCCTACCTTGATTTGACAATTTCTTTCTCGTATATATCTTCAATGACCTGTTATTAAAAATACAAAAATGTTTACTATCTCATTTTTTTTCAGACCCTAAATAGTTTTCAATTACTGAGATTACACTAAATAACTTGGTTTAGGAAAGCTCTTAAATATTACTACCACAGAAATAATAACTTAAGATTTTTCATAATCCCATTACATTCCTCAAAATGTGCAAAAGAAAACAAAATAGCAAAAAAACATATATAATACAATGTGTCTGCATAAAAGAGTCCTATAAAGAATTATTAAAATGATGCCATCAAACCTAAGTGTTCTTTGATGGATGACTGGATTTTTAAAAATGTGGTACATATATACAATGAAATACTACTTAGTGATAAGAAAAGATGAAATACTTCTATTTGTGAAAACTTGGATTACTTTGAGAGTATCATAACCAAGTAAGTCAGATGGAAAAGGACAAGGACCATATGATTTCACTTATTTGTGGGATATAAAACAGAAAGCAACAAACAAAAAATTTCATAGATACAGACAACAGTATGACGGTTACCAGAGGGGAAAGGGGATGAGGGGGAAGATGAAGAGGATAAAGGGGGTCAAATACATGGTGAGGGAAGGAGACTAGACTTTGGGTGTTCCACACAATGCAAAATACAGATCATGTATTATAGATACAGATCATGTACTATAGAACTGCACACTTGACACTTATATAATTTTATTAGTGAATGTGACCCCAATGAACTTAATTTAAAAATGAAGTGTATGCATTATTTGTTAAGGAAAATAAAAGTTCGTCGGATCTGGGTATTTTTAAAAACTTAATTTTAAAGTATAAATATTATCACAATCTGTCTATAAGTAATAACAATGTGTTTTCAAAAGCCAGAAAGTAAATTAAAAGTATAAAGATGTAAGAGAAGCAAATGTTAATTGTTACACAGTTTTCCAAATACAAATGATAAAGCCTCAGAATTTCCAATTATTTAGGCTAGGGTGGGCAGGATGGTGTAATATTGGGTTGGCCAAAAAAGTTCGTTTAGTTTTTTCTGTAAAACAAAAGACACACTTTTCATTTTCAGCAGTAACTTTATTGATTTGTATATTTTGAGTAGGTCAGCTATCTCCCGTGTGGTATAATGATGATTGTTCTCAATTAATGTCTTGATTTGATCGTTATCAACTGCAACTGGTCTACTGGACCATTGAGCATCATCCCGCAAGAAATCTCCAGCACAGAACTTCGCAAACTACTTTTGACATGTGAGTTCAGTCACAGCACCTTCTCCATACACTGCACAAATCTTTTTTTGCATTTCAGTTACATTTTTAACTTTCTTGAAATAATAAAGCATAATATGCAAAAATGTTGCTTCAATATTAAAATGGCTACACAAGAATTCACTAATTTTCGTAATTTTTTTTTAAATGCATGCTGGTATGACAGCTGTCACAATACAATCTCACAAAATTGTTTCGAATGATGTTAAAGACAACTAAGCATTACTAGAGCCATCTTATGGAAAAAGAACAAACGAACTTTTAGCCAATCCAATACTTAAGAATTTAGGCTTTGGAGTTGGAAGCCTGGTTCAAACCATCCATCTCCATTGCTGATGGCTTGGACCCCTCAGAGCCCAACCATTCTAAGGCTGTTTCCCAATGTACAAAGAGGATTTAATAATACAAAGTACCTCATGGGGTTATAAATAAGGCAACACGTGTAAACAACTTAGTTTAAGTCCACAGGCATGGTAAGCCTTTAAGTTATCAGTAGAAATAGTAGTAGTACTAGTGATAATAGAAAAAAAAACAAAATCCTACTGTAAAATCATGAAGTGCTATAACATGGTAAAATAAAATTTTATGGTAATTATAATGTCTTTTAACTGCTCAAAGTATATTTGTTAAATAAATATGGGTAATAGAAGAAGATGATTAAGCAAATCAATCTTATTCAATTTATGAAATTTTCTATTATTTTATTTTTATCAAATTAAGTAAGAAAGTGAAGGACATAATCTTTCTTAAATACCAACCCATAGTACAGTTCTTCTAAATAGGCATATACAGGTTCCTCTAGAATTATTACTTGTGTTAACTAAAAATCTGGATATAAATTTAATTTCTAAAGATGTTAATATAATTAGGTTCAACTCTCAATTTAGTAGTGTCCTCAAGATTTTTTTGTTATTAATGAAAAATGTTCCTAGGAACCCCTAAACCCAAGGTATACAAGCATAACATGTATACAAACAGCATATAATAAGAGAAAACAACCCTGATTATAATTCAGATTTATGTATGCCATGTTTATTAATATCTTCCTGATGGATAAAATAGGATTGCTGGCAAAACAAAATATATTTATAAATAAAACCTTTAAGCTAAAATAATGTAAGAAATTTTGAGTTAGGTTCAGTTTGATTAGGAGTTCCTTAAACATCACCATTCAATTTATAATGGCAAAGCTTAAAGGAATTCTTAATTACCTGTTAAGTAGCATGCAATGTGCCAGCCCTATTTCACTTAAAGACCCCTCTCTAAGAACTTATTTCAATGAGAATTAATTCTACATTTGGTAATTTTTTTCCTTTCATTCATTCTAAATAGTATCAAGTGCCCTGTGAGTCCATTTCCTTATTGACTGTTGCTGATCCTTAGTCATCTAACCCTCAACATTAAACTCCCACTTCTTCAATCATTATTAAAGATCTTTATCACAGTTCATCAACCTAAAAATAAAAGAGAAAACAATATTCTAGTCTAAATAAACTGTCAAAAAATTGTAGAAAAATTTCTCTATATTTACCAATATTTTCATTATATTGTCATTTATAATACTAAATTAAAAACAATCTTACACATGAAAATCCACACACTCAAAGGAAACTCAAACAATATGACAATAGAGGTTATCCCTGAGTAGTTATTTTTATTTTCTTTATGTGTGCCTTCCATATTTTCCCAATTTTCTCACATGAATACTTATTAGTTTGATAATTAGAAAACTGTAGCTTTAACTTTTTAAAAAATTCTAAAAGCTTTGGTTGAATCAGCTCTTAAAAAGAGATACGAAGTGTGTATCTATTCAAAAAAAATGTTGCAAAGCAAAAATACTTACCTTTATATCAAAAGGTGATTTTTTCTTGATATGGGGAGCCCAGTATTTACATGCTAACTGTGAAAGGAAACAGTATAAACAGTAAGTAATAGATTCATGCCACTCTAGAGTTAAAAGACTGAGATTATTCGGTGCCAAGCTGTTTCTTTAAAGGGCACTACTGACTCTGGGGGAACAGAATGACTCTACCTTCTAAGAAAACTACAGGGCTTGCAGATCGGTTGACATCCCTTGCCACAACCCACTAAATGTCATTAATGCCCTGCACTGCAACCCGCCATTATGTTTAAAAAATCTAACATACTTTTAAACCATCCATAGGGAAACAACAGAGCAACGTTTATAACCACAGCCAAATGCCTTCAGCATAGAGATGAGGAAAGCCAGGTCCAGAAAGAGTAAGCGAGCTGTCCAAGATTACAATTAGTTAACAGTTGAGCCAGTACTAAAAACCACAATCAAAATCTTTGGGAATGTTAATTTGTAAAATAAATCTTTAAATGAGTAGTATGCACTAATACACACCTAAACAAAACCTTAAAAAAACTGTAGTCTATCAGCGGATTGTAGAGAAAAAGAGCTGTAGGTTACATTTCAGCAGATTCGGTTTTACTTGGAAATTGTGAATTTTACATACATACATACAATGTCTCCACATACGTAGATGGATTGTTAACTAGTCAAACAACATGTCTTATTGGGATGTTGTTTGTTTGTTTGCTTCTTTAAGGAGCCTAAACTACAATCTTGAAAAATAGAACACACTGGCAATCACAAAGACTCAATATATTTATAAAATATTGTATTGTAATTTGAAGTGTATGTTGGAGGCACTCAAATAATACTGATGAATGGACGAATGAAGTAAAATCTGAAATGTTACCTTGTCTATGAGGCTTTCTTCAACCCTACCTGATGGAGACCTATTGGTTATTCCTATTTAATCATGCCATTGCTTATCTATCCTTCCTGCCCACTTAATGTCTTCTTTGGTACTATAGGCAAGTATATACCACAGTCAACACACATAAAGAGCCTTGCAAGCAGTGAGGACATTGGCACTGAAAATCTCAAAAACATTACTGTAATGGCCCACTTATAGGACACTTTCCCAAATTATCAACCGAAAAGAAAATACTTCGCCCTTAGTTATTCTGTGGCACGCTCACTTCCTCAGGATGGGCATCACAAAACTCAGCCATCTCTTCCTAACATCATACCCTGAAGAGAACTGAATCTGATTTGTTTCCTTGGATTCAGGGGTTTCCAAATAAATATGTAAATCCTATCTTCTGTTCTAAACTGCTTACTGTATTCATTAAAGATCTAGCAAACATTTATTAATCATTTATCATGTCTCTTTTTTCTGAGTGTCTCCTTTTCCTTGGGGTGTAACCTGGGACTTTTCAGACACCTCCACCTCTGGAAACATACTGCCCTCCTCCACACTCTCTAGTCTCATGTAAAATAGAAACTCTTTCCACTCTCCACTTAGTATAGCAATGACAGCACAAATTGTTCAAAATAAGTCTTACTGAAAGACAAAAAGGAAGGAAAAAAATAGAGTAGCATAAAAAAGGCGAGGTCAAAGTTCAGCTATTTAATTTTCTTAAAACTAAGATTTACATCAACATCTCATTCACTCAATAATACTTAAAAAGCACCTTCTCTGGTCAAGTGTGCCTGAGGGAGGGAGAGAGGGGAGGGCGAAGAGAGAGGAGGAAGAGGAGGAGGAGGAGGAGGAGGAGGAGGAGGAGGAGGAGGAGGTCCGCCTGATGTCCTCTCTACCTACAAAACCCATTTTCCCACTTTCATGTTTCAAAGTCCATCTCAAATGGCACTTTCTCAATGAGAACATTCTTTCTGGAAATTCTTTCCTTAGACAGATGTAATCATTTTAAACTTTGTTCTCAAAGCACTTCCCTCACACCACTATTCTGGCATCTATCACACTCAACTAAGATGAGTTCCTTAAGCCTCTTAAAGTCTCCATCCACAGACCGTGTACTCCCTGAAGACAAGGATCACATTTGATTCATCTTTGCAGCTTAGGGAGCCCTGAACAGTTATCTGTCAAACATTAAGCTTCAGTGTTTCTATCACAGCCAAAGATGGCTGATGAACTAAGATGTAGTTCATTCCTTCCACTACATCTTAATGTCCCAGTACATTTATTCATTAATTCACTCACTCATTCTTTCAGCAAAATACTTACTCATCACATAATGTGTCCTAATATAATGCTAGGTGCTGGTATTACAGAGGAATAAAACACATAGTCCCTAGCCTCAGCTCTGACAATTAAAGCAGGATACAATAAATATGTTATGTTTACAAACAACATTCTGTAGGACATCTCAGTCAATCCTACAGTTTTAAATACCATCTTGGGTGATTAACTTGCAAGTTTATATTCAAACACAGATCTTGCCAACATTCTCTAGACTCACATATTCAACAGCCTTTCAACACTCTCAATTGAATGTCTACAGGCATTTCATACTTAACACGGACAAAACAGAAATCTTGACATTCCCACTAAACTTTCCCTTTTCCCAGTCTTTCCTATCACAGTAAATGTCCAAATAATTCACCTAATTGTTCAAACTATGTTCAGTTGGTTTCTTCTTCCATCCCTCCACAATTGATCATCATCAAATCCTACTGCCTCTAGTTTCAGGGTGTATCAGTCAACTTCAATCTTTAATATAGAGCCCCTCATCTCTTACCTGGACTAAATGGTAACCCTATTATTACTTTTGTTCTCCTACCCTCACTTAATTTCAACGTATGAGCCACAGGGATCTTCCCATCTTTCTAAAAAAATTTTCACTACAGTGCAATTAAAAGCTACTGTATATAAAATAAAATCCAAACTTCATACCTCAGCCTCCAACACTGTATATGATTCTGGTCCCTCGATACCTGCTCTGTGCCTTCGCATACCACTCTTCCGCTTACATTCGCTATCCTGGCTTTCTCACCTTCACATGGGTAAGATCCTTGCACTTGCTATTCCCTAGACTTTTTTCCTGCTCTTCCCAAACCTGGCTTTTTTTTCTTTTTTTTTTAAACCACCATTCAGATCTTAACTCAAATATCACCTCAGAGAGGACTTCCCTGACTGCGTTTTCATACACATCACCCCGGTCCCTGTCACAACACCTTGTTTCATTTTCCTGACAGCACATATCACTGGCTAAAACTATACCGGTTGATTTGTCTGGCTTATCACTCTGAAATAGAAGCTCCATGAGAAAAGGAAACTAATAAGTGACTTCCACCACAAAAATGCAAGTGTATGAAAAACGACAGTTATGTTCTAGTCTCAGCTGTCAGAAAGAGCCTCTCCAAAGTAATAACGATGAAAGATAGCGAATTAACCATATCAGGGAAGTCGGGGGAGGGGGGCAATGCTGGAGATGAGGATTCCAAGCAGAGGGAACAATTTTGAAAGGCCAGGAGGTTATAAATAGCAAGGTACATTCAAATAAATGCAGTTCCGTTATGGCTAAAGCACAGTTTGAAAGGGAGAGGAAACTGGATTATGAGCACAGGCTAGATCAAACAACACTCTGGAGGATTCGGGTCATTATCCTAACGGCACTGATTTGCATTTGTGTAAAATCACTCTGATAGGAATATGAAGAATGGGTTGGAGGAGAGCAAGAGAAAAGAAGGCAAGTTAGGATGTCTAGGTACATGCAGCAATCAATGGCAACCTGACTTAGGGTAGAGAGGTGTGGCGAAGCAAACAGATTTGAGAGATTATTAAGAATGTAGTAGTTATGTGGGGGTTAAAGGAAAGGGAAGACTCAAATATGATTCCAAGGCTTCTGCCCAGGCCAGTCCGCTGAAACACGGATTAGGAAGCAGGTGGGTTAACAAACTTCTAAACTGTGCTATTTGCAATCTCATCCAATACCTAAAGCAACGAGTAAGAATTAGGAATGTTGCCGAGGGATACAAAATTGTATTTCCTTATTCAAAGTCAACCACGCGGTTCACAATGCAATAGAGTAAAAAGGTTCGAAATAAACGCTCTCAAACCACAGGATTCCTCTCTTCACAGATGCGCCTATCTGGAGCAGATTCTCATCACTCCACTCAAAAGCCTAGGTAACTCTACGGCTCAGAAAAAAAGCCTACTCCTTTCTCAACCATCCGTTCAGCATCACCTCTGCTACGAAACCTTCTTGCCAGTTTAAGGTAGACTGGGGTGAAGGCATCGTTCCCACGACGAACTCTAACAGAGCAAGCTCGCATACTAACTTTCTCTGTCTGCCTGCCTTCCCTGTAACGTTAACTCCTCAGGGCAGGGAGGCCTCTTTCCTTATGACATCCCCGGCACCTAGCACGTCCCCATCCCTCACACACACCAGACACTCCCAATCGCACCTGGGTCACGAACTCCGCGTTGATCTGGGACACCGTGGGGGCCACGATTTTCTTTGGCTGAGCAGGAGCCGCCATGGCAGCACTCTCCCTCTGCTCCAGGGTTAAAGAAAGGACCTCTTCGAGCAACGCTGAATCCGATGCACTTCACCAAAGGGGCGGCAGCGGCCGCCTAACCCCACGAAGCAAGAACCCCCCGGCCCGGATATTCTCAGCCTTCACAGTCCCACAAGGAACGCGTAAAGCAGCCGTACATTTCCCCGGAAGCGGTATTGAATAAGGTCGGAAGTCTATGAAGCTGGGTCTGAGCTAGAGAGGCAAAGGCTCCGACCTCCTCAGCATGCTCCCTCTAGCGGGAAACTCAGAGAAAACACCCAACAGGCCGGATTGAGGTCTCAGTGGGGAATTAAGTAGATGGTGTTAGGTGAGGGTTTCTCTAGATGTAGTTGTGGGGCGGGCCGGGTAGGGGTAGGACACCTAAAGTTTCTTTCAACCCTAAAAAAAAAAAAAAAAAGAAAAGAAAAAAAGCAGTAGTGAAAAAAACAGACCGAGAATGCGGGGTTTGGTTTTAACTGTTTTTAACAGACTCATGGATATTTAAGTGGAAATACAAAGAACTGCACATATTTAGAGTAAAATCGGATCCATTTTAATCTGCGAAAGTATCACCAAAATAACGATAATAGGCATATCTAATGCCCCTAAAAGTTTTCTCCTGCCCTTTTGCAATCCATCCCTATCGCTACTCCTACTCACCCATTCTCCGGCAATCACTGGTTTGTTCTCTGTCACTATAGTTGTATAGATTAGTTTACTTTCTGTAGATTTTTGTAGAAATGAAATAATGTAGTAGGTACTGGTCGTCTTCTTTTTTCACTCAGCATAATGATTTTGAGATTTATCCATGTCAATGTATGTGTTAGTAGTTTATTCCTTTTTATTGCTGAGTATCCTATTTAACAAACATACCACAGTTTGTTAACCTCCATATCTGTGGATAAACATTTAGATTGTTTCCAATTTTTGACTATTATAAATAAAACCGCTATAAGCATTTGTGTATATATGTCTTAATATAAACTTGCATTTTCCTTTTTCTTAAGTAAATACCTAAGAGTGAAATGGCTGGATCATACAGTAGGTGTATGTTTGACTTTTAAAGAAACTGCCAGTCTTCCAAAGTAGTAGTATCTTTTTACATTCACACCAGTAACAGATGAGAGTTACAGTTACTCCTCTTCCTCACCAACACTTAGTAGGTCAGTCCTTTAAATTATAGCCACCTTAATAGTTATGTTATATCTCACTGTGGTTTTAATTTGTATTTTCCTAACGACTAATGACACTGAGAATCTATTTATGTGCTTATTTGCCATCTGTATTGTTCTTTGGGAAAGCCTCCATTTAGATTTTTTGCCTATTTTTACATTGGATTGCTTGATTTTTTTAGGTTTTGTTTTTTTAGTTGAGTCTGAGTGAACACCTCTACTATTCCCAAATCCACATGTAAACTAAACATGTATCTCTGGTAAGCTTTCCGTGGCTGAATACAGCCAAGAAACTGGTAACACTGCCTCTAGGAAGGAGGGACTGGCGGAGGGGAGGCCAGGAGGGAGGAAAGGCATGCTTTACATTTACAGCATTTTTTAACTTTTGAATTTTGTAACATTTATAATCTGTTTGAAAATAAGAAGCTGTGAAAGAAAAAAAACAATACGTCTGTAGATATGGATATTAAATGTGGAGTCCTTTTTCCATCTACGTGCTATTGCATCAAGTCTGTTGATAGAGCTAGAAATGAAAATTTGCCTGATTACACTTTTAGATGCAGCAGATTTTGAATATATAATAAAATCTATTGACATTTTATTTACAAATATAGTCTGTAAAACAAGGGAGAGATAAAATAAGATTTTATGAATAGCTTTTGTGTTGAGTTTTGAAGTAGATAAAATTCTGATAAGGAAGAAGAGCAGGGACAATATCTCTAGAATAGTCACAGCATAGGTAAAGAAAGCAGGTCATGCTATGGGGATGGTAGGTTAGGAATGATTGATAAGGCTCAACATGTCAAAGGCTTTGAAAGTGAAGGAAAGGAGACTGTTTTCATTGTGGTAGGCAATGGGAATCCATTGCTTGAAAACCTGCTTTTGGAAGATGCCTTTTCAACAGTATATTTGATGGGTTAGAGTAGGTAATACGTCATGAGAATACCAGTTGGGAGGCTATTGCAAATCTAAGACAAAAGCAATAAAAATGAAGAGGAAGGAATAAATGTGGAAGACACTGAAAAGATAGAATAAAGAGAATTCCATTCTAAGTAATTGAAAGAATAGGGGGACTATACAGCACAGTAGAGGAGACAGAGGGTAGAGCAGATTTTAAAAGGAGGTGATTCTATTCTCTACAGAGGGACAGCCTCAGGTAGCAGGAGGAGATCTACGTGGTGAGGAGCAGGGGGGGTTTGTTTGCCAATTTAAATATTTATTAAATTCATAATCTATAATTTTGTGGCTGAGAGAATATTAAGCCAATAAGCTTCAGATCACATGTAGCTTCCTAGTGATCTATTTAAGAGGTTCTAATTTATAATACCTATGACAAGATGCAGTATCATAATATCTTTCTCTTTCTTAATAGTCCCCCACCCTCCTCTCCTTTATTTTCCTATCATTTCTCATAGCCAAGTTTTTGAATGATGGGTTAGGGCATTTTAAAACAATACTATGTGTATTTTATGATTTTTCTTTTATTTTTACAAGCCTTCTATAATCTGTTTTGTAATAAGGAAGAGAGAAAGCAAAGGAAGCATATAATCAAGAAAGAAGAGTTTCAAAATTCATGATTATCATTAGCGTGAAATGCTTCAAAGAAATCTAAAAGGACAACAGCTTAGAAAACTCCATAGGTAGTTTAACAATTAGGAGACTACTGTTGACCATTATTAGTTAGGATTTTTTGTTGTAAGAAAAAAAATGCAAGTCAAACTTGGCTTTAAAATAAAGGAATTGGGGGTGTGCAACCTGCAGCCTGGGGGGCCGCACGCAGCTCAGTCAGGGTGGCTGTGAACGTAGCCCAGCAGAAAATCGTGAATTTACTTAAAACATTATGAGATTTTTTGTGATTGTCGCAATGTATTTAATGTGTGGCCCAAGACAATTCTTTTTCTAGCATGGCCCAGAGATGCCAAAAGGATGGACACCCCAAGGAGAGATAGGTTAGCCCTCAGCTTGATTGGCGTCCAGCTCCATTTCTCAATTCTTTCGGCTCTGCTCCCCTCTCTCCTACTCCACCCTGTTCTGTGTTTGACTTCTTCACCAGACTAGCATCTTTCAAATTAAGAGAAAGCTTTTCTGCACTCCTTTCTCTTTTCTCAATCATTGAAATACATATGAAGTTTCGCTCTGATAGACCACTTTAGGTCAGTGCTCACTGCTGAGCCAATTACGGCCGCTGAGGTAATGCTGTGTATTGACTGGCTTAGACTTCGGTAACCCATTTCTGAATGGTCATGATGAAAAAGGAAATATGAACATTTTGATAGTCTTAGATGATAATGACCTATTGCTGAAGCTGCATTTAAGGTCAGTCCTACCCAGACTACTTGGCTGGTACACAATGAAGGAGAGAAGATGTTGCGGTTGCCACCAACAATGCCTACAACAATGATCCTGCAGAGAGTCACTCTCAAAAGGTGGTGAGGAAAATCACTAAGTAAGAAAGGGCTAAGAAGTTAGTGAGTGAAGGGGCAATGAGAAAGTAGGTGTAAAATGAATTTTCAACAACTTTGACTATAAGAGGCAGAAAACAAAATGTAACAATACCAGAATAACAGGTTGTTTCTCCCAACCGCTATCTCTTTTTAAGCGAGGTGCAGAGGAAATCATTGATTGCCTATCAAATCCTCCCCATTCTTTCCAAACACGGCTCCAAATTTGACCAGTGTCCATATCACCCTCAGATAATCATGTACCTAAAGAAAGGAAGCTGAGCCTCAGCTCCAGCTCCAGGTAATTCTATCTCCCTGGTCAGTGGTTGGTTCAGGAATGTGCCTGTGAAGAAGTTCTGGCAGGTGAGAGGTAATGTTTATCGTAGGCAAGTTGTTCTTTACTTTCGTGTGAGTTTCTGGATCTCTTTCACAACCTGTCCCACCCTACCCTCATGAAGGAAGCATATCGTCCTGATTGCAAATGAAGCGTACAAAAACCGTAAGGGAAACACCCTTGTCATTGTGAAAGGCAGAGCAGGAACCAGAAAGGAACCAGAGCCAACTCTACTATAGTATTTAACAACCCTAGAGCTTGTCTAGTTGCTGGAATTAAAGTCATGTAAGCCAATAAAGGTGCCTATTGCTGGAGCAGTTTGAGTCCATTGTTCTGTCAGTTACAGCCAAATCCATCATCACCAAGTAGGAAACATACTATTTCTTTCCAAGGCAGAGGGGAAGGAACCAATGGAGAGAGAAAACCTGCAGATACGAGAAAAATGAAAGGACTATTGAAAAAGTTCCTGGGACTTAGAGTAAGGAAAACCTAGCTTCAGAAGGTGGAGGAAAACTATTATTCCAGAATATATGGTGAGAAAAGGAAGGTGTAAAGATAAAGAGCCATTATGGGGTAAAGAGGAGGAAAGTTTTGAGAGTACATATTGGGTTGGATTTGATCGCAGTATGTTAGAAGGCAAACTCATTCTAAGGGTGAATGAAAACCTCTAAGTGAAGTTATAGATTTAAGGAGAATATTAAGAGTTTGTAAGAAGGGCTCCATTCATTTCTTCCTTTGTACATTCAGTATATATTTGAGGATACCAAGAGGTACAAACATGATGTACAAAATATTTTAAACTGTGCATATAAAACATAAAATATGCATTCCCTTACTTTCCAGGAGAATGCAGTTTGGCTCACTGGTCTTCAAAGTGTAGTCACAATACAGCAGCAACAGCTAAGCTGTATAAATGCAAATTCTCAAGCCCAGTCTGACACAGGATCAAAAACTCGGAGGATGCTGTGAACACTTTGTTTTTAACTAGCCCTCTAGATGACTCCAGTGCACACTAAAATTTGAAAACCACTGACCAACAGTGTCAAAGCATGATGAACCAAAGGCAGTGGAAGTGCAGTGGATGGGTGCCGAGTACATCAGGAAGGCTTCGGGGGGAGGTATTTAAGCTCAAATGCCAAAGAATGCATAGAAGTTTGCTAATGTAAATACAAAATATACCTCCCATATTCTATTTAATTACACCACTGTACCACTTTTTAATTTTTTTCTTAGTACTAATAGAATTCTTGCAGTTAGCTCTGAAATTCTAAGCCCTTCTAATTGCCAATAGGCGAAATCACAAGATAGAATTAAATGTTCCCTTTCCCTGAAGCTTCTAAAAAGCAAATACTCTGCATCATTAAACAGAACCTTGCAAATGTTATTTCTAACAAAGAATTCTTGTAAGATACCCAGACTTGCAAGATTGTTCCTAAAACATCTATAATTTGAATTGGTTACCTTATGTAACATGGGAAAAGAAATGTTTTCTAAAGTCAGCTTGAACACTTTAGTGTTCTCTTGTAATCATGGAGGAGCTCTGAATAAAATCTGGCTCAGCTAAATTTCTTCTTTGAAGAGTGTGAGCCTAAATCAAATTTATACCAAGTAGTGAAGATGGAGGCAAGAATAACAGGAATACCATGATTGGAGCACCTAATTCTGTATTTATTTAGTACAACTCTGGAGAGGAAAGCCAAAGAGGAGGATAAATAGTAGGCAGGTAGATTATGCAGCATGCACTGTAGCTAACACATCCTTTTGTCGGTAATAAGAAGCTATCAAAAAAAATGTAACATGAGTCCTGACCAGTGTGGCTCAGTTGGTTGGATGTCATCCCACAAAGCCAAAGGTCGCCAGTTCGATGCCTGGCCAAAGTACATGAATGGGCTATGGGCTAGTCCCCAGTTGGGGTGCATGCCCAGCTGGAGCATGATTGATGTTTCTTTCACACATGGATATTTCCCTCCCATTCCCTCCTCCTCCCTCCCTTCCCCCCTTTCTAAAAATATATTAATAACATCCTTAAAAAAATGTAATATGAAAAAGACTAAATATACATCTTAGGAAGTTCATTGTAGAAGGTGGGTTGAGTGCGCCCAGGAAAGTGTTTGGTAATTGGTACCTCGATCCAGTATTATATGATTTTTCTCTTTAAAAAAAGTCCAAACTGTGTAATTTGAAACTTTATTTTAAAAATATTCTGAAATTTGAATTTTTCAAGAATTGTAATCACCATCTATTTTTCTTCCATACATACATATTTTGTCCTAAAATTGTAGAACCTATCGCAGTACAAAACAAGAAACATTAGTTCCCCTAACTCAGCCAATCAAATTACTTCATTAAATAATCATGCTACAAACTGGAATCACCCAAAGAAAAAATTCTACTGATTTCTCTTTAAAGATGTTTATAAAGTTTATTTTTTTCAGAAAACCAATATAACTGATTCAACAACACTAACAGTTCTGGCATGCAGCAAATCATCATTTAATATCTAACATTTAATCTTAGTATGGGTGTATACAGTTTACTTTCACTCCTATAAGATTCCACAAGAAGCTTGCAGTGGTAGTAAAGGTAAATAAGTATTTTGTTACAGGTACTTCGAATAGCACTACAGTACATCTTTGACAAAATTTGTACAGTATTCCCACTTTCAATATGAAACAGCTTAAAAAGGCATGGGCCAAAAAAAGTATAGTACCACTTAGGCAAATAAAATCTAATAATCATACAAGCACAACACTGTGAAGGACTCTCCCTGTTTGGGTTGGGAGAGAAATATGTAAGACATTTATTTCAAACAAAATTATATTAGTAGCTTAGGAAAATCCCAAAATACATCATTTTAGACATAAAAGAAAAAAAATCCCTTGAACCTTTATTCTTAGAAAATATGGACTTATTACTTGCTTTACTGTAATGTTTTTGAAAAGTTTTGCATAAGCAGATTCTATAAACCACCTTGTTTGCACTGGAGGAATGAATCTCAAGGACACCTAGAACTTCCTCCAAACATGATTCTCCTGCACGTTTGTACATCATTGGGCATTTTAGCTGTACTGCGCTGTTTCATCTCTGTAAATTAACCCATTTCTCAAAATTTCACTTATAAAACAGGTAAGCAGACCCCTCTCCCCACACATAGTTCGTGTAGTATGATGAAAAACTTAAAATTTTTCATTTATCCATTCTCCATAGACGACTTATCACTGTATTTAAGAGTGACAGGACAAAGTCCTACCTATTCTTTTTACCTTACAAAGATAATGGTAATTTTTTTTGTTTATTGCTAGGTTTTTATAAAAAAATGGCAAATATGAAAGGCATTTTGTGATGTCTTCTATAGTTTAAGATGAAGTATTTCCCAAATTATGACAGTACCGTTTAGAAGAATGACCCTCTCAATTCTACTAGCATCTTATTCCTGAACAGGAATAATTACTAATTAAAATAACAATTTACTAAGGATCAAAATAACATTCTTTAGCATCAGAATCTTGCAAAAAACAGAGGAATAAAAACTGTAACTAGACATAGTCATTGCGTTTTGATCAAACCTAATAGAATATTGATCAAACCTAATAGAATATATTTAGGTAAGTCATAGGACCACTCAATTAAGAAACGTTGAAAGTTCTGCTGAAGTAAATGTAAAAATCAACTGTTATCAATCACTAATAAGCAAACAAATTAATTTATTCCTCTGAAAATATAACACTGCATACGTATCATCAAAAAGATTATGGCACTTGGACAATATTCCTGATAACATGTAAATGTGTGGAGGTGCATCCTAGCCTCGCTCCTATTTTTAAATTATTTTGAGAAAGACAACAGCAGTCTGGGCAAAAAACTGATTCTAATCACCTGTGAAAAAGGAGGTGTGGCTACTGCAGAATCCTAAGAATAAAGAGCTTGGAAATGACAAGTGAAAATAATGCTGATATTCTCACCCATTTTCCCTTTTATTGCCTTTATATTTTTTAAACTTACAAGAAAAAAACTATGCAATGGAATTTCAGCCATCAGTGAACAAAATTGTGCTTTCATGTGAAATGTAAAATAAATGAAGTATCATGGAGCCATTTGCTGCAGCCAAAACCCAATTTTTGCCTCTTAGTTTTGACTGTATCTAAAGAGAGATGGCATGTCTCAAGGAACAATTCCTTTAAAAAATAAAGGAGGCTGAATTGTTTGTGCCATATCATGGATTTATAACACTTTCAATACAGCCAAAGTATATATTATAATAAAATACATGCTTACTTTATGGCATCAAATCATGTTCTTCTCTCTAAAAAGTTGGCTGCTCCTAAAACATTGTATTCATTTTCTATGTATCTTACCTATGTTGCAGGACAAGCAACTTCCTATTAAAATCATTCAACCTAATGCAGGCCTTTTGATAAAAATACATTTTAAATGATACAGGCTTTAAGAACAAGATCGCCAGAGACCATAAAAGTGTTAGTGGGTCTGCCAGTTATATAACAGAATTTAAGATAACTACTTTTTCTTGTGGTTGTTCCTTAAAGTGAGTAAGTTGATGTCTCTTCCAGTGAGGGGCCTGTCTGAATGTTTTGCCACAAACTGAGCATTCAAATGGCTTCTGTCCTGCATGAATTAGATAGTGTCTCTCCAGTTTAGATGGAGATCTAAAACTTTTAGAACAAACACTGCATTGGTAAAGAAGGCCATCATTCTTCTCAGTATGTCCTGAGTAACTACAACAGTGGCTATGGTGGCTCTGTTCTGATTCCAGAAGTGCATGAGAGAGATAGGGCTGCCTGTTCCTATAGTGAGTACCAAGAATGAAATCCTCGGATTCTGCCTTACCTTTGTTTTCTGATGTTTGATCTGACTCTGGGGCCTCACATTTTTGAAAACCAAGAGTCTGGCACTGTTGGGAAGCATTATAGTTAACATTATCATCCGGATGAATGAAAAGTTTGCTCAACTTGTCAAATTCTACTTGGCAAAGAGATCTTCTATAAGGAACCTTTTCAGTATGAGTTAATTTATGTCTTTTTAAGTGAGCTGACTGCCTAAAAGATTTCCCACAAACATTACAGCCAAAAGGCCTCTGTCCAGTATGAATTAAATAGTGTCTTTGTAGTTTGGATATGGAAGGAAACACTTTCTCACATTTGTCACAAGGACACATCTTATGTCCAGCAGGCATATTTTCATTTGGAACTGAAAAATCACACTGAAGCACCTCACAGTTTTCAAAGAATTCCTCACCTGATGAACCATTGATAGATATGTCTTTATTATTCACTGAATTATCCATACTTAACATGTTTTCTGTCACCAGGATACCTTTAAAGTTTTTTCCCATATTTTGGCTCTGGAAGTGTTTTTGCCAAGAAGACTGCAAAGTCAATGTTCTTTTCTTTTTATTGCCAACTTTCTTATATGTTCCATGTTTCCCAAGAGAACCCATAAATGTTCTCTGGGTTTGTTCAGGGCTTGGCTCACCAGAAATAAAATCACAGTTTTTTAAAAAACCGTTTTTATATACTTTTTTCTCAGATTGAAAATTATCTAATTTCTTACTCCCAACACGTTTCAGCTTGGCCAAGATTTTTTTAACAATGGTTTTATAGTTGAGGCTTCTTTGGAAACTGCTTGGAATTTTGCCACTTCTGGCAGGAAAACACTTGTGTCCATTGAGAATCTGCTCTGATTCAAAACACTCTTCGCACTCTGAACACTGGAAAGGGACGATATAAATAGAGTGGACATCAAGCTGATTATTCTCCTCAGATTCACCTATATCACCATTTTCAAAACCATCCTGTTTTGCATTTAATTTATTAGGCAGGGGGCATGATTCTGGACTCCTCACCTTTAATGAAAGAGTCTGAAAACTCTTATTCCTGGTATGGATTTGTTTATGCTTCAGAAGTTTGCTTTGAATCTTAAATCCTTTTTGACAGAAACAACACTGAAAAGGCCTTTCTTCTGAATGTGTGAGTTGGTGGATTTTTAAATGAGTTGACTGTCGGAAAGATTTACTGCACAGGACACATTTAAAAGGCCTCAAACCAGTATGAATAAGTGCATGCCTATCAAGTTTTGATTGTGACGGAAACATCTTGCTGCAGATTGTACATGTGTGAATACTCTTTCTTTTCTTTGTAGGGCTGTAGGTAGGATCGGACACAGTACACGGGTGTAATGCCCTTCTCTCTTCTGTGGTAAAAGTATGATACACTCCATACACTGGTTTTTCTTGCTTGGCCTCCAGCAATCTTCTGACCTGTTTAACATCATTCTGGTAGGTTTCATTGTGAAGGTGCTGGTGCTTCACAAATGTCTTGAGATTTTTAAAGTGGCGCTGACAAATACTACATTTAAAAGGCAGATTATGAGTTAGTTGATGTCTCTCCAGATGAACTAGTTGCCTAAAGGTTTTATGACACACATCACATTCAAATGGCTTCTGACCAGTATGAATGAGATAATGCCTAGCTAATTTTGATGGTGTTTCAAAGTGCTTGAAGCAAATATTGCAAATATATGGCCTATTTCTCGGTAGTTTGTTGGTTACTATACACTGATCAATCTTTAGCATTTTTAAATTGTTTTCAGCCATCATATTCTTCAGTGATACATCCTGATGAACTCCATAGTATTCTTAATCTCCACAGATGTCTAAAAATTAAAAATAAAAATGTATTAATTTAAAAATTATTTGTTCACATGAAAATAAATAACTTAAAGGACATTTGTCCTTTGGCTAAAATGTTAAGAATAAGGAGATCTGGACTTTTCTGTATTTAAAAGTTAATATCCATTTTAGATGAATACTTTAGAATCATAAAAATAATTTCACACATATAGAGAAATGATGTGTCTTTAAAAGAAATATTAAAAAGCCTATATAATTTTAAGCTATATTTCTAATTAAGATGTTATATTAAAATGAAACTCAATTGAATTTTTTAACACTAAATAGACCTTTTAATTCCAATTTTCCTAGTTCACTATTAAGTAGATTTGTCAATATATAGTTGTTTTGTCATTTTTTTAAACTTCGGGCTTGAAAGGTAAACAGTGTAAGAATTAAAATATAATACTAAAAATATGATGTATTTGCACTCTATTATAGCATACTCTAAACATGATTTGAGAATGGAATATTTTATTTATCAAAGTTAGATTTCTTAGCCACATCAGTAGGACTATGTACTCTTGATTACGTTTTTTGGACCAAAAGACAACATGGACAACTGGGAGAAAATGTCTCAGAAAACTTGTGTTCTTGTCCTGGATTGTCCACCATATAATCTTGGTGGCAGGAAGAAGGAAAAACAGATTCCTCCTCTCTAAAATGGAGAAAAATGCTTACTGATGCATCTGAACCTATTGGGAAACTGAAACGATATAAATGTTAAGGTTTCATTTAGCTCAATACTAATGAAACTTTAAAACTTCATCCTTATCTACTTAATATTATTTCTAGAGTTTCTGACTAAGACATAAACACACTAAATTTACAGTTCCTTTTATTTTTCCTTTCTACTTTGTTGTATAATTCCTAAAAGACAAGTACAGAAGCAATGACATCCACAAACTGGCTATATACATATCTGTCTGTGGTTAAGTACTTACTTGAAAGTTATGTGTGGTTCACTTTTTAGGTAATAAAATAAAAGGATCATTTTGATTGCAGAGTTAAGATAAAACTTTTCCCTCTAATATACTTACATAGGACTCATAAAAAAGGTACTTTCACAACCATATTACAGCCTAACTTCCCCTCTTTTATAAGCCAATTTTCTTCTCATCATTCTTCTATTACTGTATTCTCCTTAAGTACGGGCATCAGAGATTTAAAACAAAACAAAACAAAAAACACTGTTCTAGCTCTCTCATTCTAATTTTGTCTCTTTTAGTTGAGATCAGAGTTGACAAGTTTACTGGAAATACAAGGTTCTTTTGTCCATTGATTTAGCCAACATCCACCATATATGCTATTTGATATTCATTGTCCTCTCCTAGAACACACCTTAAACGCAAAATCACAAACATTCCCACTGTAGGGTTCTCTTCAGCAATCTAAATCAGAGACAAAAATAAAATCATAATTCACTTGTTGAGCAAATATCTTCTACTAGTTGCTTTATCAGTTTTCTTCAAACTACATGTCACTACACATTAATGGATTGTGAAATCAATTTAGTGGGTCACATTCAGCATTTTTGTTTAACAAAACAGAGCATAAAATATCAGATTGCATGACACATAGCAAGGACAAATACTGTTTTGTGAAACTTCTGTAAGAAGAGGTAAAAAAGTCTGTGAAGGCTGTTCCTAACATACTTCTTCACACATCAGACAGAGGAACCTGCAACAAATCAATCACTTTATTCAAAGTGGCTAAGGATGAGATAGGATTACTAGGAAAAACAACAGTGTCTGGTTTTGTTCAATTGGCTCATATAATCCCAAAGTATTTATCAAGAATCTAATTAGAGGCCAAATGAAATATACCACAAAAATTTATGCAAAATACTGACTGCAAGCCACTATATTAACTTATAAAAATACCCAGATATCCATTTCATTAACAATCAGCTATTGGTGCTATTAATATTCATTTTCATGACACCAAATTAGAGAAATTACAGGGGAACGACCTCCATATCCCTAAATATGTTGTTAATACAGCAACAGGATAAGGATTAAAGTTAAGTCATGAATCCAGTGAACTGCCAAGAGCTTGGCACTTTATTTAATTCCTGTCAAGCAATCAGGCGTCGATGTGGTCAATTAAGACAATGAGCCAAACTGAAAAAAATAATCAAGCTTTTGTTCACTTAGTGTGACAGTGCAGGAAAAAGGCTAAACAGAATGACACTAGGTGAGGGTCAGATAGCTGCAATGCACACAAATCATCTTACTGCTGAGGAGACACACACAAAAGGCTTCTGCCTCTTTATGGACCCGTGGGCCACGCCAGGGAGGAAGGAAGGGCTAGGAGTGGAAAGGTCCTGTGTCAAAAGGGAGAAAAGTGCATCAGTCAGGGCCACCCCCTCCCAATAAGGTCTTGGCAGAGGTGCCTGGAAATGCCTCTGCCAAGATCCTCAGAATTGAGGTACCTAAGCCAGGAATGCAGTACACACATGGCTAACGGGAGGAAAGGATGAGTCCGTAACTGGAACTCCCTCCAGAAAACTGCAATGCACTGACCAGGCACAAGTCTGGTGTGTGTTGCGTGGGTGGGGGAGTGGGTGAGAGGGACCTCCCTATCCAGCTCCTTGTCTCCCCTTCCCAAGCCAGCCAGGAAAAGCCCTGCAATTATCTATGGTAGCAGATCACACAAAGGATTTTGGCCTGGGGCTGGACGACTCTATTCCTGTTGTCGATTTCTTCTTCCCTTTTATAGTGTTTATGAAACACTTAAAAAAAAAAATCCCACACTAGAACCACACACAAACAACCATCTCTGACAATAATAAGAATCGACTACCTACAGCTCCTGTGCCAAAGAGTCTATGGCTGATAATCTACCACTAAGAATAAGAATGGATACTATTGTCACTGGCCTCCAAACCATGTGGGAAAACACTGGGAACTCTTTATTGTTAGCCCTACTGGTGGTAAGCAGTGATCTCATCTCCTATTTATAAGTGACAGCTCAGGGATCCCCAATGCTCCAAGTATAGTTCCCTATGTACTTATACAGGATACATATTAATTTGACAGAGGTCCAAATCCCACTTCAACTGATTCTCTCTGTTCTCAACTGATTTTTTTGGTCAATAATATATATTAAAAAAATAAAACAAACCAAACTGTGTAATTTCTCCTATGTTAAACTGAAAATAAAAATAAAATAGTAAACCTCAATGGTTCGATCTGAAAACTATTCTGACAACAGCAAGAGACACTCTTAGAAAACTGTAAAAACTGGTCTCAAAAACCTCCAACGTTGCTTCAAAGCTGAAAGCTTGTTGGTTTTCTAGCCTTAACTAACATCAAGAAAACGAAGTGAAGACAGCACAAAATTCAATGTAAAAGAAAGTAAACACCTGAGAGAAACTTAGACAACTTTCAGTTGGGGAATAATCTCTGGAGACAATTATTACGGCGTTTCCCTCTAGTTTCTAGTTTCTCTACCCACACACCTCCACCCACTCTCTTGGCCTTGAACCCTCACCTCTCCCCCTGAGGGGGAATACACTGGAGAGAGGACCTTGACAACTAGCCCTTGCCCTAACCGCCCACAACCAATAAGCACCTAGGGGTGTAGCCGAGTCCAGAGACTGCAAAATCCCACACTAGGAAAGGAAGGGCAAGCAAGGGTGAAAACTGCTGTGACCGCAGCCAGGAAAAAATATGCCTTATGTGACATGACCCGTCACAGCAAAGGAAAAGCATTCTCTCTGGGCCTTCCTCTCAGCGATTCCAGTGAGACGCAGTCAAGACGCGGGGAAGTGGGAAAGGAAAAAGAGCTGAGGTCGTGGCGTCCCCGTTCTGGGTCCCTGAGCACCATGGAGGGATCCAGACAGGCCTGACCCTTCCCGGGGCTCGCTCCACCTCACACCTGGATTCCTGACGTGCTCCTTACGCACCTGCAGCTGGCACGGACCCGGCAGCGGCACATCTCAGGGCCCACGCGCCGCAGAGGATGCAACCTCAAGTTCAAAGCAGCCAGCGCAGGTCCCCTAGGCCGGCGCGGCGATAGGCTGCGCGCGCAGGCGCAACCCTCGGGAGCGCGCAGGGACGCGGTCCGGCTGGAAACAAGCTCCTCCGCACCCTAGGGCCGCTGTCGCTTCGGAGCGACCGGTGAGGCTCGTGGGGAAGAGGATGCTCAAAGACAGTTGCGTCCCAATCACAGCACCACTCACCCGGCACCTCCATTGCTGGGGAGAGGAGAACAGAGGGGTGAGGGAGGGTGCATTTTCCATCTCAACCCTAAGTGTCTATTAGGAAAATCCTACAGTTCTGACCATTGCGCTTAAGGCCCCTCTGGAAACAGGTGAACCCTCCTTCAAAGCCCATTCGCCTTGTCCCCTCTAACGCACAATGCCAGTGATAAACAAAACGCCACGTACTGGGGGCTTACTGTGCTAGCACTGAATTCACGACTGCTCCCAAATTATATCAACATTTTACGTAGTCAAAGTTAATGCGTAGTACGTTACAGACTAGGGTGGTACATTATTACTGAATAAGATGCTTATGTATCTACTGAAGATTCTAAGTACAAAAGACATTAGAAAATAATTTATTGTGAATTTTTGCGTGTTCTGATTCCAACTGTCTCTTTGACAGATGAGGAAATGAGAACAGGTAACAAGGAAATTATGATTGTTTTATTTATTGCTTTTTATTTTTTATCATTTTTTTGTCATTTAATATTTATTGTGTTTTTCCCATTTCCATTTAGGTCACTTATATCGTCCTCCCCCCAGCAATCACCACACTCTTGTCCATGTCCATGAGTCCTTAGTCCCTTTTTGCTCAATCACTCTATCCCCTGGCCACCACCCCTGCCCCCCAACTTAGCTGTCATCCGGCTGGCTCTCTGTGAGTCTGGCTCTATTTTCCATGTTAGTTCACTTTGTAATATTCCACATATGAGTGAAATCATATGGTATTTGTCTTTCTACAACTGGCTTATTTCGTTTAGCATAATGTTCTCTAGGTCCATTTATACTGTTGCAAAGGGTAAAATTTTCACCTTTTTTGTGGCCAAGTAGTTTTCCATTGTGTAAATGTCCCATAGTCATTTTATCCACTCATTTATTGATGGACACTTGGGCTGCTTCCATATCTTGAAAATTGTAAATAACAACTGTAAATAACGCTGCAATGGATATAGGGGTGCTCATGTTCTTTCAAATTGTAAATAACACTGTGATGAACATAGGGGTGCTCCTCTTCTTCCCCCATGGCTTTTGAAAAAAGGCACATTCATTTTTAATTTTTTGAGGTATCTCTATACTGTTTTACACAGTGGCTGCACCAGTCCGCATTCCCTCCAACACAGCAAAAGCGTTCCTCTTTCTTCACATCTTCACTAGCATTTGTTTTTTTATTTATTGATGATAGCCATTCTGACAGGAGTGAGATGATATCTCATTGGGATTTTAATTTGCATTTCTCTGATGATTAGTTACATTGAGCATCTTTTCATATGTCTATTGCCCATCTTGTATGTCCTCTTTGGAGAAGTGTCTGTTTAGGTCCTTTGCCCATTTTTTAATTGGGTTTGTTTTTGTTTTTGTTTTTTGGTGTTGATTTTTGTAAGTTCTTTACGAATTTTGGATATTAACCCTTATTAGATGTATTGATGAGTATTGTATTGGAGAATGTTCTCTCATTCTGTGGGTTGTCTTTTTATTTTGTTGATGATTTTCTTTGCTGTGCAAAAACTTTTTAGTTTGATGTAGGCCCATTTGCTTATTTTTTCTTTTGTTTACCTTGCCTGAGATAATATATCCAACAAAAAATTGCTATGAGCAATGTCCAAGATATTGTTGCCTGGGTTTTCTTCTAGGATTATTATGGTTTCGGGTGTAATATTTAAGTCTTTAATCCATTCTGAATTTATTCTTGTGTGTGGTATAAGAAGGTGGTCTAGTTTCATTTTTATGCTCATACCTATCCAATTTTCTCAACACCATTTATTGAATAAACTATTTTTAGTCCACTGTATGTGCTTGCTTCCTCTGTTGAATATTAACTGACTACAAAGGTATGGGTTTATTTCTGGGCTTTCTATTCTGTCCCATTGATCTATGTGTCCTTTTTTATGCCACTACCAGACTGTTTTGATTATTGTGGCCTTATAGTACAGTTTGATATTAGGTAGTGTGATTCCTCCAACTTTGTTCCTCTTTCTCAGGATCACTGTTGCTATGTGAGGCCTTTTGTGGTTGCATATAATTTTTTGAAATATTTGTTCTAGTTCTGTGAAATACATCATTGGAATCTTGATTGGAATTGCATTGAATCTATAGATACTTTGTGTAACATGCACTTTTTAATGATGTTAATTCTTCCTGTGTGTGAACACAGTACATGCTTCCACTTATTTGTGTATTCTTTAATTTCTTTTTTCAGTGTCTTATAAATTTTCAATACTGGTCTTTTACATCCTTGATTAGATCTTTTCCTAGGTATTTTATTCTCTTTGAAACAATTGTGGATGGGATTGTTTTCTTTTTTAAAATTATATTTTATTGATTATTCTATTACAGTTGTCCCAATTTTTCCCCCAATGTCCCCTGCACTCAGCACCCTGCACTCCCTCAGGCAATCCCAACACCATTGTTCATGTCGATGGGTCATGAGTATATAAGCTCCTTGGCTACTCCGTTTCCTAAACAGTAGTTTACATCCCCATGGCTATTCTGTAACTACCTACTAGTCCTCCTTAATCCCCTCACCTCCTCACCCATTCCCTAACACCCCCTTCTCATCTGTCCAAAGACCCTCTGTATCCATGATTCTGTCTCTGTTCTTCTTGTTTGCTTAGTTTGTTTTTTAGTTTCAATTGTTGATATATTTGTATTTTTTGCCATTTTATTGTTCATAGTTTTGGTCGTCTTTTTTTCTTAAATAAGTCCCTTTAACATTTCACATACCATGGTTTGGTGATGATGAACTCTTTTTTCTTTGTCTAGGAAGTTTTTCAAACAAGTTTTTTCTTGTCTGGGAAGCTCTTATCTGACCTTCGATCGTAAACAAAGGCTTTACTGGGTAGAGCAATCTCGGCTGTAGGTCCCTGCTTTTCATGACTTTGAATATTTCTTGCCAATCCCTTCTGGCCTGCAAAGTTTCTTTTGAGAAATCAGCTGACAGTCTTATGGGAACTCCCCTGTTGGTAACTAACTTCTTTTCTCTTGCTTCTTGTAAGATTATTTTATTTATCTTTAACCTTTGGCATTTTAATTATAATGTGTCTTGGAGTGGGCCTCTTTGCATCCATCTTGTACGGGATTCTGTGATTCCTGGACTTGCATGTCTATTTCCTTCACCAAATTAGGGAAGTTTTCTTTCATTATTTTTTCAAATAGATTTCCAGTGTCTTGCTCTTTCTCTTCCCCTTCTGGCATCCCTATAATATGGCCTCCTGAAATTGTCCCAGAGGCTGCTTATACTACCTGTATTTATTTTTATTCTTTTTTCTTCTTGTTGTTCTGATTGGTTGTTTTTTGTTTCCTTATGTTCTAAGTCATTGATTTGATTCTCAACTTCATCCACTCTACTGTTGTTTCCCTGTAAATCATACTTTATTTCAATTAGTGTATCCTTCATTTCTGACTGGATTTTTTTATGCTGCTGAGGTCCTCGCTAAATTCCTTGAGCATCCTTATAACCAGTGTTTTGAACTCTGCATTTGATAGATTGCTTATCTGCATTTTGTTTAGCTCTTTTTCTGGAGCTTTGATAGCCAGGTAAAGCCAAACTGTGAGTCTAGGCTTGATGCTTCTAGTGCAGGGCCTGAGGCTCACTGAAGCCAGCTGTTGGTTTTGTAATAGGATTTAGGAAGCCGTGCAGCTGAAGCCGAGGCCAGTCTTCTTATGGAAAATCAGCTTGGGTGGACCTGTAAGTTGGGTGGGGCAGAGTCTCTGGGGATCTCTAAGACTGGTCAGTGTTAGCCTGGTTGATGGAGTTTGAGATATGACACCAGCTTGCTGGCTCAGTGGCTTTGTGGGCAGAGGGCTCAGAAAAGGGACACTGGCTTCTGCTCACCATGATGCCGGACACCCCAGTTTCTCCCAGGCTGCCACAGGCTATGAAGCCCAGAGGGAGTGAGTCTTGAGTAGGTAAGTCCTTGTGTGGGTTCTTTAAGAGGAACCGCTTGGTGCTAAATTCTTCCACCAACTCAATCCCCACTGGATTTTGCAGCCAAAAGTTGTGGGGACTTATCGTCTTGGCACTGGAGCCTGGGGCTGGGGGACCTGTTGTAGGGCTGCAACTCCTTGCCTGTGAGATATCCCTCCCAAATTTTTATCCACCACATGTGGGTGTAGGACCAGCCTGTTCCGTGCCTGTGCCTTTTGTACCAGTTTGGATGGAAGTGTAACGGGGCACAGCCAGGGCCCTCCCCCGACAAAGGGTATTTGTAACGGGGTGCAGAAATTGGGGTGTCCAAGAAAAATATATTCTCCCCACCCCAAGACAGGCTGCCATGGGGGATGGGAGACCTGGAGCAGGGCCATTGAGAGTTACTTTGCATGTCAATAACAGCTGGATAGCTTCATTCCTCATATGAAAAGATGGTTATTTTGCATATCACCAAGGCTATTCAGGAGGTTTGAAAGACTTAATACAGAATGTAACTGGGAGAGCGATGAGGAGAGACAGGGGCCTGCAAGAGAGACAAAGGGACACAGACTCTGGGGAACAGTGGGAAGACCAGGCGGGAAGAAAGAGGGAAGAAAGGACTCTTGCTAGTGGGCCAGGAGAAGGTGCCACATGGTTTTGGATTACGAGCTGGAGATCGCGGCGAAGCCGCGGATGGTGCTGAAAACTGCGAGAGGTCTGCCTAGCCGAGAGGCGGACTTCTGTTCTTTTTCTTCTGAAGGACGGTACCCCTGACAGGCCTGACTGGCCTGACTGAGCAAAGAGGGGAAGGCAGGACTATGTTTATTGGTGGGTGTTTTAAAGGGGTTTTGAGATTTAAGGGCGACATGTAGCCATTAATCAAACCTGTATAACTTGAATAAATAGTTCCTTTCCTTTTCTACCAAA